AGTTCGCTTTTCCAGTAGTAAATCGGCCATTTGGCGTATCGAATCTTTCCGTACTGGCAGACCTCTAGCTTCCATTGATAACATCCATTGTATAAGTGCTGATTCCTGGAGGTCGGTGAGTTTCTGGTTTCGGGGTCGGAAATCGCGTTGTAGAATAGCTCCCTTGACGCGGTCGTAAGTAGTAGAATATGGCGCATCGTACCTTGTACAAGCTGCTTTTAAGCTTGTAAATTTACCCTTATTGTATGCACTGATTGCAAGAGCAATTTGACCTTCTTTTCGAGACATTTGAACAATAATTGGGTAAGTTATGTAGATTGAAAGTGTGTAGGGTGGTCAATGGTGGGGTAAAAAATCCGGACTGCTTATAAATCCGGACTCCTTGTGAAGTACGTTAAATGATTTAGGATAGTCAACTTAATTGTTTTAGCAATTCTAGTATAACAGGTTCTTAAGGTGTGTACAAAGTAACGGACGGGTCTCTTACCTCTATCCCCTCAACGATATATATGTACAGCCAGCTTTTTAGGTTTGCGATTTCCTATTTGAGCGGTCGGAGCGACCGGAATAATGTCTAGACGCGCTACGGGGCTTGGCCCGACTTGCTCCGCACCAACCAAGTACTACTATTATTGAGGGCCAAGACTAAAAGTGGATATCGCAAACCTAAAAGCTGGCTGTACATATACATCGTTGAGGGGATACTATTCATAAAAGGAATGTACCGATTCGCTCTACTTGGGGAAGCAAAATTTGAAAGATTCAATCGTAATAACACTATAAATGTGAAGGATGATATGTATCTTATTCGACCCCAAACCCACAAGTTTGAGAGCCCAAGTCCTTAAGCAAGTCCTACTTCAGATGTCAACCCATTAAATATAGACCCAAGTCCCTACTTCTGTTGAACTTTCGACCAATTATCCATAAACCTGCAGGTCCGCCATCTGGAATCTATAGCCATTCTCCGACGGCGACCCTCTGAGTTTACTTCCCACAACCTTCACATAACCTATCTCCTGTGCCGGGAATACAAAAGCCTCCCCTTCACCAGCCTTCGTTCCAGGGTATCCAACTTCAGTCACCAAATCTTTCCACGTCGTTCCATCACTTGATCCTTGGATTTTGAAATCCACCGGTATCCCCGACCCAGTGCCTTCAAAAACATCGCTTCTTGGGAACAAAACTACTTTCCCGACGGTCTGTAGACCTTGGAGATCAATTTGAACCCACTCGGTAGCATCAGCTGAAGAATGGAGAACAGAAGTCCACCCTGAACGACCATTAGAGCCACCGTCAATGTTCCCATCAAGGAGATAGCTGGGATCCCAAGCTACCGAATCACCATCTGTAGGACTAGCAGTCACTGGTTTCCCAGCCGCGAGATCATTTCCAGTTGCTGTGACATAGAAGGCAGGTGCTCCCCAAGAGGTCCATCCGTTATTTTCATTCCCTGTTGTTGTCAATGTTACGGAGATATTTTGGCCAGCCCATTTTGTTACATCAACCATCATTGGGACCCAACGTTTCCAGAACCAGTAATTTGGATGCAGATGGAATCCTGGGCCGTAAAGGGATTCTCCATTGATGGTCGCTTGGAAAGTTACTTCGCCGCCGTTGGATCCTGCTCCATCCTGGATTCCCAGAGAAGCCCAGAAGTTGATACGTTCATCTCCAGAGATGGGGGGGAGTGTCACGGAGAAGGTAATGCTTCCTCCGACTGCAGAATATACGCTTTTTCTTACTATATTTCCTACTGAAAGCGTGGGTTTGAGTTGATTGTCTGGTCCTGATGTAATAGCATTTGGAAAGAGGTCGTATAAATCAGCTATTTTATTGCCCGGGTTCCAAGGAGGAGGTTGGGTGTATCTCTTTGTGTTTCCGAAGTCTTTGAAGAAATTGGCGAGCGCATTTCCAAATGTATCTCCGAAGTTGGGGGAGTCAAAAATGGCATATTGATCTTTGACTTCTGAGTTTTCCCAAGAATTTGGACACATGATCTTCATGCCATCATTGAAAAGAGTGAGAATGGAATTGTAGCTGATTGTTTCGTCGGGAGTCTGCGGATTGAGTTCAAAATTCCCGTAGTTATTTCTGCCTTGTCCACGGGCTGGGCTGTCGACCATTCCGAGATCTGCTGGTTTCCAACCATAGTTTGTGATGCCACCAGCTCCGTTGGCGGCGGTGAAGGTATCAACACTATCAGCAAATCCATAATCATCTTGCCTGGGAGTTCTTCTCAAATAAGCGAGTGTCTCCAAAAGAGTGGAAAGTGAACCTTACTGATGGCCATATACGACGGTTCTCTCTAAGCCGGCCTGCTCCAACCATAATGTTTCATCACTTGTCGCATGCACGATCAACAAAACTCTCCAACGCTCCCACTCCTCATAGAAGATATTTCCGGGTAATATTCCCCCCTTTGGCGGCGACATAGTATCCCAGCTGGTAAAGTTGGTTCCCATAGCGGTATTGAAATCTCCGATGGAATCAAAGGCGGGAACTCTCCCATTTCCATGATATGCCCCACCAGGACCATAGAGCTCGGTATTTCTCAACCACATCTTCCACTCCTCGATAGCCAGTGGATTGAAGTCCGACTCTGAATTAACCATGAGAGTCTCCGAATCCAAACTGACACCGACAAACAATCCCGGATTATCTTTCGACCATTCGACCAGGACCTTGGCCGCAGCTTGAACGTTCCGTTTCTTGTATTTGATGTAGACATCATTCAATCTCGACAGTGTAAAGTAATTTGACCCAAAATCATGTCCAAACTGGCTGACACCCGCACTATTCAAGACAGTAGTATTCGGCTGTCCAGCAATAAAGTCCAGTAACGCATCACCCCAACCTCCCGAAGAGTTCGGTGTGCAACAATCCGCCCATCGTCCGTTATTCATATGCACAAGAATAGGCAGCTGCTCATCAACAGCCAAATCAAGCATGTATCTAAGATTGGTAGGGTCAAAGTTATAATCCTTATCTGCACCAAAGATGTCTCGACTTAAAGACCATGAGGAGAACGACCAGCCAAGTCGCGTATAAATTCCTGTTCCAAGGCGATTTTTCATGTCGGCCAAAACGGCGAGATCATCGGTGCGTGTATGATTTGCCAACGCACCCTCCCAGATGGGAAGAATGTACGTAACATCTGAAAGTGTTGTGGCTCGTTTGCTGGGAGTGTGGTCAAGAAGTGGGTATGAAGCAGCAAGTGCAATAAAAGAAATGAAAACCAGCACCGTCGCCGTTAGTGATGAAAAAACCATAAACCGATGCATTTTTCCTGTCGATTAAATCAAAGTGAAACACATTTAGGTTGTGGTAGAATATCCATGAAGTTGAGGTTGGCCTTATACACCCCCTATCAAGGGTATGTATGATGTGTGAGTGCTCCACAAATGCCACGGGATCCGTTCAAATGCGGTCACTCACCTACAGCAAATCTCAGCGGCAGAGCAAGTCACAGCCAGCGATGTCGCCCTCTTGACATAAACTTGAAACACTAGCTTTCCGTAACATTTCACAACCCCATGACATCAACTTGATGTTGCACATACAGATAAAGTGGTATTCGCCGAGAAAATGTTTATCCCAGTACATCCCAAATAACAATTAAAGATTTGCAATACGACCCAAGATACACCAGAAAAGAGAAACTCCTCTTAACTAAGACAATGACACATCTGATCAAATTCCGAGAAGTTTCTGGTTCGTTAGGCCAACTCTTTCTCTTCAGTTAATTCCTCATGCTTGTCTCCACCCTGTTGGACGGCCAGATCAACCTTCTCGCTAGAAATAGTACGGTCCCCAAACTTGCCCGCAATGCTCTCAAGGCTCAACTGGTTGGTCTCTGTCAAGCAAGTGTAGTACAAACCCCCCAATAATATCAACGAAGCTATGAACACCGAGTAGTACTTCCAACGAATCGCATCAAATGCAAAAGGAGTAACCTGGCCAAGCCATATGCCTGAGACACCTTGACATAAAGCTGCAATCGAGGTACCGTATCCTCTAAGGTGCAATGGAAAGGTCTCAGCAGCGATGGTATACAATGTGCTGTTGAAGAAAACGGCGTACAGCATTGAATAAATGAAAATCAAGGCTATTCCAGCTCGTGATCCATCTTTGTGCAAACCGTCTCCATAAAATTTACTGAGAGCCATGAGGACACTGAGCATGACTGCTAAGACAATGCAACCAATCCCTGTTTTTGGTTAGCATTAGCTTGGCTTGTTCTGGGGGCTAGAAATAACCCTAGAAAGATTGGTCACTTACACATTGTCCGCACCCTAGATAATTTATCAGAAACGATCAAGTTGTTGATAATCTGGCCTATGATTCCCATAAAGCCATAGCATCCACTTATCAACAAGACAGTCTTTCCTTTGTATCCCAAACTTTCATACAGGATCGACTGGTAATTCTGGATCGCAAGGGAACCGGATAATATTCCGACTTGCATCACCATAATTGCCATAGCAGTTCGTCTGATGTTTTGTCGATTAAATATCTCGATTAAAGCGTGGCCAAGTGAGGCATTAGTACGTTGCTCCGCCTCCAGTCTAATTTGCTCTCGAATCTCGATTTCTGACCGGAGATAGAATTCATTGTCTTCGTCACTATAGAGCCGACGTAGGTTCTCATGAAACTCTTCGTATCTTTCTTGCTGGGCCACTAAGAAAGTTAATGATAATTCTGTTGTTCTTGAACACAAGCGAGAGAATATGGAAAATTTCACCTACACCACCTTGGAGATTCTGGCAAGAAGAATGAGAGAACAAGGAGAACAGCCGCGCAGGGGAGCTGTAAACCTAAAGCAAGTCTCCAAGTCGTATTTCCAGTAGCAAAAGAGCAAGCATAACCGATCCAGTTTGCCAAACAGAATCCAATAGCAACTAGCATTCCGAATATTCCAACGAGCCTTGCTCTCTCAGTGGGTTTGGCGAGTTCTGATATGTAAATAGGAATTGTAGGGTTTAGGATACCAAGGGCGAAACCAGCGACGAATCGACCCACGATCATCAGAGGAACACCATTTGCTGCAGTCTGAAAGACAGAACCAACAATTGTGAAGAAAGTTGACCAGGCGAGTGTCTGTCGACGCCCAAGCCGCTCGAGCAGTAGTCCGTTCAGAAGACAACCGATAGTATTTCCCGCGGAACCCATCGAAACAATAGCCCCTGTCAGACTGGCAACATGCTTTGTACCCTTAGGAAACATATATTCAGTAAAAGCTGTCTGACCAAGAGTCGTTGCAATAATTCCCAAGTCAATGCCAATGACTGCCCCACCCAGGGACATTGAGAGGATGTAAAGAAGAAGACGTTGCTTTCCCTTCATGATGTTGGTTAATTGCAAATGGTGCAGAAAGTACTGCTGAGACGTAGACTACGCAAATATGACAAAGGGCAGAGTTGCTCTCAAGTTCATTACCTCTTGTGACCTGTATTCGTTGAGGTGCTGGCTCTTCAATCCACCAAAATAAAATGTTGCACAAATTGGAATTGAGAAAAGAAGCTACAGGGTAAATAAATTGACGAGCCTTGAGCTTTCACTGATGATCGTAGCTGGCCTTCACTTGAAGGCGCCTCTCCATCCGTCGCAACCTATCACCAACGATTCCACGACGTAGTGCGTTAACCCGAGCTGCATCGTTGACTGAATTCGCAGTGGTTGTTGGATGTTACGAAGGCCTTCTCTGGATTGAAGCGTGATCGCATGTTACCGTGTCGTCTGAATGATGTATCGTGGTTGACAGCAGAAAGTGAGCTGGCCAAGCACATGGTAGGGGTTACACCTGATATCCTGGGGTACCCCGCGTTTGCATATTGGACCCATGCTCCTGCAAGTGGTCTGGTGGTCTTCATCCAACGGTTCGAAGATGAATTTGGATGTGATCCTACGATGCATGCCGCAATGCTTACAGATTCGGGAAAGCTGACAGCCGACATGGACGCCCGACAACGCGTGATGATTCAGAAGAATATAGATTGTGGACGAATGGAGGTGCGTAGAACAGAAAACGACCAGCTCGTATTATGGAACGTCGATGTAGTTGCGTGACAGCAAAGTTGCCACCAATACAGCAACCCCCTCCTCCCTCCCCCGACCCCTTCCCCCCCTTTTTCAAGATACACATTATCCACGTGATTGAAACGAGTGGTCGTATTTTCAAACACAAAACTGTTTCCCAAATCACAGTTTTTTCTCAGAANCCCTTCCCCCCCTTTTTCAAGATACACATTATCCACGTGATTGAAACGAGTGGTCGTATTTTCAAACACAAAACTGTTTCCCAAATCACAGTTTTTTCTCAGAAGCCGCGGAGAAAAGTGTTGGAGTGATTCCATCAAGCATCCAACTATTCTCAGGTTAAGGTTCCCATGACCCCTCCCCGTGTGCGCGTCCAAAACGCTTTCTGGTCCTAGTATAGTATCGACTGTACCCCACAACTCGCTTTTTGCAACCAACGGGAATCTGGAAGTGATGGATGGGAGGTATTGATTTCTGGCATTATACGTGATTTGTTTGCCAGCCCAACACACCTGCAGCCAGATACTCCTGCAACATCTAGTTGAGGTACAGTACTCGAAAAAAATGATTCGCTGACATGACACGATATAGCTCAACCCGGAGCTCCTTGCGTACTGCCACTTGAGTCTTCTTATCAGGTTCAACTAAAATATCGGTCCGAACTCTTCACTTTCTACTATGCTCCTCGTAGGTTAAATTAAGCAGCCTCAAGGTTAAATTGGACGAAAGTATATTAATCATGATCGGAACTCATCTTCATCAACTTGCTTCTACTTCCGAAAGCTTACCTGTAATCTTACTCCGTATTGTTACAGTATAGGACACCCAAAGTGAACCACACCAAAACTATATTTGACCGAAACCACACTTCCACTCACAACATTATAACAATAATAATACTTATTAATTATTTAAATAGAGCAAAAGATGCGCCTTGCTTAACTGAACAAAATTCACTTACTAGCTTTAATTTGATTAAAATATATAAAATGTAGGGCTTACACTTGTTAAGTCTTAGTAAAGCAGCCAATTTTTTGAGCCGCCCCACTCTTACTAATACGGTTTAACTAAGGGCTATATATATTAAGAACTAGGGTTGAAGTAGGTAGTAAAATAACTAGTTCTACTATCTAATATATCCTATCGATTTTAGTGTAGTCGAATGCGAGGCTAGTACAAGGACCGGTACGAGGACCGGTACGAGGACTAGTATAAGGGCTGTCCGAGGGCCGTCCGAGAGAGTAAAAAGGTCTTTTATATTATAAGAGATTAATTAGTAACTTATTCTAACTATACTTTGTAATTATATTTAGTAAAGGAGTAGATACGCTTTAATTAGCTAAACAAACGCGCTTACTAGCTTTAATTAATAAAATTTATATAAAATATAGGGCTTAAATATACTAAAAGTTTTAGCGGGGCTAAATATTTTCCTCGCTTATTTTCCCCCCTTATAATAACACTTAACTAACGCTTATATAAAAATTATATTAAGTACATTCTTATTCTTTTAATATAATTACTCTATTATACTAACAAAAATATAGTTAATATCGCTACTCCAAAAACTTTTCTTCTAAGGGTTAAAAGTCGAGTTTTAGTATAGTTCACTTTAGGTGTCCTATACTGTACCCCTTATCGCATCACCTGTACGGAGGTACATCTTATTTTTTGAGTTTACGAATTGCTGCTTTTCTAGAACGTAACTTCTGAACCCCCGCATTTATTTAAGCACACATCACAAAGTCAAAAATGAGGTCCGGCTTATACCTACCTACCTACGGTGGAAATTCAGCTTAATCTGAGTACTCGAGTTTTCGGACCAGCTCAAATAATGCATACGTACTTGTATTCGTACTACATGAGTTCGGGCCGACCTGCTCCGTACCACTCAAGTAGTACTAAGTTAAGACTAATATTTGATAGCACAAACTTCAAAAAACTCAATGTACATTTGATGCGTTGAGGAGATACTGTAGCAAACCCAAGAAAAGCAGTATTACGGATATTATTGTTACAATTTTACAGTGTTACTAGGTGCTCTAGCTATTCTACCAAGTAAGAAGTTCCATGAGTTTACTGCATCCTAATAAGCAGATTCTGGTATCTGTACCAAGCTTAGGTATACTACGGTAAGCATAACTATCTCCTGGATCAGCAGGGATTAGCACACCGTTATTCTTCGCACCAAAATTTACACCAAAAAAGTCGTGCACGTCCTTGATCTACATGAAAAAAACCCTGAGCGGTCCAGGAGATCCTTAGGTATATACGAAGTATAAGGTTCTTCCCAACAACAATCTTCCGCCAATATGCGAACATTGCACCCAACCGCTGTATAGTAGAAGTACGAATACGCTGTCTCGCTGGTGGGAAGATACAGCTAGGCTAATGTATGGGGCGTGCGTCCCTTCGGTAAGGTTTCGTTAACCTTGTTCTTGTGTTGACTCGGCGCACGGTCGAAGATCTTGAGTGGAAGCCCTCCGTACTTATCCCAGCAAAGCTCCATCGGCGTCGGTCTCTCACTCAACTCTTCGCGAGGGACTTCCTAGGTTAAGAATGGCCTATACCCCTCACCCAGATTCTCTCGAAAATCGAAGTTCCCCTATACATATACTTGTACATATACCTATACCTACACCTATACCTGTACAGAGGTATTGGTAGCGCGAGTTGGAGTTATTCTACTCTAGCTGCCCTGCCCCCATTAAAACAGAGCAACGCCAACTGTCAACCGTCCCGCCAAACAATTTGACAACGAAACGTCATTCGCGACTCGTCTCGACTCACCATGTCTCCAACTATGATGGCAGTCATCTTTGCCATGATTGTCATCCTTGGGTTGACTCTTTTGCGCCCGACTGCCCCTCGAGATCCAAGAAGCCCTCCTGTGGCGTCCTCGACTATCCCTTTAATTGGCCATATTATTGGTTTCCTACGACAGGGGAGCCTACCTGGGTACTCTAAGGTGACATGACATGAACTCCATACATTTCACATTCTAACTATCCCAAGCTCAAAACATCCATCCTGGCCAATTTTCACCCTTGAAATCTTCTCAGCCAAAATTTATGTGGCAACATCCCCTGATATGATTCGCTCTCTCTATGCGAGCTCGAAAGCCCTGTCATTTCATCCCTTTACAGTAGCTTTCTCTACGAGGGTTCTTGGAGTCAAGAAATATGTCATAGACATCATGGCAGCTAACAATAGCGAAAATCCATACATGCGTGCAATCCATGGGGCGTACAAATGGTTTACTGCCAGGCCCCGATTTGGTTCAGGTGAATACATCGGCTTTAGATTCACTAGCCGATGAGTTGAACACAATTGGTACTTCAGAGCAACCCAAAAAACACTTCTTCGTTGGATGCGGACTTCTTATGCAATCTCGTTATCAAAGGCCTTTTATGGACCCGACAATCCGATATTGGACAATCCGTCTTTTATCCCACCAATATGGTAATTCTAAGAAATATCCACTCCAAGTCCAAAACTAACACATCTCAGGGACTTCGAAGAAAGTATTCCAATCCTATTCGCAAATATTTTCCCGTCTATCCTAGCACCAACAGCAATCAATACAAAAAAGCTACTTTTGCCTGCTTTCAAGGAGTACTACGACAAAGGTCTGGACAAGAATGCAACGTATTTCATCAAAGCACGCGCTAAAGCAGCTCGCGAGTGTGGTATTCCCAATGCAGATATGGGCGCCTTCGAAATCACAGTTCTGTTCGCGAGTCTCACGAATGCCGTTCCCAACGCCTTTTCCATGCTGTGTAATGTTTTCGCGGACCCAGACCTTAAAGCCGAAATATGCGAAGAAGTTGCCGGCGTTACGACGAAAACTATCATTGACGGTGTAACCTACATGACCATTGATACTACTGCATTTACCGCAAAATGCCCCCTACTCATTGCAGCCTGGTAGGAAACCCTACGAGTCTGCGTCAACGTAATCTCGATTAGAGCAGTAGTAGAGGACGTCGTCACAAAAGATAACTTTGCCCTTCAAAAAGGAGGCGTTGTCCAGCTCGCTACTGGACGCACTCATCTATCCGAGGAAATCTGGGGCAAAGATGCCAAAGTATTCAACGCCCGGCGTTTCTTGGACGCAGACAATCTTACCAAAGAAGAGAAAAAGGCTCGAACTCTTTCACCTTGGGGTGGCGGTAGGCATCTTTGTCCTGGAAGGCATTTTGCGTTCACCGAAGTGGGGGGGTTTGTTGCCATCATGGCCTATGGATTTGAAGTTAGGATGCAGAAAGGAGGAGGGAAGGTTGAGGTGCCCCCTTTTAGGGTTCAGCAAGTTGGTAAGAACTCGAAAAGTCCTGCCCACGATAGCGAGGTCTTTATTAAGCGAAAGGAGGAGTTTAAAGATGTGCGATTCAGGTTTAATGCTGATCCTGCTTTAAGTATTGTTCAAAAGCCAGTGGTTGGTGTGGAATGAGCTTAGGCACATAAATTGTGTTGTCTGTTTTTGTATATAGAGGAGCTTTTGGATAGGAATCGAGCACTTTGATACGGTTATGAGGTGCTTTAATGGAAGGAGTGCACCCCCTACGTGAATAAAAAAAATTGTCAATAAATAACTGCCTACAACATGTGTAACCTAACATGAGAACAATTAGACACTCCTACATCAGTGTCTGTGGTAAAGTTGCTTCCTCCTCACTCCCCTTTGTATTTCTTTTGTTTCCACGATTTTTCTGCGTCATGAAACTAATGTGCCAAGCTTCGCAGAGTCGCTAGTTACTGCAATTTGTTTTGTTTACCGAGTATGCCCTCCTTTTCAAGGCTCGCTTAGATGGTGGAAACATGTATCGACGCCACAAAATGCGCTTGACAGTCGCAACATTATTAAGATGCAAAACAACTTCTCAAAAATATCAGAGTGTATCCTAAACAGTCTGTCGTACTTTTCGTTAACGAGAGCTAGTCTCTCACCTTATCCCTTCCAGATGCGAGAGCGACAAAAAAACGTGCACCTAAAGTAGAGTAAAAGTCTCCATTTTTACTCCATCTGCCCCGCAAAACAAAGTCATTTGGCCAACCAGAACAGGTATCCAAGGTTTTGAGCCTCAATTCGACCCAGTTATCGTATCCACTTACTCCACTTTGGAGTGCACGGGTTTTTTGTAGCTCTCGCATCTGGAAGGGATAGATGATTTCTTGTTGTGTTAGTAGAAGCTTGACTTTCGAGCGGGCGAAAAAGCTTTATATGAGGGAATTATATGTGGGTTTAGTGCCATATTTGTAACAAACTAGATGACAGCTACTTTAATCTTCGGTTTAACTTACTATTAGTGTAGAAATATTGCACTTATGTTTCGTACTCTTCCAGAGAGAGAAATGTGGTCTTTTTGATTATAAAAAATCCTACAGTAGTCTGTTTACATGATAGGTTTTCTTTTATTTCTACAGAACGGCAAGAGAATCATTGATCCACTTGGGCTATCTTCTCTGAAAATCGCCTCAAAAGCGAGTATTTCAATGCAGAATGCCATCCCTTACAGACCATAGAGAAACAAAAGAAACTGCGCACTCTTGGGTGTAGCAATAGTGTTCACTCCAACAGCGTTTTCTCCGCGAAAACAACTCGTTTGGGCCAATCGGGCAATGTTTCCAAGCATTTGAGCTTTAAATCAACCCACTCATCGCATCCACTTATATCCACTTTGCATGCACTTTTTTGGGTTCATCTGTGGCCTGGAAGGCCTGGAAGGGATAAATCTCCTCGCTTGTTGCTGTGCTAAGAATGTTGAAGCTGTGAACTAATAATCTAAGCACCACCGGCTTCCTTCTTGACTAGTTCGATGACCATAGAGTAAGGCCTTGGACGTGTCATGATTCTATCAACCTTGTAGTCTCCAAATGTCTGCGGGTTGCGACCGACAGTATTGAGCCATGAATAGTTGTTATCACTACCAGCTATGAGATTGCACATTTCTCCTTCAATACCAGGAGCGTTTGGTCGTACAAAGCTATAGTCCAACTCCCAATCTTCTTGCATTGCTGCTTCCACCGCGAAGAGATCACGTTGCGTCTCTTGATTGGTAACTGGGTTATGTTAGTGGGTGTGCAATGAGGTGGCAAGAGGAAAAATCATACCTGTATCACTGACTAAAAAGTACTTTTCAGGTTTGCCATCGAGCAATCCAGTTAGCAAGGCAGCTTGATAAACGAGCTGAGCTATTGGGACAGCCTTGGCTTTAACTTCTTCAGGCGGAAGAGCGACAGGCTCGTGTGTAACTTCATCACGGACGGCCCAATTGGTATCTGGATTAATCTTGTAGCGATTGGCATCAGGCGCCGCGAAACGTTCATGAGCAACAATAGCCACATAATCCTTGCCGTCCTTTGTTGCTTTCCCAATGTTCATTTCCACTACTAGTTTTCTTATATTGCCTTTTGAGTGGACCCACATACCCGTCCAACCGCTCTTTCTATCAAATCCATACTCATCGAAAAAATATAGTTCATGAACATTAGTTCCTATACCCTTTTCCATCCATTTCGCTGCGTTCAACATCGAGATCACGTAGTTTTTCTTCATCTTGTCGAGGAAATCTTCGCCTCGCACTGGATTAGCAACAAGATCAAGACCTTTTTTTCCGCGCGCCTCCATCCACTCAGAATCTCTGGGCACCGCCAATTCTTGGTGCCGCATAGGTATAGATGGAGTGAGTCCGACCAGAGCCTCTATTTGGCAAGTTTCGCTTTGCTGGTCATCTTCGCAGTATTCCCATTCGTATTCTGACGGGACATCGTTTGCCAAGTTGCGGCTGCAATCGTCCCAACTGGTCCACATGTGCGTCATGCAGTCGTCGTATTCATCTTCGTTGACCAGTTCCAACCCCTTGCAAGCACATTGGCCTCTGCGCGTGATAGACCGGCCTTTGATTTTATCGCCAGCACGCGAAGTGCTTCGAATTCGAGTCGGTAGAGGTTGAGTGTGAATCTCATGAGGTATCTCGATTTCAGAGCTGAGAAGTGCCCTACCAAAAGCTGTTGGTCGGACAGCCAAAAGAATAAGCGAGCTTGAACCTTTCCAACGCATTGTAAAGAAATAGTTTACAAAACCAAGGTTTTTGAAGGGCGTGAGAATTTTCGAAATGCTGAAGTTGGGAAGTCGACTATCTCCTGGACGCGGCATATGTACATTTGGATTTTTAGGTTTGCGATTTCCTAGTTGAGCTGTCGGACTAGTCGGAATAATGCCACTGCACCACTTAAGTTATAATTGTTGAATACCAAGACTAAAAGTGGATGCGACCAACCTAAAAATCCAAATATACATATGGTTAACATTAATTTGATGCAAGCGGCTTCTCATTGATTGCAATCAATTAAACAATTATCCCTTGGAGTTCTCATCTCATACGAAAAGATTGCGGGGCAGAACCGCAATCATACTATACAGTAATCTTACCAAAGAGATGCGGCCCAGCAATTTAAACAGTACTATGCCTGAACAGCACCAATAAGGCACGCAAGATATTGCGTGTGACATGGAAGGGGAAGGAAGGTTGAAAGGATGATCTGCTAAAAGTATCTAAATTGACTCTGGATTGTTAGACATTGATTAAGGTTATATAAGTATAAAGAGGGTATATAGCTCAGTTCAACCCTCTGGCCTGTCTGTATTACATCTTTGGCCTAATCTTTTAGCGGAACCAGCAACTCGTAGACTCGCATCTAACCGATGGAGATTTTTCACGTATGATGTATGTGACAGTGTCCAGCTTTCACTACTGTCCACCCTCTCAGTGTATTTGTTTACTGTAGTATTGGCCCAGGTATCTTAAATTAGATACACCTGATGTACTACTTTTGATTGTCAGGTAATTCCCTGTAGTTTCGCTGGCGTCACGAACTCATTCTCATCACATGACGAACTAATCAATTAGGTATGACGGGATTCATTTGTTTATATTTAGACCTTATTTATTAAGAATTAGAGTGTTGAAATTGTCCTTCTAACCTATCTTAAGTAGGTACAGTGAGGATTTAAGGCGGCGAGCCAATAATAATCTAGCTATTCCTAGCTATCCTCTAGTGTTCGAAAGAAAGTTTAATGAAGCAAGGTTTTGATAGCGTAGAGCCCCGATCTTTGCTAGCGCAAATGTATAGGCTAGTGCATTTAATAGGAAATTACAATTTCATTCCCTGACATTCGAGAAGAAAACATATGAAAAATGTTAGAGCCGAGCTTAGCTTGGGACAGAGTAGCCTTTAAGTAGAACATGAGGCCTAAGCGGTTGTGTGCGCTTTCTATCCCTTCCAGAGTATTGAGGGAGCGAAAAAAACGTGCACGTAAAAGTGGGTATAAGTAGATGATAACTAGATCGAATTGAGGCTCAAATGCTTGGAGATACTGCCTGGTTGGCCGAATCAATGTGTTTTACGGGGAAGGTGTTCTACAAGTAGATACTTTTACTCTATTTTTACTCCACTTTTACGTGCACGTTTTTCCGCTCCCTCGATACTCTGGAAGGGATACGTTTCCACAAAAGATTTGCTGGTCGGGACAAGCAGTTTGTCTAGATTACTGTAGCAATTTGGTAAAGCAATATTATAGAAGTTGAGAAGTATACCAAAAGCGTCTAATTATAGACAATTCCTAACAAAAGTCTAAAGTATCGGAGTGCCCCCTCGTTATCGCATATCTACAACTATCTAATTTTTCAAGTTTACCATTTTTAGTAATAGTATTTAGGCTTGCTTTAATCTAAATAGTACGGAGCAAGTCGGCCCCGGTCTCGTAGCGCACCTGGGCATTGTTCCGGCTGGTCCGACCACTCGGATCTAGCTGAACCGCTATAAGCCGAACCTTAATTTTGACCTTTTTGTATAGAGATACTTGAAATAAATGCTTGTTTTCAGGAATTGTAGCCCAAGTAGGAAGTTGTAAACTCAAAGAATTATATATATATTCATATAATGACGAGGGGACAATATAAACCGAGTATAGTTAGCATTCGGCTTTGTAATTCGGGCTATTTTAACACACTATCTTATATGTAATAGGGTCTTTATATAGAGCTAATTTCAATCAGGGGTCTAAACCAGTTGATTGAAAAACAATTAAAATGGCATTGAGCCAAAATCTTTAATACACTATTATTACAACTTTATTTAGCTCATTCAGCACTATCCCCGCAACATTTAGATTAGCCTCATGCCACCGCAAAAACTTGACTCCCATAGCAACATTGCAGCACTCTTGACGGTCGACTTATTTCACCTTATCGGCATTATCCGTGCCAGTGTCAGTACCTTAGGAACCCCACTTGTTAAGGTATCAGAAATAGATATTATTGCGACATCAGGATTCGGTGCTAATCGAGTTAGTTCACGTGATATGCCCCAAGGGAGAATAGGTACTTGTACCGATCGCATATCTGTTTAGCTAACACGCTTTTTCTCCTGTCAAACCAACAGGCATCTATCTTTTAGAAAAAATTCAAGCTTCTCTAGTCAGTATTCTACAGCGGCCTTAGCTCGAAAAAAAATGGAAGACAGTGATTCTTTTCACGCGAATTACAGCAAACTCGACAGTCAAACTGAATCCGCAACTGACTGTATCACTTCCACCATGAAGGTACCCTTTTTTCGATGCACTCACCATTCTTTAGGTCAATAGACAATTTTGATGCCCAAGTTCTTGGAAAGTAAGGATATTTGGTACTATTATATCTGGGCGCAGAATACGCGTAGAATGGAATGATGCCCCAACTGGGCAACTAACGTTTGGTACTGACGAAGCGTCGGTTCGCGCGTCGAAACAAAAAAGACTGTTGTGATATCCCACTCTCTGTAATCACGTTTTAGCAGAGACCCACCTTGTATCAGTACTCGTTCGCATTCATTCCTTTAGACAGAATCGCAACCAACTATTGGAACGTTTTGCACTTCTTATTTCTCCTTTAATTATTATATCCAAATATCTCATACACAAACGAAGACATCAATCACGACTTTCTCCGAGTTTCCCAAAGAAAGAAGAGAAAGCTCGGTAATAAAAAGACCATTTTCAGGAGGGCCTAGAACACCAGTACCGTCTCTATCCTCGCATCCTCGTCCCAGCGATATTTAATCAATACAAAACTGCTTCTGACCCCTGCAAAGCCAATCAACCCCATAGTCACCTCCCAATGACGCACCTCCCGCAGATCGCTACCCCATTCCATCAACCCCCATGTTTTCACCAGACGGACAGTAAGATGACGTAGCAGGTACAGAAAAACTCGCGATGGCATGTAAAAATCAAGAAATTTACGGACGTGGACTTAGATGTGAGCTCTCGGTTCGTAATTAGTGTTTACTTAAGAGCGTGCTATCGACTGTTTTTCATTATTTCTGTTCTCACCCAGTCGTGCTTCATCATCTCAATCAGTTCGAAGAGATAGCAAAATCCTCCCGTCAGTCTCTTTCACGTACAATCGTACGTACCTCCATATCCCTCCGCCCGGCTTCCACTTGTACATCAACAAGACAAAACTAACTCCCACCAAGCTCTCCATCTCATCTACCTCATCCAAAAACCCCCTTTAACACCAAAAAAATGTCTTCAAACCAAACCCAAACCCAACAAACCCAATCTCCTCTCCCCCAACAAGCACCCCAACAACAAGCCCTCCAATACATCCCTCCACGAGCGGAAGGCTACCGCCCCGCCGCCATCAGAGAATCCCGCATCAAGGATCGTCCGTATAAACCCGAGGCGGACAGCAGTTTGAAGATCAAGATCGAGCTGGATCTGGAGGTCGAGGTGGATCTATATGCGAGGTAAGTGGTTGCGAATATCCTTTGCTTTGAGGTGTTTTTGAGCGTTGAGACTATGTCGTCTTTCAAGACGTGGTTTCTTCCTTCTCGAAAGTTTGTGGGGTTGTGTTGTGAATGTGTGTAGCAATGCTGACTTAAGTTTCAAATAGGGTTAAGGGTGATGTCACGATAGGATTGATGTAAATCATCAAGGGGGTGGATGGGAGAGACGATGGGTAATGATAATGATAGTATGGGGCTTTCACAGCATCGTCCTTGTCGAATATTGGTTTTCTATCGCGGGTAATCTTTGCAGACAAGCAGGCGAGGCGTTTGGGTTAGGGACATATAGCATAATTCAAAAGATTCTTCTTACCGATGTTTACAGTTTACTCGATCCTCGTCCGATTACTTCTTTTGTTCTTATGATGATAGTGTAATCGTGAAGGCTAGCGGTAAAGAAAGGCATCGATTTGCCCTCAAGTGGCACTATCATTCTTCAGATGGACAAGAGAAAACTAAAGAGCATATATACAAAGACTGGCCACCTTTAATATGATCCGGTGACCGGTTCAATTTCCCTGTTGACATATTGTCGGTTGCCGAGAAAACCGAACATGGCGGCCACGAACAAGGAGCAACCAATAAAGGCGATAATCCCTTATCAATTAAAGGTTATAAATACTCTTGTATATATTGCATGAAATGCCACACGCTTGCAGTAATGGTATCTCTCAATCCCTAAAACAGAAAACGCCAGTCGCTATTCTCCTTCGCTATGCCTTAACTCTTGTTTTTCCCATAATCGACTAGAAAAGAAATAACGAACATAAATCTGTTCAGTACATCACAGCATCGCTTCAATCACATATACAGGTTTTGTAAAGAACCCGCGGAGAGTCTCATCCTCAACCGCTCATTAATAAGGTCCTCTTCCTCCCCACTTTCAGAACCCATCATCGGTATAAGTTCAGGACTATCGTACCGTCTCTGCTGAACCTTCAACAATTCCATTCCTTCCTCAGAAAAAACAATAGGTCTAATCTTCGCCCACCAAACCCAGTACACGACACCCAGCCCAAGAATTGCCAAACTGGTCGACGGGTAGGCATACCACTGAAATCTCTCACCACCACCTAGAACCTCGCTAGGTTTAATCCATGGCAAGACTAATAACAAAATATTACTGGCGGCAAAAATGATGGTGTATATTCTCTTCGCTTCGCAACCGTGGTGGCCTTTCCAGTTTTCTGAAGGTGTCATTTGGAGGTATAGAAGGCCAAGCGAGATAGCTACAGATATAGCAGACACCGTGTAGCCGCCTATGTCCACAAGGAAATTGTAGATTTCTCCTGGTGGCGGGAGCATGATGAAAAGGACTGAGATAAGCCAATGGAGGAATAGACCAGGTGTGGCATTTTGATCTTCTGCTTGGGCGTCGGCTCTGCCCCTGGCTCTTTGGATTTTGAAGAAATTTGCAATAGGCAAAATTCCGTCTCGACCCAATTCCATGTTGACTCTCGCTTGGGCGAAAGATGTTGCGGCAATATTCCCAAATGCTGAGATGATGATGAGAAGAGGCAGGATATTCTCACCCACTCTTTGGCCGAAAACATTACGAAAGAAATGGCCCGCGATGAGAGCGCCAGAGGAGCTAAATTCTTCCCGTGAGACTACTGCGAAGTATGCGATGTTTGCACAGATGTATGCGGTTGAGACCAAAAATAAAGCGATTGGTGCTGTGCGTTTAAGAGTTTGAATTGGATTTCGAACTTGACCCAAGACCTGGTTAGCCGTACTGTAACCGCGGTAGCAATATAAGACTTTGAGAAGCGCTGTTGCGTAATCGTGGGGTTGCGTGGATGAGCCAGCAAAGAGGTTTGAGAAGTTCTTTTGAGCGGTAGTGAAATACCTTTCCTGATCGAATGGAAGGTAGCCATCTGGTCGCAGTCGTCTTGGTGTAACAGGTAGAGGTGACGATGAGGAACCAACGCCCATATAAACTCCCGCAATGCCAGATAGAATGATGACCACTAAAATAACCATTTTACCAACTCCAAGAATATTGATTATCCGTAATCCGGTCTTTTGACACTGCGCGTGGATAAAGCAAATAACGCTGATCACTCCAACTGCTACGAGACGAACATTCCAGCGATTGGCTTCGATCCCCAATATGTACATCACGTACTCTCCCAGTACGATACAATTAGGCGTAGAGAAACCAAGAAGTACAACATAGCTCATGAACATGCATGTCGCTGGCATGTATGGCTTTTTGAAAATTCGCTCTAGATAAATGCGTTCACCTCCGGACCTAGGCATGGCGGTTCCTAGATCCATGTAAACCGCCAGACCGCAAAAGGAGATGAGGCTGCCTAGTATCCATAATGTTATACTGGCACCAACAGAGCCCACTGAATTGAAGAAAGAGGATGGTATAGAGTAAATCCCAACCCCAATTGTTTTCCCCAGGATGATGTTTATGGCAGAGAAAGTGCCTAACTCTCCGGATGAAGATGTGGGGTAGAAGCTTGGAGTGATTGGCAGTTTTTCCTGACTTGGTGGTGATACTGCCAGCGTAGAACTGGAAGAAAGCCGATCATCTTCGTGATGCAAGTATAAATAATGTGGAATGCGGCCTCGGTGACGCGGAAGGTATCTTTCTCGGCGTGGGCGTGTCAAGAAATAATGATGAGTTCAAAGTCGCATAAGTCTGTTCTGTGTTGATGGACAGGCTATTTCGTCCTGTAGGTGATCTTGGAAGCACCCATCGAGGGGTTCTAGGAGTCAGTGGTGATAGGAGCTCGGTGCCTATAGTGGAGATCGCGAGTCCAATGGACTCCAAACTGGAGTGGGAAAACCCAGCCATCTGGAGAGTGTTCGCTTACTCTGGTTACTGTTCCGTGAGCAAGTTTTCTGAAAGAAGTCAACTCAACGAGGAAAGATGGACATGTGGGTATGTGAGAAGATATGAGGGAGTTCTCATTTCAAAAAGATGAGACCAGGATATATGGAATTGATATTTGCAAAACACAAGACAAGCGAGAATGCCGTGCCGTGCCAATAATGGCAAGCAGTACAGGATGAACGCTTCTCTCTTCTCACAACCTTAGCCTACCATTGCCATTCTTGAATTGATATGGAACCAGCGAAGGCTGATCACTCGCACCCAGAATGGACCCTTACTCAAATACGGAGCGTAGTATTAGTCTTAAATCCTAAGAAACAGTGAAACGGTGCTAGTCCCGAAGCCACGAGACATCAGCACTAGAAGACAGTCCTGTACAGGATACTCAGGATTCCTCAGGCGGGAGCATCCACCCGTAGAGTCGTACAGTACTGGTGATGGGTTTTCTGGTCCAGTACAGTAGCAGGCGGTTGCATTGAGGCCGTGCCGACGTGAGTACGGAGGTACAGAGGTAGTTGCAAAACCAGTCAACCCGTCAAACCAGGTTTGGTGGTTTGATCTTCGTCTGGGGAAGCCCAATGCTTGGCGGGACTTGGCACGCCCATCGTGTCGTGGACCTCTTCTCGTCACGCCTCATTGTGCCTGTACTGTATTTTCAACAAGTGCAGAGAAAGTGATTGGATGAGATGGAGCAACTAAGACATTGGCAAAGCTTGTATCAGAAACTGCAGGAGAAAAAAAGAAGGGTGAGCCGAGCAATCGGCAAATCTTGCACGATGGCGTCCCCTGGCGTCCGTTCCACAGACTTCTGGGAATAACGATGGGATTTTGATCAGAAAATGCAAAAGATGAAAAGAAACGCATACAAATGTATGTGTATACACATTTTTACCTGTAACCTGCCTATCTCCTCTTCGCATCATACGTGCAATTCGAATTCTACGAGGAGGTCTTAGGCTTTCACATTTAGTCTTGGTAGATATGGTACTTTTAATAATGTAATAAATCTAATAATAATTTGAGATGTTCTATTAAATATAGGTATAAATTTAGAAACCGCATCGCAAATATCGTCATAAGTCTGAGGAGTCTAAGGAGTTTAGGGCTCAAGTGTGATTGTTAAATATAATAATTGTTGAACTGATGAATTACTCGCACATTCAGTACCCAAGAGAAAGCTAACGAGTACTAGATGTACCAACAGATTCATGTGAAACATTCAACTTTTCAACGCAGATAAGCTTAAAAAAGGCTTGTTTTCAGAATTGCTTATTAAACAGGAAATCGCAAACCTTCCTCCCAGACACAATATTTGTAACTTTTACGGGAGTTTGAACCCTATACTCCACTGATGCTACCCTAGAAAAGCTACAATTATCTATGCATGGGATGAAGTATGATGTGACGAGGGGATATCCTGATGTCGAGTATAGACTCCTGGCAATTAATGGCTCTTGAATCTTCGCAACCTGTGTCCGCTTTCATTCTACGCCGTTCTCTACCAGTAGCACAATTGTTCTTCCAAAGAAGTTTGTATGAAATATTATGCGGGAATTTTCGAGAATACTCTCGCAGTTTTTTGTAAAGGTTAAGAGAACGATATGCAAGACCAAAGGCGTCAAGACTACTGGTAGTATATTCCTTGGCATGAACACGTTCGTTGAGGAGATACAGCGTTGGCCCTGCCATCGGATTTCCTCATTCACAGGATACAGCACTACACAACAGCTACTCAAATGCGTTATTAATCATTCCTTCTGATTATTTCTTCTATCCTTCTAAGCATCTAGTTTCAGACGATCTAACAAAAGGTCGATTTTGTTCAGTAAAATTTGGTGGTTGAGTGCATCTTTCTCAAGTTCATCCTCAGCAATCCTGCCATCAAGAGTCTTGACACCACCCGCAAAAGAAGGGGATGCCAGGTTATGATCGTCCATTACGGCAGGTGGTTGAGGAATGTTCATATCGATTGCCTCATCTGTCAAGACATCGGTACTGGTTGGTTTCGATCCATCGTCTTGAGCGACCTCCCCATTTTCGTCCATGATTTCTTCCAGACCTGAATCTTCGAACCCAAGTCTAAAACGTTCTGACAAGTAATGGCGGATACTATCATTGAATTAGTTGTTTTGGTCGAAAGTAATGTAAAAAGTAAACATACTCATCAAGCAACTCAATAGTATCAGTCTCCTGTCTGTTTTCAATTCGCGAAGCACTCTCCCTGATAAGTTCTTCAAAATCCTCTTCATCAATGTAGTCCTCAAGGCGGTATGCAAGATACCGTGCGCTGAAATGCTCCAGTCTCTGTATCTTCAAAAACCAACCTGCACGAATCACATCATACACGTTGATTGGTTCAACTTCTACTTCCTCGGAAGTCTCATTGTCGGTCGATTTGACTGTGCCGTTGCCCAAGGTACTGATAACAACAGCTGCCTTTGTTTTCAATGCTTCAATGAAGAGCATATCGGCAGCAAAGAGAACATCGAGGGCTAATTCGATGGGAATATCGGCTTTCTCGGTGTATAAAAAGGTCAAAACAATTTGGAGGACATCCGGCGTACACGCGACCGGAACAACGTTTAAAAACTCTCCAATTTGCGCCTCTTGAAAATCAGACGTGAACATTGTTTGAAAATATTCGGAACGAAGAAGCATCGCTCGATGCACTGGAAACAAAACTGATTTCTTGGGCTTCCTTGGGGGCCTTGAAGGGGATGGGGACCGAGAGGTCGAAGCAGGCCCAATTGGGATCCCAATGAATGGAATCGTTGATTCCCCAGTCTTAGGGGACGCCAGGGCAGACTCTGGATCTGCATCATCTGCCTCGCCGTCTTCACTTGCGCAAAGCAGCACATCGGCAAATATACTATTGTCTCTTGTCCACTTGACGTCTCGAGCCTTGCTTGAGTCAACAACCAATTTATGTTTCAGCACGTGTCCACGGTACCAATCCTCAATCTGCTTCGATGCTCTAATCATCTCATCCTGGTGGCGCTGTCTTGCTAACCGCCTATCGCCTCCTGCTAGTATACCTTCCACGAGCGATTCAATTTCCAGCTGTTTGCTGACTTTATCGATACCCTTGAAAACATCATCCTCTGTTACAAATCCTTTTCCGCTAAGCCCCAGATCTAATGGCACGCCTCCCAAATACAGGTATCTTAGAGCGATATGAAAAGCTTCCGAGGGAATAGTGTTCGGTAGCTTCCATACTGTGGTTTCTGGGGCGTTTGAAAGCTTCTTTGCAAAGTATGGTGAGCGAGCCGAGAGAATAAACTTGTGTAAATTCCACGCTTCTGAACCAGCCGTCAGAGATATATCCGAGGTTTTCGGTTTTTGTCTAGCGAGGAGGGAGGTAATATGCGAGGCAAATGGCTGAAGGGGATCGAAGCTTTTGCTGTAGTCATAACTCAGAAGAAGCTTGTCGATGAGTTAGCGTTCATATTGTATTTATTTCTGCGAGTGGGAGGTTGCTATGATAGCCAGTTGCACACCTGACGAATTCTATTATTTAAGGCATTATAAAGACATCGTTCCCCTTGGAAGGTATCCCGCTCGCAGAGTGCTCCTGATTCTAGAAGGAGCTGAACGGTTTCATAGTTTCCACAGAGGGAGGCCTGCCCAGGTCAGTACCTACTCGACCTTCTCCACCCACTCGATTTCCCAAGAAGACACCACCATAACGCACCAATATCAATGGAGTGTAATCGAAAGCATCTCGCGCGTTGATATTGACCCCCTTCGTAATAGCTTCCTGGCAGCCTTTCAAGTCCCCAATGCGACAAGCATAGCACAGATCATAGAATTCCTGGCTGAGGTCCAGTGGGCTTTCATCTCGGAGCTTACCCTCCTGTATCAGTTGATGCTCTTCCTTGAGTTGGATCTCCAGCTGGTCCTTGCGCAACGACATCGTGGACGGAAGTGTAGCTATGCCATGCAGATACCTAATGCGAGTAAACCGTACTTCGAAATCACAAGAAAAGAAGAATGATGCTCGGGTTCCAACGAACCAACGATGGGCGGAGTGAGGTGGCAATCAGAGTCGTGGGGTAGCGGATAGTGAGCTCATGGGCAGTCGGGAACTGGAGCTGGAGCGGCCCCACCAGAGCCCGGCTAATACTCGGTAGTCGGTTGCCCCCCCGACTCAGGCTCGCTCGTTTTGTTGACAGGCAACGGTGGGAAACTTTGAGGACCCGGTCAGAAACTCTACCACGACAATCAATTCTACCAACAACCTCGACTCCGCGCCAAAACCCCGAATTCAAAGCCAATTCAATCCTACACATGGCCCTCGCTTTTCGATAAATACTACTCACCAACAGCAGAATATACACGCGACCATCATGTCGCAAGCAGATCACTACGAAACATTGGAGAAGATTGGTAAGTGTTGTGTTGCACACCGTGCCATGAAGGACTAGAGCAGGACTAATATGGATGCGCCTGGTAGGACATGGCTCCTTCGGTATCATCAGGAAGGTTCGCAGAAAGGCAGATGGTCAGATCCACTGCCGCAAGGAAATCAGTTATGTCAAGATGTCGCAGAAGGAGAAGGAGCAGCTACACGCCGAGTTCCAAATTCTCTCCTCCCTCCATCACCCCAATATAGTCCGATATTATCAACGAGAACACTTCAAGACGACCCAAGATTTACACCTGTACATGGAATACTGCGGCAATGGAGACTTGGGACGTGTCATCAAAGATTTACAACTCAAAAAGGCATATGCTGAGGAAGGGTTCGTGTGGAGCATGTTCGCTCAATTGCTTTCTGCCTTATACAGATGTCATTATGGCGTCAATCCCCCAGAAGTTGGCGCGAATGTCATGGGTTTGGGAAACTCTGCGAAGCCGCAAAAGCCAGCCAGTGGAACTATGATTCTGCACCGGGATCTCAAGCCCGAGAATGGTATGTCTTCTGCGCTCATCCGCCGGCTGTACTTTTGGTTGCTAATAGGGCACAGTATTCCTCGGAGAGGACAACTCGGTTAAGCTTGGGGATTTTGGTCTTTCGAAAATCATGCAATCTCATGATTTCGCATCCACATACGTCGGCACTCCATTTTATATGTCCCCGGAAATTTGTGCAGCAGAACGATACACACTCAAATCGGACATTTGGTCACTTGGTTGTATCATTTATGAGCTTTGCGCTCGGGAGCCACCATTCAACGCCAAGTCGCACTTCCAGTTGGTCCAAAAGATCAAAGAGGGAAAAGTTTCACCACTACCAAATATGTATTCTCCCGAATTAAACAGTGTCATCAAGGACTGCCTGAAGGTCAATCCTGAAAGAAGGCCAGATACTGCCACACTACTCAACCTTCCAATTGTTAAGCTAATGAGGAAGGAGAAGGAGGTGGTTGATATGGGAAGATTGGCAAGAAACAAGGACGAACTTGCCACTCGAAAATTAAAGGAGGTGGAAGAACAATTACGCCAATCAAATAATTTGCGCCAAGAATTGAATGATTCTCTTCGAAGAGAATGGGAGGTCAAGGCCCAACTGGAAATCAGTCGTCAGGTTCAAATGGAGATTGAGAAGCTGCAAAAGAAGTTTGATGAAGAAGTCAAAGCAAGGGTGGTACTAGAATTGGAAAAGCGATCAACTACACCAGATTTACAGGCTGTACAAAAGGTTAATATGGAGCCAGAAGAGGTCCCTCTGCCAAGGTCTGATTCATCTTCAGACAATTACCCATCATCGTCCTACGGCACCAGTGTGAGCAGTGACTTCACTTCATCCACTGACTTGACAGAGATGTCGGATTCTCCAGAGACCGCAGTAAATACAAAGAAAAACGCGAGGACGCCATTTGGTCGCGCTCAAACCATGTTTGCTGGTACTCCAATGGATGTCGAAATGGGTGAGCCATCGCCTATATCCATCGCTTCTCTGTCACTATCGCCCCGCCGGAATGGAGCCACCAAAGCTCCCAATACTGGTCGCAACATATTCGCAGCAGCTGCTGAAACTCGTATGCAGCCAATTATGATGAACTCGGATGACTCTGATGATGATGACTTGCCACCGGTGCCCTCACCTACCAGACAAAAGTCCGCCAAAAATCCATTCAAATCCAATGGCTCACGTCCTGTTTTAGTTTCTCAAAAAACAGCGCCAATTCGCAAGGTTTCGCATACCAACTTATTTACTTCTGCGAAAACTAATACAACGCCCAACGTAACAACATTATCGAGTGCTCCCGATCTACGTCCACAAAGCAGTAGTAACAAAGAAAGAGGTCCAACTCCTACTCGCCGACTTTCAAAAATACCGTCTTCGACAAACCTGCAAACTCATGACAACCCACCAGGTTCTCCAACTCGAAAAAATAGCTTGAAGAAGGCTGGAAATCAAGTTGATGATCTCAACAAAATCGCCACGAAGAACAACATGATCAAGGCTGGCAGTGGAGGACCTTTGGCACCAAAAGGACGAACACTGGTGGAGTTAGCCCAAGCAAGGGCTGGGGGGCGTCCCATTGATGGCAACCGAAGCCCAGAACCAAAAGGACGAGCTTTTGCGCAACGTATGGCTGATAAAGTCGCCGCCAAAGACCAAGAAGTGGCGGTGTGGGATCCAGAAAGAGAGGAAATGCCAAGTCCATTTTTGTCGAGGACCAGACAGATGGCGATGAAGCGATTTTCGTGAGGAGCTACTTTATGATCAAGGTCACGGACACAAGGCAGTAAGGCGATCAACCACCAAAGCCAAGAAGGCGATTAGAGAATCAGGAAACTTGACAGAAAAAAAAAAGTACCATTCGGCATAAAGCATCTCCTTTCACTCGCATCCAATACACATAGCAAAAGGCTATTCATCTCTTTTTTCTTTTGTACATACCTGCATGGATTGGCTTGGGATTGGGGATTTGGATTCGAGCGTATACCTACGCTCTTCCCTATGAACGAACGGTTCACTTCTATAGGCGTTGTCGGTGGAGGCCTCTGTTTTTTGAATAAAACTCTCCAAAGAAGTAGCTTCGTTTACGTTCTATGGATGTTTTGTTTTATTGGAGTCGGAAATGCGTTTCTGGAGTGTGTGGAGTTAGTGAGGAGTCTTTGAAATCATTGAGGATTTGGAGAATGGTAGCATAGAGAAAGGGAACGAGTGCTTATGTGGTGTTAGGTTGTGTCCCTCCTTTTGACTGAATTGAAGCAGCCTTCGTTAGTCTAATGAAACTCATTCATTGTGTGTATTCTGCTTCAATGTCAGATGTGTTTCAAGGTCCTTTGGGCATCGTTTTGTTGGTTTGCTTTTTGTGAAGAGCTCTTTCTTGTCTCGAGTGATCACCATGCATGCATATATGACACTGATTGACTGAGACCTTCTTGAATTGGAAGCCTGAGATACCCCGTTCTGTTATCCTTTATAACCGAATTAGGTTCCTGCGGCGAAACAGGCGTATTATTGACCCCTATTTTTGGGAACAACTCTAGCTCTCTTGAGCACCTAGACCATACCATATTGACTCTGTATTTTGTCGTTATGTCTGGCCTGTGGTAAAGTTGAGGTACAGTAACAACTTGGGGAGAGTGTTAGTATACCGTTATCTGTTACCTAAATTTATTTCATTATATAGTACTGTTTCAGAATCTATATGAAGAGAGTTGAATCACTAAACTCATTTGTGGACTAGTAAAGCTTGCAAAACACTTATTAATGCCACCTTGATTTCCAACTGTTAGTTCTAGAGGTTGCACTTATAGTCTATAGTAGTACCTAGGTTATTACCCCTACTACTATATCCTCAGTACCTATACTTCGCCGTATTTAGCTCTAACATCTCCAAGAAGTGATCTGGTCTTTGTATTCTATAGTTATATGGTCATCCGTTAGTGGTACAGTGAAATTGTACTTGCAACTACAGGTGAGTCCCTTGTTGCCTCCCCAGTAGTTTCACTATACACTCCCTGAAAAAAAATACAAGAAGGAATGAGTTCTGGTATTGTAAGTTCAATTTATGAAGTTAAGTGAACACCAAACAGATCTAAATCTGAAGTGTTTGAATCATCTTAGGTTCAATTATGGTTTAGTATATGTAATGTTTGCACACTATAGATGTCTCGTTTTGTAAGTTGTTGTTTTGTTATGGTTAAGCGAGTGCAGGATGCTATGGTTGGATCTGTCTAATAGTTTGGGTTTTCCTGACTACCTCTTGGTGACGTATGCTTCTTTAGTCCATCTTTCTTGGTATATGGATGCAACAATTTAAATACTTAGGTCTTGAGAAAGTGAGCAAATCACAAGGAGAAAATGTGCTACTGCAGGGCTCTCGCATATCGCCGTCAAAGTTGTGGTTGGATTACTTCAGACCCTGAGAGATATTTATACATTATAGAAATGATACTGATTATAGAACTGAATGATCAAAGTATAGATATGCCACAACACTTTACTTTGGTTGCCCTCTAGACATAACTATATGCTACAACCCATACAAGTGGATGAAGAGCTAATAACTAGTAGGAGTTACTATAAAGACCTCTGTACTTAGCGTGTTACAGTAGTCTAGTGATCTGTGGTGTAAAATTGACAAGGATCACAGTAGCACAAGAGGTGGGGGTACACGCTAACGCAACAGGACTTGGAATTGCTTTTTCCACTTGCCTAAATATCACAGACCCCCCACCCACTTCTGGTTTCTCCAACAACAGATTCTCACAACACACTTCAAACAGCAAAATGTATTTTGCCTTACTATTCTCCTTTTTGGCGTTTGCCAACTTCGCCACTCCTCAAAGCTGGTCTATCTTTGACAGTTATAACCAGGAGTGGAGCTCCATCCATTGGGATGTCTGCATAGTTGGTGGTGGATCCAGCGGGATTTATGCTGCCGTATCACTCAAAGATTCCGGCAAGACTGTCGTAGTGGTAGAGCGCAATAATTACCTTGGGGGACACGCACATACCTACTTCAAATCGAATACGCCCGTGGATTTTGGCGTGGTTATTTTCCAGCCAATCCCAGAGGTAACCAGGTGGGTGTTTCTTTCTTGCTATCATTGTCTTGAGAGAGTTGTGACAGCTTTTCTAGTTACCCAACGATCGAAATGCTCTATATCATCACAGGAAATAGCCATGCTAACTTTGAGATCTCGTATAGCTATTTTGAAAGATTCAGCGTTCGGATGCTCAACCTGAGATCGCCAGAAGTAATACCAAATATTCCAGGGCATCCAGCAAACAAATCCCTTCCAGCTGTTCTTTACGCCACAAATTATGAATCGCGAGATTTCCGAGATGGGTCAAAAGTCAATCCTACTGCGTTTTCTGATACGGAAGTCAGCGCCGCTTTCGCCATGACCACGAACCTTTTAGCAAACTACAAGTACCTGCTTCATGGATACGATCTGCCTGATCCCGTCCCAGAAGACCTCTACCTTCCATATGGAGCATTTGTCAAAAAATATCACCTTGCAGCTGCTTTCCCCAAGTTGTTCCACTGGGCTGGGGGATTGGGGGATGTGTTCCACCTTCCCGCAAATTACGTGCTCAAATACTTCAATGCGGAAGTCATCCTCTATGCCTTCAAGCTTGGCCACATAACACCAGCTTCGTATGTAACTTTTGCAAATTCCCCTTTCTCTAACTCTTAACCTTCCTCGCCAAAGGAAGCTTCATACACGATCGCTGCTGCTCTCAGCTCCTTATCTTTCAAGCAAGATATATGCTAACTTGCTATAGTGGTAGCACCCATGAACTCTACTCCAAAGCAGGAGATTTCATCGGCGCAGACAATATCCTCCTTGATTCCAATGTGATAGCCACCAACCGAAAAGCCTCATCATCAACGGGAACCGCCGAACTCCTCGTCTCAACGAAAGACTCAGGCTTGAAGTTGCTCAACTGCAAGAAAATCCTTCTCACCATCCCCCCCACCCTCACAAACCTTCGCGGCTGGGATCTAACCCCTGCAGAGCATTCAGTCTTCTCCCAATTCACAACCTCAAACGGTTACTGGACTGGCTTAGTCACAAACGTTGGTCTGAACCAAACAGTAGCAATTCTTAACAATGCGGCACACACACCTGGAAACGTCCCGATTTTCCCAGCACTGTACGAACTTCAACCCGTCGGCGTTCTCGATGACGTGTGGTACATCAAATTTGGCGCCAACAATCCCACGATGACTACGGAGCAAGTAAAGTCATACGTGGAGAGCGAGATTGCGATCCTGCAGAAGGCATATAACGTCCCCGTCACCAAACCGGAGTGGTTGATGGATTCTCACACCCCTTTCCACTTACAAGTCTCCCCCGAGGCGATCAAAAATGGGTTCTACAATGAGTTACAGAAACTTCAAGGTGGTTTGGGTGGAACTATGTTCTATAGTGGTGCAGCTTTCCATACGCAAGCCAGTTCGCTGTTGTGGAGATTCAACAAGGAGGTAGTACTTCCAATGATGATGAAAAGTTTCTGAGGGGCTGCTTCTTTCTGAGGGAGCGAATTTGTGTTTGGGCTTTGCATTTGCTACTTTCGAGGCTGTGGAGCACATCTCTTTGTGGAATGGGATATACTACTTCTCTACCACCAGTAACTAAATTATAGCTAGTGGTTATCGAATAGAAGACACACTTGAAGCACGTAGCTTGGATTCATCATACATTCCGTTAGTTATTTTCTCTATGGATAATCTGCATGTGGGAACTAGAGTCTAACAGACAAAATCTACAAGACGAGTCACTCTCCATCGCGTATATTCCCAATGCTCTAGCGGCAAAGCTTTCTACAAAAAACCTTAAGATTAGAAATTTTGACCTTTCTCAGAACAATTTCAAGCATTCATACTGTGTGATGTTTTGAAATCCATGCATTGTAATTGTATAGGGGTATTAGTGCACTAAATTACAATATTCCACTTGCAAACCAACGTGTAAACCAGAACTATCAACCAGCAAAACAACGCATCAAAATTGGTTAAAGAAAATAAGCACCCCTCTAGCAGACTCAATCTGAGTTCACTTTGAGCTACTCTTACGAATGTAAAGATGAGGAGCATTTCCCATGAAAGAACCCCCGTTGAAGCCGTCATTGGCCCATTTGAATTCGCGCTTGACTCCAAAATCCATTCCGTCGATGTTCATCTTGGTTGCCTCGTACTCTTTGTTGAACATTTCCAATGTATATTTTGGTCTAAGAAGGTAGTCAGTGAACGCTCCAAAATGCCCTCCGTTATGCCATATGCATAAAATAAGTAAAATTGTGACTCACTTGCCCGTTCCGGGGACAGTATAAATGTCTCCATCTTTATACTTGAGATAGAAGGGGTGCCTTCTCTAAAGAGGAATGGGTCCATTTCTTCACCCAGGAACGCGAGAGGTTTGAAAATTTCGACGAGATATTTCTTCACCGCTACGGGCAAGATCAAGTCTACAACAAGCGTTGAACCATCGATATTGAACCAGCTTTCGTGCTCATTGTATTTGTCTTCGACGACTCTCATTCCTAGGGTTTTAGCCATGTGTTTATCCCGATTGGTGTACATTGGATCTTGAATAATAATTTCAATTTTTGTTCCATCGGGGTCAAGAATGTCTCGTATCGCCAACAATTCTGCATGCTGAATACAGCTGAGCAGAGATAACGGGGCGATATTGGTAAGGGTGCCGCCCCCAAGTGCAAAAATCTTCGTGACTCCCGTCAATGAATCTTTCTTGTTGCGAATAGTCTCTCTGAATTCTCTGAGAAATTTACTTCCAGAATACTTTCGAATTTCCTCTTCGATTTTGGCGTCGCTTGTAACACTATCTTTCATAGAGCCAGGAGGTTCTTTGAAGAACTCAGTTGGTAGATTTCTGGACTGTCTTAGCTCGCAGTACTAACGATAATAAACTGACTTACTCATGGTCCCATAGAATCTTTTTACATTTCTCCTTGAGGTCCTCAAGCATGGCCTTACGCTCAGCGGCTGTGGCCTCGTCTTTCATGGGGGGCAACTGCACTTTTTGATCCTTATAAAAATTTTGATCAACAGCTCTGCTATCACCATGTTTTCTGTAATTTCCAAGTTGAACACAATGGAAGTTCATTCTTTTGATGACCTCAATTTCCCTTTTAGGGTCACTGTTGTCCTCAGATGGCTCAAGAGGTTCAATACGCAAATCGCTGGGAGGAGGGTTCCTGTCAATTACTTCTGTGGGTATTTGCGTGTAAGACCCCTCCATGGAAAAAGATTATTTGGAATCTTCATTGCCAGAAGCCATGTTGGAATATTTGTATTACCGTTGTTTGTAAGATTGCTGTGTTTGAGAAGTGTAAGAAAGTGAGGGATTTTGATATGTTTTGGAAAGACCTCTACGCAGAGGGAAGGGATCCTTTTATACTACTTTCTGATAATCAGTGATTCACAGCTGCCAAAAATATGGTATCATGTAACCTACGTCCTCCATGAATCACAATCTTGAGAACAGGATTTTCACCAACATAATGACTAATTGTATTCTGATTTGAGAGTTCAGTATGTGAATGAGATCAGTTATTCATATCGTTCGCACTTGCATGTGAATATTAAACAAAGAAGCCAAATTTTGATTTCTGGTTGATGGGATTCTAACAAATCATCAGAATCTAACAACTCAATACTAACATTCCAATCATTATATTAACGGCACTCAAGGTGAACGATAAAGCGATTGGTTATCAAGGATACTGCCAAGTTAATGGCCTCAAACATTTTAACGAGAGCCTCCAAATGAGTCCATTTTGTTATCTTGCTATAGCTAATACTTGCTGGTTAAAAGTATAGAGTCATAGAAGGACTTGCTCGCTATTCCTGTTCCTGTTTCTCCTATTCTTCCCATTTACAGCTATTGGTATGGCAGAGTAATCCGCTTTGGCGTACTCCAAAGTATGTGAATCTAAGCTTACTGTACAGTAAGGGGAGCCGGCCCTTCATGTACAGTGAATCCAACTGCCATGATTTCCCACCTGACCTAGATTTACCCACAGACTCTTGGTTTGATATAGCGAATCTAAGGAAAGGATCTCGAAGCGCGTTAATGTTGGTGTTAAGCTAACTCACAATTTTCAAGAGGGGAAGTGTCACGGTACAAGTGCAAGTCGAGGACAATTGCGACTTGGTTGAATAGATTGATTACAGGGAGAGAAGAGATTCTTAAGGAGATCTATCTTTTAAATCGGTTGACACTGGTCTGTGCTGGTTTATCCATAATTGTGAATAGCTTCATGAATGAACGCAGGTCACCTGATCTGACTCCTTGACAGGAAGGCTGTTATTTGACAGAGCTTCTGTCCAATGCTTTTTGAACTACCTAGCCTTTCTATAACAAGAAACCAACTGAATTCAGGGAAGATTAGTGTAACGAATACTCAAACTGGCTAACTAAACTTGGCTGGGTGTTCGCTGGTTGGTATGCTATGATAAGAAGAAGACCATTGGGTTGTTCACTTAGAAGTGAACTCGTTACTTGTATCAAAGATGTCAAACAATAAGATAAGATTGATAACTAAGTTGAGCACGAAGCTCCTATCTAATGGCAGACGTGCCAGTCTTATATAGAACCTTCGTCCTCATGGGCGCTATGGTCGACATGGTCGACTTAGTCGGCCAGTCGCCCTTTATCACGTGATGACAACCAATGAGAATCCTTGGATCGCTTAGCTACCTTAAGCGGTCCCTATTTGCTATAAGAAACCTGGAATGTTCGTTGAGGGTTGCGCCTCCTATTATGACAAGCATCACGTGAACACGTGATTCATGACAGTTAGCATCAACCACACTAGGGCTTCTGGCTATCCCTTTTTTGCAGGTTAATAGACCCAATCTCCTGTTTTCATCCACCTGAGTCATTCATTGGCTATACAAGCTTTCCAGACTTAGTTGACTCAAACCAGATACTTTGATATTTGTATAGGTGAAAGAAGATGTCTTGATGTCCAAAGATAAGTATTTGTCTTATTAACCGCTTAGCGTTCATACCTCTAGCAACAGTGTATACAAGTAATCTCCCTTAACTAAGGTAAATAAATCGTTATCGCTCGCTTAGTATTAGACCCTTATATAAAGACTTTTAGTAGCTAGGTAGTAGCTCGAGGCTTTACCTACCCACGTGACCTACCCGCTTCCACCCCGGTCCACCTACGTACCTACAGCCTTTATTTTCTTGGGGGCCAGCCCCCAAACCCCCGTAGCTCGCAGCGCTCGGGAAGTAGTTTGTACACTGATTTATTAGTATCTGCATTCTAGGAACTAGACAGACGACGTTTCCAGGGCCAAATGCCGTCGCAAAATCGCGATATTATCGTAGGAGTTTTGTTAGGGGGCAATTACGTAATATGTCCAGCCTTAGTTAGTGCCTCGCATTCGTCAGGCAGCCACCCCACCAAAATCCACGGTCGCACTCGCACATACGTCCACGCTCTGCTAGCTACAGATGTCATAACAGCACAGCAAGAACACCAAAATATAGCCTAGGTGCTTAGAATATTTATGTTTAATTAATGTGTGCTTTGAATGCTATTCTATCGCGATGCGGGCGCGAGAGTACCTAGTGCTAGAGGTGGTGGTTTTGGTGTCCCTGGCCCGTGCGCTTAGTGCCTTGGCGCTTCCACCACCACCAGCCTAGTGTGCTAAGTGGGTATCTGCCCACCTTACTCTAGCTACATCAATCCTAAGAACATAGAAAGAACACCTAAATATAGCTGAAACTCTTAGATTATTCGTGCTCTATTTATGTACGTCTTGGATATGAATTTAGCTCGATGCGGGCACAAGAGTGGTAATTGTGGTTTTGGTGTTCGTACCCCCTGCGTGCTGACTAAGCTGAGCGAGTCCAGAACATCCCTGTTTCACTTTTTGGGTCGAATTTACATTGGCTGCATCAATTACAGGGGGTTTCTGGCCAATCAGGAGCCACGTACGGGCCACAAAACCACCCAAATCCTTAACTCGAAAATATCTCGACAGGTAAGCTTAGTAAGCACACCCCCCCTACGCACCAAAAACGTTAGCTGCGCTAACGAATAAATGTGTTACACAACCTAATAGTTCAATACTCACATGCGAATTTTAAACAAAGAATAAATAGAGGCCAACGTGATTCCAGCAACCGTACAACCAACATGTTGTGATTCAAACTCCAACCAACTTACCAACACAAGGCAGAAGCGGCTGTGGACAATTTTACTCCAACTTGAAAGTTTCAAGGATAAATGAATGGGTGACACAACAAACCACCCACTGATGAGAGAACCCAAGTGGGGTGCTTCCATTTGTAATATTGATCAAGTCAATTCTAGCCATAGGTGTGACGGGACACGTGATAAGATATGAGATATTACTTCCAAGGTTCATTACGTATATGAAGCCAAGAAAGTTATTAGTCGCTTTCTATATTTCTAAATGTGTTTAATCCAGTCAAAACCAGTCACTCAATAACCTTATACGACAAACTTGTAACCTACTGTACAATGGAAGTTAACATGTCACATTGTGAGAGGCCAGACCTCGAATAGCTCAAAGGTGTGGTTTCGAATATTCAATTAAGAAGTGCGTGAAGACTACATACATGCGAGCTCTTCCTCTATATATAGAGAGGAAGAGCTTCCTGAATATTCCAAGAAACTTGCAAGAAACTTGAATGACGAATACATGATGTCAGAAGAACAAAACAAGAAAGTGTGGAAAAGTAGAAACCTGTCTGGCAGTGGGGTAATGGCCAGTGCTAAGCAGGGACTTTGGTCAGTGCTCAACGAGGACTTTGGTCAGTGCTTAGCGAGGGCATGGCCCGAGCCTCCATCATGGGTTCCAACCCTCACACACATCACGTGGACTGAAGCGTTTGATGAACACAAAACCAAAGATTGCTCACAGAAATGCTAGTTTAAGGATTACTTGGTATTCAAGACTTCATCTTTAAGATTTCTTAGGCTCCCAGGAATTATTATATGTGCAAGATGCAAGTTCTGTGAGAATGGAGTAAGAGAGGTGTGACAGACGTGCTTCAGGTAGAACTCAGAACAATTAACACTCTATTCTTAGGACAAAAGACGAGGAAAGAAGGAGAGCTCAAGAGAGCTGGGAACTAAATACAGGTCGTGCGCGCTAGCGCCTCGCTAAGCGAGCATGTGACATCCAGCCCTCGTGACCATAACCGTCACAAGAGGTGTTGGAACCTCACCCCTCGCGATTCGTTTTTGAGGACCAATTATCGTACCAACCTTAGACTAAATATAGAGAGGCGGGAGTTTATGGAGGTTGTACTCTGGGGAGAGAAAGGTGGCGCCATCCATCCATGTCTATGTCAGACCTTGGGAATGATTGAAAGGGAAGAGGCTAGTCGAAAGGAATGGAGCACGATATCAATGTAATACCGGAGGTGTCTCCGATATATATCGTATGGAAAATATATTAATACAATATCGAATTCTTAGTAATAATCGAAATAATATCAATTATTGGCACACGTGACCTAGACTAACTATATAAGAGTACTTTAATCTAAGACCCATAGCTAATAACACTACTACCACTACTAGAAACTTTAAAGTGTAGCTACTATTCGAGAACACACCTTGTTCTACTAATAACTATAATTTATTTGAACATTTTAGGTTATTACTCTAAGGTTTAATTAGAATATAAACTCGCGTTTTAAGTAAGTGACCTACCTATATCTTATCTTGGTAGATACTTTTCTTTTTTATGTACACTCGTACCTCGTAGTCGTCTATTCAAGGTCTAGTTTGATACTTATCGATATCGCCGATTCTTATCAAATAAATATCGCAATCGTGGGAATCAGAATCGATGACAAAATCGCGATATTCCGATAAATATCGTACAGTATCGGCGTCCAGGTCTGTTCACATTCATCTGTGGCTCTCCTAGCCTTGCCACAACCGTCCCACGAACGCCACGAATGCCTCAGGACAGCCTCCCGGGGTCTGAACTTCATCTGATGATCTGAAGTTAATGCGCATGCAAGGGGACCTACAGTAAACTAAGAGAACAATTCGTGTTTTGGTTTTGATATTCTAGTCAATGATCTTAACCTTTCGCTTATTTCCGGTTGGCAGTGACAGCTCAAACCATACTGCGATCCTAAATCGTCATGAAGAAGAAAGCCTTTTGATAGAATCTTTTGGGATTTAGCGATCAACTCGGAGATCCCCAACTAGTCTCCGCGCCTGCGTCAACTGGCGCACTTCAACGCCGCTGATTCGTCCGATGTTGTCTTACTACCTAACTTCCAGCTGATCGGGTGTGTGGCAGGTGCTTCCCCAGAATGTGATACATACTATTGGCACCCTTAGCGTGAGGCTGGCTTTGGTTCGTGATGCGGCTTTCGCGTTGTCATTTTTGTGACTATTGATTCCTCAAGACACTATTGAGATTTTCGGATATTTAAACTCGTTCATTTTCTCGATTTTTTGTTGGACCAGAACGCACTTGCTGTACTTTCCTTCATCTTTCCTTCTCACATATCACTGTCAAGCTCGAAATCATGAAGTTCACTCTCGCTTTTTCCGCCTTATTGGCAACGACAACTGCACTATCAATCGTATCTTCACGCTCTCTTACCGAGCGGGAAGAATCCGACTTGTCCTCCCGAAACCTGGTCAAACCAACTTGCCCAAAAAATGGCAACCTTCCTGAGAAAGACTACCTCTCCCCAACCCTCATGGTCCCCATTTCCAAAAGTCTTCCTGATTTAGCCTTCGGTTCAACCAACCGCCCTACGATCACCCCAAATGACATTTGCACTATCTTCAATCTCGAAATTCCAGGCTCAGCATTCGGGAAAGACTGCACTCTTGAATTTCTGTTCCCCAAATTCCCATTACAAACATCAGATTTCTATGTTTACCGAGGCCAGGGACATTTCACTTTTACGGGTTACGCTTTCGGCACTGGTGCTACACTCAAGACTACTTATAACAATCAACCTCCAGCCGGACCCAGTCCACCTCAGCCACCAGCTGTGTTGGCACCTGGAAATGCTTATGTTATTAATGTTGGACCTTGTGGGATTCCAGCGGGCCAGAAGAGCATGACTGTCAGTGGAGCATTGTGCAGTACCGACACAACCTTTATCTTCAAGCAAGACAGCTCGACTTGTCCCATTGGATTCTTTGTTGTTATTTCCTAAGCTGGTAACATGGGTGAGGGGGAGATGGGGGGAAGGGGAGGTTTATGCAAAAAGCCCTCGGACGCGTGGATCAATACCATTCTGGTATAACTTTGTTGGAAGGCTTATGTATTCGCCACAGGTTTGTAGATGTTATCATCAGCTTTCTTGTATTATTACTAGTCTGCTCATGTGTGGTATGTCAGTATACCAATGAACGGTTGGAGTCGTATTTGTCTTTCACTTCCAAGAAGAATTACACATTTTCAACGCTAAACTCCGTGTGTACACTCTTTAGACCAAAAAACCAATCTACCCAATTCTCAAAATACTTCCAGTCCCAGGAATAATCCAGTTGAAATCTCCCGTAATATCCGTACTTTGTCGACTCGTCAAGGTAACACATTCCCCATCTAAATCAGGACCCGAGCAGACCAGAAGATTGAAGGAAGCGTCTGTGTCGGAATTGTAAATACAATTAGTGTTCAGGACGTTAATGCGTTAGTTTTAGGCGATAGAGTATTTGAAGCATGGTGCTGCGCAGCCGCCGGTATTGATGCTTGAGAATATTGGTGAGATGGAGTGTTGATTACAAGGGATAAGGAGAAAAATTACTGGTAATTGTTGCAGACTGTTACAGCTGAAGTGAGGGATAGAATAGGAAAGAGTGTGAAGAGGTGGTGGAGTTGCATATTGGAAGAGAGGTGAAGTTTGTGGTTGTTCTCGCCAAGTATTGCATTCGGACTAAAGAAGTGAAGATAGTAATAAACAATGGAGTTGAATGTGAAGGAACTGAAGTTTCAAGTAGAAATTCCCCTCTCTCTTATAGCCATATCAACTTCACTATCCATTTAAATAACCCCGCATGTTGGACCGGTCGTTCTCATTGAAAGCTTAGTGCTTACATGATGTACTGTAACAATCGAAAGCACACTCCCATATTCAAGATAAACAGGTGTTACTTCCATTGTACAATATGACGAGAAGCTCACATCACACCTCGTGATTACAAAAAAACATTCACGGGTATAGGAGGAAGGGTGCAGAAAGCCTCTCTGTGTGTACTACCGGTATTTCGAAACGTCAAAGCAATGAAGCATTAGAAAACGATCATGGCAAATGAATCCCCCTAATATTAGGTCCTGCAACTCCAATTCTGCGGAGAAACAAAAGTCTTATATGCCATGTATCGGAGGAAGCACAGGCTAACAATGCTGCACAACAATCTGGTACTACAGCAAATACAAACACTGTTCATTCAACAAACGATTCGGTCAAGATGTCATATCTCAGATAATGTGAGCAAAAGAAAGTGCAGCAAAACATCTGCAAGTAAGCTTTGTCGAGTGCTGCCTGGTTCCGCGATATGATCAAGCGCTCTAATCTGGAGAAGTACTGTAACCACCAATGAAGAAACCTTGAAGCCAAAAGCTTTGCAGCATTTGCATTCAAACACTAGAGCATTAGACTCGTACCTCCCCCAAGCAGGTCTGACTTCTCTCAGCCTCTTCCTCGCACATCTCCTTCGGCACTTTGCGAAAGACATGCCCAACCCCACTCCAGTCAGCAATGCCACCCTTTCAAACAGAATTTAGTACCCAAAGTAACTCCCACAATCCTGCTTCTTCCGCACCGAACACCTATTTCCAGATAGGCAAGTATGAAGCAGTTCATACAGACTCCCCAAACAGAGGAGGCATACTGACCCATCTCGCCGAACGTCACTAGTATCGGCGGGAACACAATGAACTAAGCCTTTCATTTGCAATTTGGGATACGAGTTTTATTTATCAATAGATAAGTTGCTCAGAAATTCGGATTAATAGAAGCGAGGTTCTATTTCCTTCACACAACAACAAAGTACGAGTTGTTCTAAGAACATTCTATTGCATTTCAGTGTGGGATATTTCGACACGTACGATTCCTCTCAGAGCCGAGATAAAGCTTAAAAGGGAGCTAGCAAATTCTTTGGGTAATAAATTGATACTTAACAGGGAAGAAGTCCTGGGTTAGGAGGTTATAAGTAAAGTTTCAATAGATCTAATAAGGATGTGTTTGGGGTAGCCTCCCTTTTTTACCACACGCATTCTTTAGTCGGTTTTACGAAGTAGGTATATAATAAGGTCCCAACCAAAAAGGCATTGGGCCGACACTACTCGAGTTACTAATGAGTTAATCAAGTACTTAGCGAGTTAAGTTAAATAGCGATTTTCACTACTTAAGTTAAGTTGAGTATGTGCTACTACTCAACTCAACTACTTGAATTCAATACGCTGTCTCGTATCACCAAGATAGTTGTGTGGAGGGTTTAGAATAATTGCTTGCGAAATTGCGCTTGATTATATGAACCTAGGTATCTTAAGACAATTATTTTACGTGTACTAGAAGGTTGGTGTAATACTATTTTATATAGTGTGTACGGAGTAATGACAAGGTAGGTAGGTATCTTACCTTGATTAGAGGAGGGTGTTCGAGAATTGATTCACGGAACAAAGGGGGAGGGGGGTTCCTATTGGGTATATTGGATTTATTTATGTTTCACTATTTCGCTTATTCTCCAATTTTCCACAATGCCTGCCGACGTATCTTACTTTCACCTTTCCACAGAAAAGCCCATAAAGGACAATAGCACATATCCCAATCCCTCTCCCGACCCCTACTACCAAAATTCCATAGAAAGTAGAAGCTCATCTCCAAATCCCCACCCCTGTTCCCAACAACACCCCTAACCTAAAAAGCTCTCTTTCGCACCCCACCCTCCTCCCAAGCCGGCAGCAAATTAACCTTCCTCTTCTTCCTAGCCGCCTCCTCCTTCTTCTTCTCCGACGGCCCCTTACTCGCCTCCATCTCACGCAAGCGCTTCTCGGCCGCCTCTCTAGCCTCGACTCGCATCTTGGCATTCTGGCGTTGGCGCCATTCGAAACGTGCCTCCGCGAGTTCAGAACTGATCGGTCCGCCGTGGATAAGATTGGTCAAGTTTTGTGCGCGGAGATTGTTCATGGTGTTGGTGTTGCGGTGGAGGGAGCGGAGAGAGCCTTGGTGGTTGGGATTGTATGGGCACGAGAGGGCGTGTGCTGAGTCGCCTATGCGCATGATGTTTCCCCAGTCGGCGAGACAGAGAAAGCACCAATCTTTGCCGCAACGACCTGGTTGTTGGTTAGATACTGTGGAAGCGAATGCAAGACCAAAAATGGGGAGGCTTTGAATGGGAAGGGGGTAGGAACTTACATGACAAATGATCACAGCCGTCAATCTTCGTGATGCCTTCTCCGCAACTGGGACAGATCTTGGATTCGTCGCTTGCGAGTAACTTTGCTGTAGCTTCAGCCTCTTCCAATCGCTGGATCGCGGTTGATGAGCGCTCAAATTCTGCGCAGGTTTGGTTCTCGTGCCATGGGATCTTATGGAGGGCGCAGATTGCGAAGGTGCATTCCTTGCATACCATTCGCGGATTGTCGGTGTCTGTGTGGACTTGACCTGAACAGCAGTGAGGGTTGAGACACATTGTAATAGATGGATTGGCCAGGAGCAGGAGATATTCATATCTAAATTCATGATTAGCGTGGTTTCTTCTGTCATTTTCCTGGATAAGCGGGAGAACTTGGAATTACCGAGCATAAGATTCCTCCGAGCCATACTTCTTCACTTCTTCCTTTGAAAAGATCTCGGGGCACCAAACACAATTCAGTCGGTGCAAAGTTCCTTGTGATAGCGTACTCGCAATACTCTGTTTGACACATAAGAGACAGGAGCGATTATGGTGGTCATGTGCACAAGTTGAGGTGATTTTCTCAGGTGCAAAATCAGAGATAGGATAGTTGGCGTAGCAAATTCCACATTCGAGCTCCTCTTCGCTTGTAGGAGTTGAGGAACCACTGGCTTCTGCCTCTCTCTCATCATCAGTGTCCTCGTCAACGCCTCCTCTGTGGACGCGACTACGTGTATCGACCACAGTGTTAGGTGTGGATGACTCAATCACTTCTCTCGTTTCAAATGGATCAATGGGTTCATGGTCATCGCCATACGGAAGACTAAGCTCAGAGCTGGATTCGGAAGCTTCTTCGTTTCTGATAGTCGTCTCGGTACCGTTTGAGTTATTCTGAGTTGGTCCCTCAATGCGATGGCCCATGCCATGGAAGTTTCGTCCTTCGTTTTCATCATTCGCGAAGGCGCCATGAGCTTGATTAAATGCCCGTTCATCATATTGCTGCCACTCCTCTCTTTCGTCGCCTTGTTCCGAGTCGTCCGCGTCTTCATCTTGGGAGCCATCCTGAAGGTCGCCATCTTCCTCTTCATCTACATCTGCGGGCTCAGACGGTTCAGCGGACTTAGGAACTGGAATAAATCTCTCTGGAGTTGGAAATAGACCGCCATTCTTGATCCAAGCTTCGATAGCCTGCGACTCTTCCTCGTCAAGGTCCTTCGCTAGATTGAAGAGTGCTAGGAATAAAGCTGCTCGACTTCCAGGAACGGGTGGTAGGTCGACCTGGCATGATCGGAGGATTTGCTGCATCTGAAGGGTATGGTGTTCGCTCATCGACAAACCGAAAACAGCAAGGCGTTGGCCATTGTTGGAGGCCATATTGAATATGCCTTACTTTGAGATTGAGTATACAATTTTTTGATAGTACGGCGGGACGCGGGGTCGGTCGCAGTTAAAAGAGGTTGATGTCTAACAAAGTAGTTGATACTCCAAGACTTAATTAAGGTTGAGTTGTGTCGGTCACTCAGTCGGTATGGTGTCTTGTGTTGTCTATAAGGTAGAGAGGACCTAGCTTGTTCTGGTCAAAATATTTCACTGCAGCAAGACAGTTCAGACGTCAGATCGGAGCCACAGCAACAGACAAAATAAAGGTGAATTCACGCAGCCTCAGCCTGTTCACTCCTACTAGAAATATGATATCACGTGGCAACGTGAAGCCATAAAAAGTGCAATCACTAGTTTCTCGTGTGAAGCTCCAACTGACGTATCAACAACCATGAACATCCCCTAGGCTGACGTGGTTGCCTAACGAAACTGCAATTTTTTTGATTGGGTGCCTGAACAAGTGAAGAATGTGGAGAAAAATAAATAGATGGACATCAAAATTCAGAATGGAAATCTGTGTGGGCAATGGCCACTAAGCCTATACTAATACATTTAGGATAGACGCGACGTTGTTACCGATCTTTGGGACTCGGTTGAGTCGAGGCCTCGATCGCCTCCAACCGGTTTGCGCCGCTGCCGACCGTGACAGCGTAGCTTGATGCACATGTGAGAGGCTGGAATAAAGCCGCAGTGTGTAGGGGACGACGATATGGGCGTTGAAGATCGTGTTGTTGTGTCACACCGATGGGCTATATTGCGATCTGCCACAGTATCTGACAATTATATGCAAAGTTTACATGCAGAGCTTGTGTGGATATGTAGCCAAGAAAATAATAGGCTAAGGGCAATATAGATGCGATGGTAACTTCGATCGAGTATCCTATGATTATCGTTCCATTGGTATTTTCTGGCTTCTTTCCAATGAATCGCCGAGTGTGCCCTCGTACTAGATGCGCTGCCATCTCGATAATGTTGATGCAAATCGTTTCCCACGATACGTGCAGATTGTAGCACAGAGCCTCACAATCGGCCGCCCCCTTTTCTAGTACCTCTAGCCGGAATCAAATTTGGGTATTTAATACAAATGAAAGATACAATTGAAGCTCTCCGTCGGACTTCACAATTTTTTGGTCATGATGTATACTGGAAATATAAATGGATGCATTGAAATAAGGAATCCTTGCTGTTTTCCAGGGTCCGTCCCCCTTTTCTATGAGTCGGGTGATCTCGAGTTCCAATCGTTCCTATCGTTCAACACAAAATTAAAACCTTCATAGAGTGTTCTGATTTTCAAATTGGAAGGACCAAGGAGCAACTTTTTCCACTACTTGACCATTCAATGATTCATCACTCATTCTGTATCACGTGATTATTCTCAAATAGGTACCTACATATTGTATGACCATAATCCATGTTCCGCAACTAGCTTGATGACCCAACATCCGCCTACAGACATTTATTAAGTATAATCAATGTTTGATCCTGTCAATCTCACATATCCACCACGTATACATTGAAAACCCAAGACAACTCAAGACAAACCACAATGTATAACTATCATTGTATATCCAACTAAACATAAGACCCAACAATCAACTCATTAGATCTCCAATCAAACCCCCTTTTCATCTTCCTATGTCTCATTCTTATACACTTAAAGTCGGACAGTATAAAGGTATAAGGCACTTTGTATACTTCTAAGTCTCCTAATACCTCTAAGAACCGTACTCATCTACTTGTGTTATATAGAAATTGGTAGCTCGCTATAGTCGCTGGTTCAGATATCCTTCTATGAGTCTTCGTGGGTTACTAATTCTTTCCTTCGAATGACGTTATTAGTAATTCTTCGCAGAAGTTCGAGGGATTTGAGATAGGAGGATTAGTTGCTGAGACTTCTGATTTGTATTTAACCTACTTGTATTAAAGCTAAAACACTCTTAACGTAGTAAGAACTGCGCTTACATAGCGTGGAATAACATGCTTAACACACGGATAAGGATTTGAGGTAGCCGTCCTGGTATAAAAGTAGCGCTTACCATATATCCTGATATCTTTTCCTTTATCCAGTTCTTGCTGACTAACATAAATACAAGAATAAAACCCTAACCAATAGACCCATCAACAAAGCCTTTTGGTGGCGATGCTCTCGACTATAGATCATTTTGCCTACCTAGTGCCCCCATTACCCCTATACTATCCACCAAGCAAGCCACAATTCACTCTACCACACCCTCCCAACAACCCACCAATTCCCCTACCAAAAAACCAAAAAACCCTAAAAAGAATTCAAAAACCGCAAAAAAAATCTAACTCCCATCTAAAGAGCGCAGCGGACCTAAAACAAGACATACTGAGTTTTAAATTATTAATTAGCTTATGAGTACTATATATTTTACAAGGCTAGTACAGTAACCTTTGGGCTTCGTTTTCCGGACCGCTAGGCCACTGCAGTTACCTAGGGTACCACCAACAGGTGTGTAATTGGTGTATTTGGTTGGGGGAGAGTCATCAAGGGTTTTAAGCGTGTGTGGTGGTGGTGGTGTGGTGGGTTGTGAGCCAATTGCACCTTGGCTTTGACGTTTGTGAAGGGGGTAGCCCTAGAGGCTGAAGGGGAGTTATTTGTGCGGTAAGATCATGGGGTAGAGCGCTGGTTTGGACATGTTCGAGAACTAGATTATATGGCTCTTCTGTACCAGAGGTTGAGCATGAAGACGAGTTCTGAACTATGCTGGTCTTTCAGCTATATAGTTCTCTCCAACGTTCCAAGGTATCATTTTGCCATTATTGGTAGACGTACTGAAGTCTGAAAGTGTTTCAACGTATTCAAGGGTTGGTTTTATCATGGTGGGAGTCGAAAGTTTTCTACGGGTGAGTTTCATTACCAACGATCCATAATTAACGGTTATCTTGGGGAGGTTGAAAGACCTTATTAAGCTGAAAATATCCTGGAACGACCACGAGAAATAACAGGGAAATTATTGGGATGGATGGTTTGGTTCCACTGGGGCCCCTAGAAATGTCTGAGTCGGTCTCTTCCATTAATCAACCATCACTTTATTGTACAAATATATTCTATCTTGACTTTGAGCTGCCATGCATTGTCATATCGTTAGCTTGAGAATCGATGTCCTGGTAAAAAGAAGGATTGTGCATTCGTGATGTGCGAACCATTTTATATGCAGTATGAACTTTCCATGGGACTAAGGTGAGCTCTTTTGGGCCCATTACTGCTTGTACTGTATTTTGGAGAGCTTCTCTGGAAAGTTGGTAAGGTGTTAGACGTGGTTATGAAAACCTGATTATAATGTTCTCAATTAATAATAATTTATAGGTAGGTTTTCAAGGACAAGATGGAAAGCATTCTTAAGTCTTCTTCACTTTCTCTTTTTTGGACTTGTATGTTATTCATTTGATTGACCTGAAAGCTTAGGCTAAAATTATATCTTTGTAGAAGAATAACTATTCATGAGGTAAAGCTACATGTTTTTATCCTATATTCGAGGGACTTTTGGGGGTGTATAAGTATCGTCTTTTTTGTATGGAAATGCTTGATGGATATTATCACACTTTAATACTTTATCAACCAGAATTTTCGAAATTAATGAGATCGGATTCCATCTAAAACTGTTTTAATAAAAACAACTATTACAATACCCAAGAATCGAAAATTACGCTAGAGGTAGATAGAGCTCCAACGTCTTCAAAGCTACGGAGTCTCTTTTTTGGCTCCCTGTGTATTTCAGGCTGCGAAACTAGATTTGTAAGTGTGGAAATATATACTGGAGTATATTCTAACCCTTTTTTGCTCGAAAAGTGTTTTTGGGACTCAGCGAGGTGTGGAAAGCCAGTACTGGGAACCTGGTTCTTGATTACAATGGCCAGTTTCCATAAAGCGGTTGTATTCACAAACACAAACAAGCAAGGGTTTTGGCTATGGTTGACATCACTTTTGCTCTGATACAAAAGAGTGCATCGTATTGTTTTATTATATACATTACATTGACAACGCGAGACATAGCAATCCTGAATTTGAAATTCCATAAAAGCTGGAGGAAACCTTAACCAATTACTTAGTAGATAGAAAGTCAGAACCAAGGTTAAGGTAATAGCATAAAGTGTGCTTCGCAACAAGCTCTTCATGCGCACATAATACAAGTAGTGATGTCAGTTTGAAAAGGGTTAGAAGAGAGTTCAAGACGTCGAGTAATTAAAACAACACACTCCATTACGCAATCCGCCTGCAGACTCGGTATGCACTTTCCAACCTACGAACCAGCACCAATGTAAAATCAAGAAGAACCACCAGAATAGCAATTCTTCGCTTCCATCTCATGCGCCCAGCAAATGTACGAAGATGCCCAAAAGGCATGTCAAAAGTTGTTCCCCATGAAACTCACATCGCGACTCTCCTCATACAGTACTAAAGCTATCATCCGAACGCGTCGTCTTGTCTGCTACTGGTACTGTACTGTACTGTAGGGACAAATTTAGCTTTCCGAAGCGAACATGCCTCATCCCAACAGCCATACCGGAAGCCGTTCCTGAAACTCTTCATCGCTCGCCACTCGCAACTCTATTGGGAAACTCAGAAAGAAGTCAAGAAAAAATTCCCGTGAATACCAAGCCAATTTTGGTTGACAAGTATCTCGAGAATGGATGCAATTGATGGAGAAAGATGCTTTATTGTAGCTTGAGGGCTGCATTGTTGTGTGTTTACGATGGTGATCATTCCCACGATACCAAGTACCAAGATAGGATGCGTCATGGAGAGTAACCTAGTCGCATTGGTTGATATGATATTGTGATAGTCATTATCGTTACGTGAATAATCACACACATCAAAAGATCACCAATGACTTCCTGCCAAGAGTTATTGGCCTAAAGCAAATCGTCTGCTGCGTGTCACCGTAAGAAACGTGATATCGAAATGACCCAAAAATTACAGGAGCACCTGAGGGACGTGTGCCACACCTGTTGACTAAATGGTAGGAACCCCCGGCTCGGGTTACCTACTTCTTGCAACAGCCGAGAGGCAGAATCACGCGTAAACATAGGACAGAGAAGCAGCTTGTCCACCGTCATTGGAGCACAAATATCATGCCCACAAGTCCCAGTCCAGAAACGTCCCTGAGAATCCGTATCCACACCCACGCGCGCGGTATCCCAAAAAAGAGGACTGAAACATGAACATCAAGATCTCTGGAATTACAAGAAAAACCGGCGATCCTACATAACCTCGGGAGGAGCATCTCCCTTGAGCTCCCTCACCGAAGTTGAAGCCCGAGTTGTCATCATTATTGACAAGTTGGTTGGTTGGTCGGGGTGGAATCTGTGCATCCCATCATCCCACGCTCTCGTACAGAGGAAGAAAAGATTGTCCGTTTGTGATGACGATGATTTGCTCCGTCCGAAGGAGCATCATCGATGGGAGTCAGTCTTGATGAGATGAGAACTTGTCGTCAGACTCGCCACCAGTCATGGATCCGCCGTATCTCACCCATTGAGTTCAGCATGGAGTGTTTTGAAAATGCCTCATCTATTTTCCAGCCCCAAGAATAAACCATGTTATGTAGGAAGATCGCAAGAACGACAGAGCTCACAAAACGGCCCATCCGTTTGCTTGAAGAAAGAGAAAAAGAAAGAAAAAAAGAAAGGATAAACATTCTGGATTCAATAATTTGCTTCGTAAACGACAAAGTCCGATCACCTAGCGCTGATTTATCCGCCAACATGGAACGGGACAATCCCGTCCGATCGGTAAGTACTTGGACGGAAATTACCATGGAAGGAGTGGAGTTGGGTCGTTTGTCTGTCATGGAAAATGAAGGCCGGAATGGAAGCCGGTGGTGGTTCGCCCCCTGATCGCCTGAATCAGATGAACGTTCTTTTTTCGCATCCCGACGACTTTTTGGTTGGGAGCGGGCCTTGGTGCGCCGGGTCGGGAGTGGGCCGGGAGTGGGTCCGGGTGGGTTGAGGTGGATCCTTCTAGAAGGCCGCTAGAAGCAATCTGGAAGACTTCCTTCATTTCGGGGCACTTAAAGTGGTGCGGGTGGAGCGGTTGCACGGCAGATTGTGATTGGAAAAAGGCATCCGAGCTTCGCCAGGGGAGAAGCAGACCAAAGTGACGGGACTTGATCGGCTGGCAAGGCTGGTTTCTTGACTTTGGAACGCTTTAATTGGAGTGGAAGCGGCCAGTTCCAGTTGAGATGCCAGCGGAAAGGCTTCACTTTCTTGTGATGGATGCTTGGTCCCGAGAACAGCGAAGGGGTTCAGCGGTGGAGTATGTGGAGGAGCTGGTGCGTGGATGGTGGATGCCGGTACTTGAAAAGCTGGGAGGGATTCTTGCATCTCGGACTCTTGGGGAGTTTGAGAAGATGCCAAAAGTCCAAGTGTCAGACGGAACAAGAAAGTCAAAGAAACATGGGACCTGAACATGACTAAATATGGAAATAGAGATACAATACTGTACAGGACGATACGGACTGGACGGAGTACAGACGAACTGGAACCTGGAACGCTACTGCGCTGTACGGTAGAAAAAAGCTTCCGGAGCACAAATCATCAGACACTGAACTAACTTGGAGAAGGACCTGAATATGTACAACTCCACCATGCAAGATCACTCAATGGTTGACGACCTTCCATACTTTTTTCGTCCCTCCTATCAGGTGGTGATTCCATGGGGAGTTGCACAGCATTTGCATATCAAGTACTTCGTATCACCCAACCTTAGCTCTAGAACCACGGCATTGCTTCCACGGTGGTGCCAGATCCGATTGCTTCGGGGATAGGCAGTGCAACAATACTGCCCCATCAGCGTGCATTAGCTAAGAAGGAAGAGCTCTCCCAACTTCTGCAAGCTCAACGGGCGACCGTGCATGCCCAGAGAGCCATCATGCCTCAACCCGTTTCTGCTGTACGGCTCTTAGAATCGAGCTGGGATGAGGTGGAACAGAGTGGAAACACTTCTGGGCCAGCCGTTTACTGCCAACGAAAGGCCGCGCCTGGAAAGGAAACGTGCGTCGAATGTTGCCCAAGTGCAACACGTTCAGCATATTCCATAGTGTTCCTCGAGCTGCAAAGAAGCTCCACCTGGTCGTTGACGCCTTCCAGATTTCTTCCATTGCCTTGCACCGGGAAGGATGTAACTCGGCCGGAGGCATTGAGGAGCTTCCACGCGAGTGTCAGGGACACCATTTGGAACAATTCATCGCATGGAAGCTTGGAAGGATGCACAGAAGCGTGTGCGTCTTCGGCTGATGGTGAACATTAGGAACACAACAGCCGATGAGGCGTCCCATGAAAATAGATGAGATGTCGTCAAGAATCCCATGGTCGGGTCGGCTAAGTGTGGGCTTCGGCGGCTATGAGACTCGCCTATGTGTTATCTGATTGTTTTACTTCCATCAGAGTGGTTTTTGTTAAGCCTTATTGGTGTTTGGTAAAAGCAATATGGTTTTATTTTGAGCATTCGCTTGGCCCAGTGTACGCGCCATTTCCGGTGGTTGTTGGGACATCGTAGAAAGCTTTTTTTGTTTTTGCCTGAAGACGGCTTATTGCGAGACCAGCGTGGTAGTAAAACCCTGAAAGTGTCTTGTACCAGCAGAATATACGAAATTGCCTTCCTCACCCACGGATCTAGGGCTTGTTGTGTTCAATGAAGTGTAAGGAGCCGTCTCGACGCTCCGCGGCTCATCCGCAAGGCCCAGGACGCAAAGATAACCCAATGAGCCGCCGCAGAAACAAACGGAGAGGATTACCATCTCTGCCATAATCGACCTGTAGTAAAATCCATATTTATGGCTCTGTCTTTGCTTGAAACAATTCTCCTTTTGGTGTTGCTGAACAAAACATCCGGTCCTTTGATCATGAGCCACGGCAGCATGGCTCCTGCTATGATTATGGAAGAACTCCACCTTCCTCATCGTTCCTGACTCCTGACGGACAAATAGAGCATCAAAAACGAAGTTTAAACTTCATTTTGGTGAAAGAGCAGAAAATTTCTTCCCCCGAGACCTCTCTGCACACATCCGCTGTCAGAATTCAAATCACTGAAGATCGGCGACTAGGCTGGGTTGTCGAGAGTTGCCGGAAACGCTAATGCCAGGTACGCTGCGGAGCCATGAACTCCTGCACAAAGAAGGCAAGGATCCCGTGGACGGGGAGACGCTGGTTCTCAGGCTTCAGGTCCCAGGCACCGGCTTTGTCGTCGCTGAAGCCGTGGCATGTTCAGTGAAGATTCAGATTCGAAAAAGTGCAACGCAACCAATGCCGACAACCAGACTTGAGAGCCGTATATGGGCAGGGTAGGAAGCCATTAAGACTGGGTTTGTACGAAGTATGGACAGCAAATGGAACGATGCTCAGAGGACGGTTGGTGAAATTATTCGGTTCTCTCAAGGGAGGACGTGCTTAAGTCCGGTGATCTAGGATGCCACATGCTCGGGGCATCCTCGCTAACCCTATTCGTGTCAACCTCCCAGCCACCCGCACTTTCATTGCACCGGGGGCTCTCCTTCCTTCAGATGCAGGAGAACAAGGCAATTTGCAAACTCAACTCACATCAGCTCAGCTCAACCTTTGCCTCTCCCCTTGTTACAGAGTTACAGGACTCGTAGGGTTAGTTCGTCGCTTCTACGAATTACTTTCAATAAGGCCACCATGGAAAAAAGCATGTCGGCGCGTCAAACCGAACTTTCATTACCCCAAGGTCTTGAATCTGATACCGAGGTCAGCCAGCACCCATTCTGACTCGTCTTTTCGACAGTGCACCCAGATAGGGCATATCAAACAGCAGGTGAGGCGACAGCTTGCAAACCTGCGTACTCAATCCTTAGCATTGAAGAGATTCGCTCGCCACGAACGGTGTCTACCATTGAGTCTATGCTATCGATTTGTCTTGGACTGGTTGCCACGCTTGTTGCGTATGGCAAGTGTCAACTATGTGATGATGGCAGAGTGGCGTGTTGAGAATCTTGCCAAGATGATATGAAAGACGTTTGGTATTAGCTACTTTACGAGGACAGTTCTTTAGGTGGTCCCGGCATCACAGATGTTACGACATCGGCCCAAAAAGATCCAAGACGTGGAGTGCACCAATGTGTGTGACTGAGAATGCGAGTTGCTTTTTGTGTGACGCAGATTGGACCATCGTCGTATTTGCAGTTCTTTTTGGGTCCTCTACCGGTAGGCTTACTTTGTATAATTCAGCTTTCCATCTTTCAACACCACGTCTCGGGAGCGGGCTTGGATCCGAACCAATTTTCTCACTCAACGACAAATTTGATTTCAGTAAATGCCAAAATCGAAAGACATCAACCATGCGGTTGGATTATTGGCGATCGCGGAGCCGACTCGTCTTGATGAAACACGAGATCAATCGCCCAAAATGGCCCAGGCATGATTTCTGGAAGCAGTGGAGCCTTCTAGTACGGGCACAGGATTACGATGAACCCACGCCGTCTGCTTCTGTGGTTCCCTGTCCTGAACATGCCCTGGAAGACTGTTGGAAACCAACAGCTTCGATGGCTCTTTGTGCTTCCCAGCAATCCGTTTCTAACCCCGTCGCCCGATACCAGCTAAGCTGTATGCGGAAACAAGAGGAACCGTAATCCCTGACTTCCACGAGTGAGGGCACTTGTTGAATTCTTGGAGGCACAGGACATTGGCAAGAGAAAACGATGTGCATCGTTTGCAGCCGGCTTACGTTCCGGGACAGCTTCTATGCTTCCGGACCATCTTCACTACTGTCGACCCTGGAGAGAAAGGCAACGAAGTTACATTATTGAGAGGCCCAGAAAATCATTTTATTAGCAAAAGGGGTCTTGAGTTGTGGCTGACAAGTGTGGCACACCTCAACCCACGAGTCGAAAACTCGTTTGGAGGCAAGCAGACCCAATTTGTTGCTATTGATGTTGATATAACGTTTCTAAGAAAGTGTTTTCAAGAGTATGGCCTGCCGGTAGACCCGATATTTACTTTGTCTTTTGTCTTTTCGGACTTTTTTTTTGTTTTACGGCTGCCAAAAGGGAAGGTTTATTTGGCGCAGATGGTCGGTGTTTCGGTTCTGACCATGCCCATCTCCCCATGAGTCGTTCCGTCGCTACGACGACCACAATGCGCAGCGCAAAAATACTTCGTGGGTGCTTGCGTGGAACTTCTAAAAGTCAATGGATCTGAGTAATCTTCGCCCAAAACGAGAAGTTCATCTGCATCTCCATGCATCTGATGAGCTGATTATGCGGCGCTCACATGGCAATCTCTCTCCCAAGAGTCCTTTCAGGATGATCTTCCTGAGCATATTTCGTTCATCCCATTCGGTCGTGATTGCAGAATCCAATCCCGTCCAGCGCAGGCCCTGTTATTTCGTGACCTCCTGGACCGTATTCGAGTAGCTTTTCAAAGTCTAATGCCTCCGAGAATGCCACAATCTGGTTCGTACCTTTCGTACGGTACTTTGTCGTAGGTTAGCCTCTTGAACTAGCTAGTAGAAGTACTTCGTACTTCGTATATAGGGGCAAGCGAGGCCAAGGTTCGCCGTGGCATTGAAGCGAGACCCTTTTTAGTGGGCCCAAGTGTCAAGATCTGCCGTTATCTGTCCAAGCAAGGCTTGAGAGTGCAGGTGGTGATTTTGAATACCCCTCTGTGTCACTTTTCTTCTGCCGCCGCGCTCATTTCACCCCTTTTTGACCCCTTTCGGACAGAGTGCAGTATTTTGCAGCAAACACCTCAACTCTGGGGTGGATGGCATCACATAATCAGCTAGCACACACATGCGAAGTGTGTCTTTTCTGAGACGAATGTACATGAATTACATCGTCGTGCAGGAAGTCTCTGCCTCTGCCTCTGCCTCGTCCTTCCACCACCTGGCACCCTGGCTGGTATACAGGTTCTGCTCGTCTACGAGTAATAAGTAAATTTACTTGGTGATAAGGGTGTCATTTCTAAAAGTGTTCCTCATCCACACCACCACAACACCCCACGACGAAGCAACTCAGCCTGAGCCACGGCTATTCTGAAGCGAAATCGGAATCTTTGTACATATCCCCTCGGTAAGAATATGCAAATGGAACGAACGACGAGACCAGAGACCAGACGGGCCTGCAGTTAGCTCGTAATCGCGGTATACCGCAATGCAACAACAGTTTGTTGATCCACGCTCGGCCAGCACAGCACATCACCAGCACCAGCATCTTCTCTCATTTCTCATTTCGATTCTCAATTCTCAATTCTCCTTCCGTCTCCCCTAGTCTCCGCGCCGCGGCGCCAGCTCCTTAACCCTACCTCCACCCTGCCCTGCTCTCCCTTTCCTCTGGCAGTCAACCATGGCCTACCCTGCTCTGCTCTGCCTTGCCCTGAATGTAAACCCCCCTCCCCCCGTCTCCGGGCCACCACCTACCGGCCCACACCCACTCCACCCACCCAAGCAGGAGATCTGCTCCCTTGCCAGCGCCAGCAGCCCCATGAGTCCCTGGGCTCCAACTCCGTGGCATGGCATGGCGTGGCATGGCAAAGTGGCTCGAGGACAGGCACGCCCACGCCCACGCCCATGCCCATGCCCTCGCCCCCGTTGCAGCTCTTATAAGACACCGGGAGCCCCCATCACAGCTACCATAATCTTTTGCTTTCAAAGTAATAATCCGGCTCGTCACTCGCTGCTCTCCTGTCACTGCCACTACCACTGCTACTACCATAAACACCATAGTCTTTCAATTGATCCCCGACGAGATCATCCTCCAGCTGCTTCCTCGCCGACTACACAGCTACCACCACGACTCCTTTGGGATACTCCGAAAACCATTACTCATTCGTGCTCACTCATCCTCAGCTTGCACTGCACCGCACTATCTGCAACACCACCCACCCCTAGCTTCTGCAACTGCAACCCGACATCCAGGCCTCGCATCCTGCAACCACTTACTACATACTTCCCTACCACTCCCACGTCTTGACACTAAAATAATTGCTCTCTACGCCGTCCGAGACGGGCCTTTTTATATTATCCTCCGCCGTCGTCTCACCGTCAGCAGTTCACGCACACGCAGACGCAGCCTCCCCCGACCCCATCTAAATCGGTCGGCTACCGACACAAACGGTGCCTGCACTGCACGATCCTGCATTAACGTCCCAGCTTGCTCCCGCCTACCAGATTGCCTTGTCGCAGGGCCTGTTACGAAACGAGGAACATCAAAGCAACCTGGTCTCTTCTAGAAAACGATTAATTACCACCCCCACTCCCTTCTCAACCGGAAAACAGATAAAAGTGACAATCCTTCGACTATCGTTCAGTTCAAAGTGACTGCACCATCCGCCGATCAACATCATCTCAACTGTGTTCGTACCGCACTCATAAACTGTTCAACGTTTCTCGGATCCCCTTTTTGCTCAGCACCTCAACCCTGCGCAGCTTAATCAAAGCATCGTGAGTCAGACCCACTCGCCTGCAATTGCGTGACATGTGTCAATTGGGTGTTCCTGGAGTACCACCAATATCTCTGAGCGTGACTGACAAGACCTTTTCTCCAGACTCACAAACCGACATGATGATTTCCAGAGAAGTTCAATCTTTCAACATGGGCCGTGGCGCATACGATACTACGGATCTCCCAAAACCTCCACCACCAAAGCCCCGATAATCGATCCGATTCTTGAGACCACCACCAAATATCGAGGTTCTCTGAGCCACACGACCAAGGTGAACGACCTTCAAAGCCTTTCCGCGCCCTGCTTGACGATGTCTTCCATTGACCGAGGGATATGTCATCGGGCCTATTTTCTTCACAATTCATTCTACGGACCATTTTAAACTTCTTAAAGCTTTTCTCACGAAAACACACCTTCTAATACACCTATCAATGGAAACCTTGGCTTTTCAACATGTATATTATCCACCTCATACCTACGACTTGCGACGATTCTCATTCTTTCCATTGCCACCAACCTCCACGTTCCCGCTCCGATTGACCCCCCAACAATTGCCCGGCAATCTCAGCCATCTCAACACGGCAATCTCAACAAGAGTCCACAACGGCAATCTCGATACCGAAACAAGCCACCATTCCTCCCATATCAGCCTCCTGTCTCGAACCACAGCATAGACATCGTCTCATTGGCGCATCTCTCTACTTCCCTCAGAATCAAAAAAAGTCTTTTCGGTCTTGTCATGCGTGGTTACTCATCTCTTTGGCAACATAGACACATGCAAATGGAATACGGCGTTCACATCTAGAAGAAAAAACGGAATTGTAATTTTTATGTTTCTTGAAGAGCACAATCTTTCCGCGGCGGCCCGCTTCTCTCATTTTACTGTCTGTATCATCATCTTCGGGGCTACACAAAAATGGGAACATCACTGTTTGTTATAATTGGGTTGGGAAAAAGAACTGTTTGCGCATATAGATCTCCTACTGTCATTTGTTTTTTTGTTTTGTCGTCTTTGTTGGGAAGAATAAGAATTGGGTATTACGTAGCCTCACGGCTCTTGGAATTTTTTTCTTCTTCTGGCAGCCTTTGCTTTATTTGCTTTTTGCTTGCGCGCGATTTGCTTTCCCCTAAGAATTTGTATTCTATGTGTTTGAGGGGATGGAGCCCGTATGTTGAAGGTGTATCATTTACCTTCTTGCTTGTCTTTGTTGAAGGCTGGATCCTGATGTTTCGAGGAGACATGTTATACCCCAGTCATGGACTTTGATTCGCTGGTCTTGTTGTACGAGAAAAGGAGAGAAGAGGGAGGGAGCTTCACAGATTTTTGTTTAATTGGAATGGGTCGGCTTTTTGGGAAGAAGAATCAAGAACTTTTAATTACTACCAATATTATCACGCTTTCCCTTTACTTCTTCTTTCTTGTGTGACTTGATTTGCTTCTTGTGGAGGCGGAATGGGAAAGGGGCTTTCGCGAGCACCATTCAATTTTTCTGTTTGACATTTTTCGTTTTTCTTCCTGAGATCTTTTTTGGGTGAGGTTGGATGCAAGGGTCGATTGACTCAGATATTTCTTGGTCGCATTTTTTCCTTCTTTTCCACCTTCCAGTTTTTGGGGACTGGGTGGCTTGCTTGGTCGGAGGCTTAAGAGCTTGGACGCGGTTGGGGAAGTTGGCCTTGCTTTTTCCATGGTCTTGGCCATGGGTTTGAGGACACTCTCTCAATTGCTTGGACGAAAGGGGGAACATGCCATCACATTCATGGGGGAGTGGGGAGGGGGAAGGCATAGGTTGTTTCGTTTGGTTTCCCCGGCACATGGTGATGTGTTCGTGTTTCGGCTTCTTTCCTTGGGTGGGTTTGCGTTCATCTTCACCTCTTTGCCTGGCCTTGCGGGGATCGATGGATGATGGTACCGTGGTACGGGGCAATGAATGATTCGCACTGGGCGTTTATTAGGGTTCGGAAGTGTTTTCCTCGACGGGTTGCGGTGGGTGGGAAAGTTCCGTAGATCGGATGATTGAGTAATGACCTACCCTCTACGTACTGGTATTTGTCCATCGAGCACTCCTACCGGTCGGTCTGTTCACCGTCCACCTCTGTAGAAGGATCCCAGAGAGAGAGAGAGTTCTGGCGCAACGTGTTTGAGATGTCCTGTAGCCATTTTTAAACTTCTGCATTTTGGGCCAATCTTTGCGATGGCTTTTTTTCGGGGCACTGGTTTGTGACATTTAAGCTTCTTGTTTCTGGTTTTGGATGTTGGGGAGTGGGAGGGACTTTAACCTTAATTGGAGGGGAGGACATCGTGATCCACCCTGTGCCATCCACCCGACCTCGGGTGGGTTCTTTACACGATTAGCTTTGCCTGCGTGGAGGAATAATCGTGATGTGGATTTCGGTCGGATGTTGTCATGTTTTGTCTTTTTCTGGAACTTGAGACTTGACAGATCTAAAGTACAAAGATGAGAGAAGCTTGGTGTGTCTGGGGTTTTATTCTTTTTTTTTGTTTTACGCCGCCAGGGACTTACTTACAGTAAAGTACGGAGCTTTCCTCATGCGACTGACTGTACTGGAGATCAATGAACTTTGCTGCCTCGCGCGAATCCTCCCGAATTCTCTGCGGCTGAATGAACAATTGCTAATGTGTTTTCGCCGTGAGCCCTAAGGCCTGGAAATGGGAGATCGTTTGACGAGCAACCTAGTCAGTAATTGAAGGATTCGAAAATCGAGGTCATCTCCTAGGGGCATTTGGGATGGGTGTGGTAACAATCCATTGATTGAGCAAGTTGGGGATCAATAATGTCATCCTATTAATGAAAAGATATGGTCCCATCATGACTACCTAGCTGCAAGATAAAAAAGAAACCCCTCCATCACATCATCATCATTTCCAAAACTTATGGTGTGGCTACACGAAAACTCCAAGCACCCGTCTTCAAATAGAATTGGAATACAACATGAAAAAGTACGTACTGTACCTACCAGTTAGTTGCAAGACCAAGGTCCCCTTTTCCAGAATATGCATGGAATGTTCCACTACCGTACCCAGGAACGTCCAAAAGTCCGACCAAGTATCTGTCGTGCAACTTCAGATCCTGGAGGTCTAATCAAAGAAATGTTTACCCGGTGGTTGAGATAGGGGATAAGCGAAGCGGTGGTGTGTCGGAGATATGATATGGGATGGGGGACGGAAATAGGTCTGGTGTGGGTATGGGTGTGGGTGAAGTTTGGCGTATGCAGGGCGATAAGGGGGGTGGGTGGGTGTGAGAGATTTCATGATGCTGGTGGAGGTGTGGAGAGTGGAGGGTACGGGGTATTGAAAAGGGGGGTGGATGAGATAGGATGGGCTATTTCTGTTGGAGCTGGAAGTAGGGGGAGAAGAGAAGAGTTTACCGAGGGGGCTTAGGGAATGTTAGCCGAAAAGTTTGGATAGAGCTTAGACTACCGAAGTTCTACCCGATACCCGGGCTCCGGTTGGCAGGAGTCGGAACTTGAGGAGGTGAGGCTTAATCATACAGTTGATTGCCCCTCCAAACAACAAACAACGCAGCTACCCCAAGCTCATATCAACGCTCACAACACTGGTCTACAATCAATCCAGATCACTCGCCTGTGAATCTGCAAACTACCTCATCCCCATCACCCTCTCCCAGCCGACCTTCCTTCAAACAAACACAAACCAACCCTCACCTCCCCCAGCTCCCAAGCTACCCCACCGCCAAAATGTCAATAATGCAACACCACTCCGATGCCTCGCTCCTCGAGAACTGGCGCACCATAAACATCGACGCCCTCGACCCCGAATCCTCCTCCAACTTCGACACCTCGACCCTCCATCCAGCCTTTGCCCCCGTAGACGAGAACGAGATCCGAACACTGGGCCAACAAGTACGGCAACTCCTGCGCAGCGGCGACGCCGAGGGCGCCCTCCGCGGAGCTCTGGAAGGAGCACCATATGGAGGGGATGAAGCGGTAAAGGATTTACATCTGCAAACTGTCACCGAGGTCTTGCAGGGCATCAAGGCGAGTGAGATGAGTCCTATGTTGAAACGGATTTTCACGAGTGAGGGCGGGGGCGAGGCTTTGGATGTTTTGATGAAGTATTTGTGAGTTTCTCTCTCTCTGTCACATACTATCACCAGAATTATGGAAACGGGGATTAATATGATGATAGGTATAAAGGCATGGCTTCTTCAACAACTCGATCCGTAACTTCCCCAACCAAACCATCTATGTTGTCTCCCCAAATGACTGGCGGGTTCTCTCAAATGGGTGGACGGCCGACTCCGAGAAATGAAAATGATGGTGCTGCCATGAGTGTATTGCTTTCCTGGCATGAGAAGGTCGTTGAAGTTGCGGGCTTAGGATGTGTGGGTAGATGCATGAGTGATTGGCGTAAGGTCTAAATGGGGTTCGAAGATCTGGTCGTGGATTGGGGTTGGATGATGATCATGCAAATTTACATCCTGCCTAAATCACAAAAGGTGAAGAATGCAGGTAAGCCATGAGGATGTGTGGCTCGAGGCATACCAATATTTAGCGTTGCAAGACATGAGAAGACCAAATTCCCAAATAATTGAGTTAGGTTATGAATTATTTTGATCCCCCAAGATCATACCGGCATGATTACTTACCAAGCGGTTCCAATCTTGACAGGCAAAGCTATGGCAATCAAAGTTTTAATTAGGTATGCTATGAATCCAGATGAACTCCGTTTGAAAATGCTGCAGCAACTATGTACGAGAAAATCATCTTCCACCATCCCATTTCGCATTCCCACATGCAACCAATAGACTACAAGGAGCTCCAGAAGAGAATAGAAAAAGAGAGAAAAACCGCAATGAAATCAATACTACCTAGACTTCACATCCATCCCCGCTAATTGTCATTCCAAACCCTGTAGCTATGTTCTAGCACGCTCAGCTTGCACTCCAAGACCTTTTAACTATCCTCACTGGCCAAGGAAAGATAAAGAACCAACTACTCGTTACCCAAGCTCATCACGTAACAAGGACATTACCAAACACATTGGACATTTCCCTCATAGTTGGGGGCTGAAATACTTCGGGTTGCGTAGATTGGCCAACCGCTAACCTCTGCTCCATAAGGTTGATCATGGTCGCAGGGACACTCTCATCCGTTGCTCGAATTGTGAGACGGATCATCTAATCGTTATCAGTAAACGTGTTGGGCACAGACTGTACAAAGAGAGCATCATACCTGTTTTGCATAATTGGGTTCCAGCCTCAGCAAGCAGCCAAATTTTCGACCTCCACCAATGTGAAGAACACTGGCCCCAACAAAATTCTTTTGGTTTTTATCAACTCCATCCAGAACTCCCCATCGGAATCCCTGAACGGTTTTCCGTATGAATGAATCGTTGAACTCGCGATTCGAACCCTTGATACCGAAAACCCGTTGTTCTTCTCGTGGGGCACCGCCGATTTGGTTCCATCGCTTGAAGAAGTCTTCGGCCGTCAACTCTGCCGCGTCCATAAATTTGTGGATCGTCACGGGAAGTTTTAAGGTGAGAGCCTGCAAAGCTCCAGCGAGGTAACTTATTCGGATAGTAGGCGATTTATCAAAGACATTTTGAGCAGTGAACATGATCATCTGCTGACTTTGAGATCCCTGGCTGATTGTGCTCTCTGGTAAACCTTTGACTTCCCAAGTCAAATTCCCTTTCTCTGAAGCGTCGAGGTCCAGTGTGGTTGTGAAAGAGCTGACAGCAACTGGTGCTTTATTCGAGAAATATAAAATGACACATGCCATCTGTCCTCGATATTCTGATCGAACACCAACCTGGATCTGGCCATCTTCATAGAGAATCCCCTCTCCCTTGAGAAGCAGCTTATTGTATCCGATTTCCCAGCCAGGTGAAAGATGAGCAGTTGACGCCAAATTTGGTTGTTTGAGTGTCTTAGGCTCAGAAGGTCCAGCATCCATCATATCGAGACCCGCAAGGTCGTTGGCAACCTTTGCATGTCCGTTGGTACCATTTGTCGCACCGTTGGGCACCCCATTCCCATTGGTGCTTAAAGTTCGATTTAATCCCGGGTTCTTGACCATATCCTTCTCATTGGCATTTGCATCTTTGCCACCAACAATCCATGTCCGTTTATCGCTGGTGTTTGCATGCTTTTGGTGGAGTCTAGACAACAATGCAGATTGTCTTTCTGGGAATGGGGGCATCTCATCACAAACTGTTCGAAGAAGGTCATCTGTAGGCAAGCTGGCGAGAGCAAGATATTCGCATGCTCTTTGTTGAAGTTCGGAATCCAAAGTGTGGCTGTATGCTTGGAAAACATACATGAGGCGGGGTTTGATCTCGGGAAACAAATTGACGAACTTGATGAACGATGAAAGAATAATAGCTCTTGTGCTTGAGGAACAACCTTGTAGTTTCCCTTGCAGTGCGAGAAACTGTTCTATCGGACTGCAACCCTTGTCTTCGGCGATTAGATGGCCAAATTCGCCTAATAAGTAACCCCCTATTTTCACCAATGTCTCGTGACAATGATCCGCTTTGACATACTGCAAAATATTCTGCGCTGCGTAGACTTGGAGTTGTTCGTTATTTGTCACAATCTGGATGACTCGATGCCATACTTCATCGCTCACATGATCTCCTGCCATCGCGATGAGACGAAGAGAGATATCGACATACCACTGAATATCGGTCGCATATTTCTCGGTTAAAATTGCAATTTTGAGTACCATCTCCTCTCGAATGGCAAAGTCAGCATTTTGCAAATAGTGAAGAAGTTCTCCCACAATAGGCTGCGCGTTGGTCGAATCGCACATGCTGTATAGGAGGTCAAGACCCTTCCGCCGCACACTGATATCTCTATCCTTCAGAGACCCAATAATGATTGACTGATGTTGTTTGATAGGATCAAGTGTTTCCGCTCGGGCTGCTAGATGTGTCATAGCCTCCAATCCTAAGTAGCGAACATTTGTTTCACGAGACTGTATAAATTTCCCCAATCTCGTTGATATCTGGCTCATCAACGCCTGTTCCGTGTCAAGATGAATGATGAGGTTAATCGCTTCGAAGAGGACTGCATTCTGAGCGTTATTTTGCTGGACATTTTTTGGCATCTCCAAGGCTAAATTCAATATTTTTTGCAACGATTCTCGAATCAAGTCTCGAACATGTGTATCCTCTGAAGTTGGTTTAGTCTCAGGCATACCATTAATCCTCGGGGAACGTACCTGATGGTGGGAAATATTGCAGTAGTCGGAGCATTTTCACTTGTATCCAAGGGCACGGCACCTTATAATATAGATAGTCAGGTGCAAACTCTCCGTCTACCAAGATTCGCTTCATCCGGGAAGCCGCCTTCACGTAACTACCCTTGTATTGTTCGGGGTTGTCCTGAGCAAGGGCCATGACCAAAGACGTGACAGATAGAGCAACACCCATATCTACATCGTCCATCAAAGCTATTATTCGTTCGGCCCATTGTGGTTGAACAATATCGGGGTGTTTTCTGTATAGCCGCAATAGCGTCAGGGCAGCCTTCTTCTTTACGAATGGTTTCGATGTCCTCGTAAAAAGTCAGTCTTAAGTTGTTCATCTACAAGTAGCATCCAACTTACGGGGATATTAGTAATCTGTGAACTTCGCCGCTTAATGCTTCTCCCATTTCCCTACTTCCAACATTGGCAATCGCGTGCAAGGCTAAACAATTGAACAGCTCATTATGATCCGTAAGATCTTTCCGTATGCTGTTTACTACGAGATGTAAGAGTTCGTGTGATTCGTGTAGGAAAAGGGTCATTGCAAGGTAGCCGATCTGTTTCTCGGAGTATTTGTTCGCGGAGATAAGGTTCACAGCCTCGAGATGGCCAAAGTCTACGTTCCACCCCAAAATGTATATGTACAAAAGCTTCCGTATGTTAGATGTAGTTCCAGTACAAGAGCGAGGGTTTTACCTTGCAGACATATTTCTTCTTGTGGTATCCGCTGAGACTACCGTCTGCAATGACAGTCAGTAGACAACCTTGCAAACCCATCAAGAAATGCGCCTTTCGTGTATACCTTTGAATTTCTGTCTGAATTGTTTGTCAGCCTCGCTCTAATTCCTCGCATCGTCCGATGTATGTGTAACCGCATACCTTATATTTGCCAATTCCTTATTGATTCTCTTCTCCTCGAGTTCCCTTGCTCGTGCGTTTCGTAAATCCGCAATAAATTGTACCAATCCGCGCATATTCGAGTTGTTTCCCGAAGAACCCCGGCTCAAAAAGCTGGTGGCTGCTGAAGTCGCCATAGTTGTTTACTGAGATGGCGCTTCCAGGAAAATCTCAGAGGGACTAAGGAGATTGGACCAGGCAGATGTGCCCTTGTGCAGACAGTTTCCTACGTCGGACTGGCAGTGGTAAACTCAAGTGAATCGGCGGGTCTCTTGTCTGAAAACTAGGTGTTTGTTGTTCTCAGTGGAGATGTTGCAGATCCGTTGAAGGGAAAGGCTTCTCAAATTAGCCCTGCTCGTGGACGTCCATCGGCTAAGAGGAGGCAAGCAGCCAGCGTGGTCAGTGTGGTCTGGGTCTGCGAGAGCGAGGTTGAGGGTATATTTGGGAGCTTGGCGTGGAGTGGCAGGAGGGAGATGTTGTGAGAGATCGGTCGTGATGTTGATCCCCCTCTCCCATGGTTGGTCAGTCTTGATTGATGCGATGCCACTGCTCCTCGCAAGCACTAGACAGGGGTTGGGTCCGGGTCTGTGAGCCTCTGCACCCAAACAATGAACCTTCGTGAGAGGCTCCTGTTGAGCCTTGTCACGTCACGACAGCCTTCCCTCCCCAACTCTAAATCACACTCGAGTACCGGTACCGAGTACGCATATCCATACCTCATCATATATTTGTGGTGGGAGTTTAGATATGCAACACCACACTCCTCAACATCCCCATCTCAGAGCACAACAATGAACTCAGCAGTACTTCGCCCTTTTCTACCGCGAATTGTGGCCAGACAAACACCTTCATCTGCAATTTATAATGTTAGGGCTTACGCCACACAGAGTTTGAGTACAGGGAATCCCGCCTTCCAGGTATTCAACCGCAACACAAAGTACCAGCAACGAGAAAGAGCGGCAAACAATGTTGAACGAAGTCGGCAAGTGGATTACTTGAAAGATGAGGTGGCTATGCGACTGACAGAGCGATTATTGGTATTAATATAACCTCAATCAACGGCAGCTACAACTATATAACATTTATTGACTCCTTCCAGGACATCAATCGCCATTTTGGCCATGTTCTTGATCTTGGTGCAAATGCATGTAACATTGCTCGCGCCCTCACGTTGCCAAATCCAGATCCAGACCCTTCAAAGCCATCATCTCCTGCTCTTGCAACCCGAGTATCGCATCTTACTGCTGCGGATTCCTCTCGTGCAATGCTCTTTCGAGATGCCGATCTTCCATTCAATCAGGAAATCAGCCTTACCCGCGAAGTGCTCGCTGACGAGGAAACACTTCCATATGAGGGCAGCACATTTGATGCTGTGCTGAGCTCGTTGAGCATGCATTGGATCAATGATTTGCCTTCACTGTTGTCTCAAATCAACCATGTCCTGAAGCCTGATGCCCCATTTATTGCAGCAATGCTGGGAGGAGACTCCTTGTATGAATTGCGAACGTCACTGCAGCTCTCAGATCAGGAGAGAAGAGGAGGCGTTTCTACACACGTCTCTCCTTTAGCCGATGTCAAGGATATGGGTGGTTTACTGCAAAAGGCTGGGTTCAAAATGTTGACTGTGGATGTTGATGATATCATTGTCGATTATCCGGATTCTTTCGCGTTGATGCAGGACCTTCAAGCCATGGGAGAGAGCAATGCGGTACTGGGACGAGAGCCTGGTCCTATTCAGAGAGACGTTCTGCTTGCCAACGAGGGAATCTATAGGGAATTGCATGGAAATGAAGATGGCTCTTTACCGGCCACTTTCCGATTAATTTATATGATCGGCTGGAAGGATGCACCGAACCAAGCCCAACCACTCCCGAGGGGAAGTGGGCAGGTTAACATCACAGATATCCTTGGTGGTGGAGCTGTCCGGTGAACGCCTGTAATCATAATGTATAAATCTGTAAAAAGCTGAACTATTGCCATTGGGCGGTGAGGATCTTTTTGTTTTATGGCTTTAGTGATTCAGTGAAGGTTTTTTCATACTTCCGCATCATCTTTGTAGATGAACCATTGAAGCAAGAAGTTCCTGTACCTGGATCGCAAGTCGTCCTTGAACGCCCCCCAATGCATTTTTGTATGTGCGACTCGCACGATAGAAATACCAACTCATTGCGAAAAGACGGAGAAGAAACTGGTTTCGTTAAGCCAAACCCAGTTGATGAGCTTGTCCTACGCATCATCTCATGTTACACACGGAGAATTCCAGGTTCGAGAAATCTTTCTCATCGCATGACGGGTTCACAGCCCATACTTCAAAAGGCGAGTGGTCAAAAATCTAGCTTTCTTAGATATTTGTTTACTAACACAATTTCTGATAGTGTGTTCTTAGGATAAGCGACTTCCATATCGTCACTGGCATTGCGATTTCGGTCAGTGGATATGGCCATTTAAAATGCGGCCTCTCCGCCTATCACTGGCAGATAATAATCTACATGTCGTGGTTCTCGCACACTACGCACCTCTGCGTTGACCTTTTTGCGAAATTACCTTTATAACCACCCCGAGGAGCGTATCTGGAGACTGGTGGTCATGTTCGTTGTGCTATGTATGTAGATCGTCGGTATCGTGCCAACGACTGGATTCGAGAACCGTGACGGGCCACAGCTGTCTAACCGAGTCGGCAACCGCTAAAGCGAGAATGCAATATGCTTCTTTCCAAATGCGCGGGTGTCAGATACGACTACTTCTATGGTACTTTCAATCACGGTGCTTATTTTCAGCTCCATCACCCGGGTTAGAAAGCTACACAAGAATCTTCCCAATTCGATGGCTAGCCGCTCTACTTTATTTTATTTGGTTTGATTCGCATTATTATAATTGCTTCTCTATCTAAAACAATAATTCACTTCAAGCACCACCCTCCCTAGCTTACGGAAAAAATAACAGTATACAGTCCCTTCGCAAAAGTAGCAAGAAAGTTTTATGTACATTCAGACCTTTTTGTGTAGTTTTGTGCATTTTAGTAGTTTGTTTTTGTATTTCTACTACTATATAGCGTTCCGGGATTTTTCTTAGCTTTATACTTCGATTATTTGGCCTTAGTACAAGGGTTAAATAGCATAAAAGTGGCTTACTTACCTAGGACTATATGCCGATTAAAAAGCGCTACAAAGTGCCACCATGTGCATAAAACCCTTGTTTCTGCCTACTTTTGCGAAGGGACTGTATATACATATCCTGTAAGATTACGTAGCAAGTAAGGAAAGAACCATCAACTTTCAAATAAAGAAAGAAATGCACTTCCCCCAATCCCTACACAACACAAAACAAAAAACCAACCCCCAAAATACCAAGAAAAAGCATCTCCCCATCTCCCCATCTCCCCATCTCCCCTCTCCCCCTCTTATCTCACAAGACAACCAACTCCAACCCCGTCGTTGAAACTCAAGATAGGACATCGGATAGTCGCTACAGTACGTAGAAACCCACCCACAGGACCCAGATTACAATCCGCGAGGAAGTGATGTATAATCTATCATAGTCCTACTAATTGGAGTAAGAATGAGTCGGGATAACAGAGTAATATTACACAGAAAGGAGAAGTTTGTTTACTACCATCGACCGATCAAAGTATAATAAGAAAGTGGAGTGCGCAATCTTACAGGTACGGTATATCTCACCTCAATCCGTACCTAGTATACTCCTCACAGAGCTCGTGAAAAAACCAAAACAGAGAACTTGGCGAGAGCGAATCATAGGAGGGTAGGGTCGCTATAAAGCCCAAAGCAGTTCCAAGATCCATACAGCCAAATAAACACAACACACAACACGACCCATCCCATCGTACTCACAGCCCAGCAGCTAACCGAACACAACCTCACAATCCAGGTAATGCAAACTTGAAGACAAGGTAGAGAAAAATCTTAATAAATAGAAAATTCAACTTTTAGTAGAGAAGTATTCTCACCGAATACGGAGTATCATATCCTCAATCACCACCTACCCATCCATCCATCCACCAATACTTCCAGCTCCAGCCAGTGGGCAATCTACACCCCCAAACCCACCCCACCAAACCCCACCCAAATAAAACGCCATGCTAAAATAAAACACACCTAAAGCCATAAGAGCGTCGAAAAGAAACCCAATACCGTCATCGTAATCATCACTAAAAAGAAGAAGAAGAAGATAACAATATACCTCCCAATCCTAATCACCTCCACCCCCCTGGAACCTCATCCCCAGCACCCAACTCCCCTCAAACTCCACCCCCCTCCTCACCCTCGTCCCCGCTTTCCTCCAAACCGCCGCCCCAAGACCAACATCCGCGACAAAAAGCTGCCACTCCTTCCCCATCCCAACCCCATCCTCATCCGAAACACCCTCCCCAAGCACCATGGCCTCTAAAAGTCCCTTCTTCGGTGCTCCCATCGCAACAACATACCTCGCGTGGATATATAATTTCCGGCCGTCGATGATGCTAACTTTGCCACTCGTGGGATCGATACCAGTAGGGATATCGATTGCCAAAACCGGAGCTTTGCTTCGATTGGCCCACTCAATGAGTTCATATGCTGTTGCTTGATCACCTGTTCTCAGCTCTTCAAACGAAATTGTCAGGCCGAGTAGACCATCGATGATGAGTTCGATGGGGGAAGTCAAGGTCTTTACATATTCCAAGAGCTCGGATTTCGTGATGACTTTCCCGCCAAAGCCACGGAAGACTTTGATCTGGCGCCGTACCCCGGCCAAGAGTTCCTGTTCTCTTTCAAGCCCGAGAACGCAAACAATAACATTCAAGCCATGATTTCGGAGATGTCTTCCTGAAGCGAGGGCTCGGAGCCCGCTCTTGTTGTTTCCAGCAAATACGATGACATTAGGGATGGTGCTAGCCTTGCCTTTGGTAAGACCCCCACCACTAGCATTCGAGGCAGATAGCGCAACCTCAGCTATACCGCGGCCGGCATTTTCGCCCATCATATCTTCTGAGAGGCCTAATTCATGATCTGCAATATTTTCGAGGTTAAGCATTTGCAGTGCTGAAATTGGTTCACAGCGACGATCGGATGGTACTAAATAGAATGTGGGCTTATTTGGAGCCGGAGGTGCCTGCTGGACGAGTTAGACTACGATGTAGAACTTTGTAATAATTGACTTACCGAGTGAGTACGGGGAGCCGCGGCAGCCATAATTGAGCTGCCTTTACGGGAAACTGGTTTCCGGTTAAGGCTCAGCTTGCTTTCTGCCCTCCCAGCTCGCCTTGAATTTCTACCACTTCCACTTCCTCTCTGAGATGCCCTTTCTTCTCTGTCACTCTCCCCAGCTTCACTCTTCCAAATATCAGGTTTTGTTCTTATGACGCTACTGGGTATTTCTAGGACGTTCTCAGTGTAATGAAGATTCTTTCCTCCAGCTGTTCCAGGTTTGGTTTTCGGCAGTCTATTATGGGCCACCAATCGATCCTCATCAGCCACGCTATCCTCGGCTTGGATTTGATTGAAGACAGTATGTTTGTCGAATTTGGCAAGACTACCTGCAAAGTCGAAATCGCCCATATCTTGAACATCCGTTGCATCTTCTGTCGCCCACCCATTCTCATCCCCTAACGGATGTCCTCGCCCTCGCTGTTTTTGACGCTTCAAGGTTGAGAAGGGTTGAAACGACGGGTTTGGTTCTAACAAGGGTGTTTGTCTCCAGCCTTTCGATTTCGTGGTATCTTTGGCCGGTATGACATCTGGCTCTTTGAAATCTTGGTGTTTTGCCTGGCCTTTCCTTCTTCGTGTTCTCCTCCCAGGCTTTGGTGGAGGCTGTCCCGAAACCTCTCCATCCGCAGCAAGCTCCTCTAGAATATTTGCTTCAATGCCGACATCTGCCTTTAGACTTATATTTTGCATAGGTTCAACCAAGTTCGCACTAGGTGTGGGTGTAATTTGAGTGAGCGTCTTGTCATCTGGGGCTCTTGCAGTTTGTGTCGACGCCGTCTTCTCCATCGCACTCCCATTCCACTGCCCAGGAAGCCTCGTCCGTGAAACAGGTACCGGCCGCTTTCCCATACTCAGTATCGCAGGATCCTCGAATGTCTTGGACTTTGCCAGTATCGGTAGAGTTGGTACAGGCGCGGGCACAGGTATAGCGGCCGGAGGAGGAGGGGGAGGGGCAGAATTCTCATCGATGGCTTCCACCAATTCCACAATTTCCGCAGCATTAATCGTGAATTCGGCGACATACTTGCCATTGCTGGGGCAGGTAACTGGAAATTTTGCATGTTAGCAACCTTCGGTGGTCACCACTCCCATCTGAAGTGGAGGGGAAACTTTTTGGCAAAACCATACCATCACGCAAGGTCAAGCTCTTGCCAGGATCGATACCACTCACCACACCCCTCAGTTGCGCCCCTGGCGGAACGCTGAGCGTAACCAACATAGTGAGCCCAATAAATGAAGCCATGGCGGGGTTGTTGGTGTGGTTTGTTGCACAGCTTCACGTCGTCCGTAGTCTGAATATTTTTATGCGATAGCTTCGTCGTAGTCTAGTGCTATCAAGAACGGGAACGCGCATGGACACAGGCGGGGGGAAGTCGCGTTGTAGACAGACCCTCGCAAATTCCTGCTTCGTCTTCACTTTTGTGAGGGGATTTGTAGAAAGTTGGTATGGGGAGTGGGGGTAGATATAGGGGGTAGGGGTAAGATGAGTTGAGGTTCACTGTGGAAGGATCAAACAATATTTTACTTTTTTTGGTGATGCTACAGTACACCTGCACCTGCATTCGCCAGCGGAAGAAAACCCCGCTTCCCTTGCTTATCGTCATGCATGAGGCTTCTTCTGCAGGATGGTACCTATGTAGCAAACCAAGCCTCTTGATTTAGGATTAATATGATATGGTATGGTATGGCATTAATTTAGGAACGATATCAACGTCTGAAGACAAACAATGCTTCATAATGCACGCAATTCTTCAAGCTCCATACTCTTCACGGAGCTGTGTACAGGTACACCAATTGGTATTTTATTACATGTGACCCCCCCTGTATTCTCAGCTTCCATTCCACCCTTTCTAGGCCCCCAACTCAGATAATCTGAACATGAACCTTCTAAGCTCTTTAGCAAATTCTACCTATTGCTGATCATAATCATATCGCTTACATAGGTATTGTTATCGCACACCTCCAGCCAATATTCGCCTAGCAAAATAAACCCACAAGACCAGCAACGCCATGCAAATGCTTGAATGTACCCTCTGCAATATAAATACAATGCCCCATACATTCCCAAGTATCCACTTAACGGTAAGCAGCCATGAGCTCCTCGTCGTCTGCATATTGACCCACCTTCCCTTTCGCTCCTTTCTGGAAAGGGGGGACTGTCGTAGAAACAGACTTTGGGTAAGCTACGGTTGGATGCTGCATGGCTTTGTTGACACTGTACAGACTGTCATAAAATTGAGCCACTCGCGGATGCGCCATGACCTTGGATTTGTCAAAGTTATGAACCTCGAGGCCTTCTTGACTAACGGCTCGACTGAGTGCCACATATGCTTGCCCCTTCTCGAAAATTTTCTTGAGGTCAATCTTGACACGTTCCAAGGTCTGACCTTGAGCTTTATGAATCGACAGAGCCCATGCGAGAATAAGTGGAAGTTGGGTACGTTGTGCTTGAACCTCGCCGTTGGGTAACTCGATTTTCCAGTCCTCTGGCATTACCAACAGATCTCTGACTGTACCATCGGCAACAGCAAAACGAACGAGGGGAAATTCTTTGCCAGTATTGGGGTTAGGGTCTTTGTTATTCGAGAATCTTGCGGTGATGGTTTTTTGGTTTCGGCCTTCATCGGCGAGAGCATCCATACCCCCCTCTTCCAGGATCTCGGGATTTTTGTCATATATCTCGAATGTGACCTCGCTCATAAAAGCAATCACTTTTCCTAGAGATCCATTCACTAATCCGTCGTCCATATTCTTAATCAACATCACCTGGGCACCCTTCTTCAACTCCATGGTCTTAGGAGCCATCATATTGGAAAGAAGCCTTTCACGCATGGCCATATCGGTGATTGTTCCACCATCGACAGCGTCATACCTGTAGCTCTTTCCCACCAGGGAGCGCATCCTGGATGCATTAGAATTCTCGACTTCGTTTCTTGTTGGAAAACTACAGCACAGATTAGCGGGGGATTGTTACAAGGCCTAAATGTGCCTACAGTTCAGTTGCTTCCAAGGAATCCTCGAAAGCGGGTTTTCGATTCAACTTCTTAAAGGCTTTCACTGTCTCTTCAGATATCTTACCCAACCGCATCTCGTTTAGCATGTTAGCGAAGACTAGCATCGATTAGTTAAAACATCAGTCTTGAGATCAGAAAAAGTTCGTACCTGGATCTTTCTGACGGAAAACCTCGGTCAATCCAATAGTGTGGTGGATCGCAGTTGACCAGGTCCCAGCATCGAAAGCAAATTTCACACCTCTAGCTTTGTTATCGTACTCGGGGACAGGAGGAAGTTGGAAGAAATCGCCAGTTATGACAAGTTGGATGCCTCCAAAAGGTCGGCCATTATTGCGGATAGATCTTGCAATTGCCTCCAATTTGTCAAACAAATCACCGTCTACCATAGAAATCTCATCAATGATAAGAATTTTAGTCTTCAACCATCGATTCTTGGCTTTCGCGTTTCTCTTGATCTTCTTCACGAGAGCTGGAACATCCTCCTTGCCAAGTCCGATGCCACTGAAACTGTGCAAAGTTACACCGCCGATATTGCACGCAGCCAAACCCGTGGAGGCAGTCACAGCGACACGATCTGGTTCTCGGATATATTTCTTGCGCAGTTCTGCGATGATTGCCCTCATCAGAACCGATTTTCCTGTTCCGGCTGAACCAGTAAAGAACACACTTTTCGACTGATTGACAACCAGATCTTTAACTCTCTCCTGTTCGGTACTCAAACTAATGGGAGTTATTTTGACATTTGAACGCGCATGGTCACCCATTGCTTGTGCCGCCGACTGATCGAGCTTTCTTGTGGCTTTCTGTTTATCCTTGAGTTTCTGCTTCTGATCACGGATGGCGCTCCCGGTAGTGGTCCAAGGCATTTGCTTCTCCTTAGGAGTATGTCCCCATTTACCCATTTTGGTTGGAGGTGACGATGTCAAGTCTATCATGCCATCTTCCTCCATCCTGGCAGCAACCTCATCCTGTTCTGATTTCTTTTGGAGCCATGGTAGGGCTCGGCGTTTCACAGGCCTGGTATTGGCATCGGGTTCATTGGTTGTCTTCGGCACGCTTGGGGGGGCTGTCGCGGCAGGCCTTTTCCTAGGAGGCGGCAGTTTATGCGATGGGGATGAAGATTCCCAGGTGACTGCGCTACTAGGTGGTTGGTAACTCTGAGAAACATCTGAACGCGGGGCTTCTGGTAGGTTATAAGGGGAAGGTGATTTTGGCATTGGCTTTTGTGAGAGAGGCTTAGGCGGAGCAGCCATGGGCATTACAGTAGGCATCTCGAAATCCATGTCCAAGTCAATATCATCATCGAAATCATTCTCATCAAAATGAACCGGGATCTGATTCTGGACAGGCTGTTTCGCAGGCTTTGAGATATCCTGTGAGAACGTTGCGGAGCTTTGGCTGTCTTGAAAAGAGTCTGACATGTTGAATAATGTGCTGGCGCCCATCGTTGAACCAGTGCTCTCTGACTTTTGCCTCATTGGCGGTCTGCTATTTGGTGATCTCGCACGAAAGGGTTTGGCAGCATTGGTGGTACTCGGGTTGATGGTGTTCTTGTATCCCGTATAACCACCAATTGACTGGGTCGACTGACTGGCTTTCTTGAATTGCTCCTGGATGTTACCATCGTGAGCGGGGCTGCTAGAGGGAAACAGTTGCTTCTCGAGAGTCGACTTGGGTGGAGGGGCGTTGGCACCAGCGTCCTTCACGGCACGGCCTAACATTGCGTCTGCGATGGAGGAGTATGGGCGTCGTGCATCGAGAGGTGTGATGACGGATCGAGGAGTTCTGACAATGCTCCCCCTACATGCACTCGCAATAGTAATACCACCTCTCAAGGCAATCAATGCTCGAGCACGAGTAGCCGCCGCCGGAGAGAAGGCTGGTACGCGGGCCAGACCAGTCGGCATACAATCGGTGGGGGAGAATGGCAGTGGGAGTGGTTGTCGGGTAAACAGTAAACAAGACTGAGGAGGGAAGGAACGTGAGGTATTCTGCTTTCGTGTCCGTGTGGGGTTGGAGGAAGTCGCGACTGGGTGAAGGGGACGCGACGCGGTACGAGACTGAGGAACTTTTCCAGCTTTAATTAGTCTTAGTCAGCGTTTGCCAAGCCAATTCAAGCCAATGGAAACCTCTATTTTGACCTCCTGAAATATTGTCTCCGTCTGGCCTCGCTTAAATCCCATACCTTTCTCATATCACGCTAGCAAGCGCTACCGGTAGTCGCATCTATGGCTTTCAGACAGTTCGAGTCATTGTTGTCTGAGTTTTGCGGATTTATGTGGCAAAAACTTCACTCTTCTCACTACTGTGACATCGATATTTACCACTCTCATACGAGACCTGGTTATAGAAAGCGCAGGGAAAGGATGCATCGACTATTATCACTCCATGTACATCCCCTGAACGCATCATTATACTAGAGAGTTAACGATTAGATCTGATTACCCGACGCGCTTAGCATAATCGAGACCGATGGATGTCTTGTTTCGGCTACACTATCCGGCTCTAACAAATGAGTCAGTTATTCCGGGACTTTTAGGACAACATTTCAAGGAGTACATCGAATGACTACTACGTCTCTTCATTTTCTGATGGCGAAGCAGGTGACTCACAAGTATTGTTCAAGGAGTCCCAGAAAGAATAAAAGCTCTGAGCTCTCCCTTCTTCTGAACGCTCTTGTATGATACTAGCAACCTGTTCCTGGAGGGAACACACAAGCAATGGGCGTGGATAGGCTGAAGAATAAATATGTTGCATTGATTTAGTAAGAGTGCTAATATATTATCCTGCCATGATAACATCTCGGTTATGGTCCCTATGAGCGGTTTGAATATAATGTGCTAATGATATCCTAGAAAGAACAGCGCGGCGCTTTTCTCCCATCCAAACCCTAGATGCCATAAAATCATCCGAAGCCAAACGAAATCAACCGGAAACATGGAGTAATTCAGAGATCCAGGCTTTCTGCTTCAGTCTCTCCATCGGTGTTGCTTATGTACTCCGTGTCACCATCCATGTCATCCAAAACCTCCATGCTAACAGCTTCATCAACCTCCATTTCGATCGGGTCTGGCTTGTTCACTTCCACTTCATGCATCTGTCTCCACTCGAGGCCAGAACGCAGACCCATCGGCAAGAACTCTCTATGCTCCCCAATCTCCCCACCCTCCCTTTTCATCGACTCTGCCGCGTTCACTTCAACCTCCCGTTTCTGTCTCCAATTGAGGTTGGGGCGCGAACTCGTTTGGGCGAATTTCCCGTGCTCCTCACCCTCATCATCCTTCATTTCCATCGGCTCTGGCTTCTTCACCTCAATTTCGTGCATTCGTCTCAAATTAAGATTGGGGCGCAAGCTCATCCGAAAGAATTTTCCATGCACCGCACACTTAACATCCCACTTCTCCGCTGGAAGCCTGAACGGATATCCCTTAGCAAACCAATGAACCAATGTCGTCTCATCCCAATTTAGCTTCTTCAATTGCTCCCGTTGCTCAGCCGACGTGCCGTCCAGACAAACATATGGACAAGCAAAGTAGCGGTGCGAGTACACACGTCCGAAATCCTGGCGAGATGTCAAATGAATGACATATTGCGTTGTATCTTGAATGGGATTATTGGCAAGTGCCTCGGGTGTGAGAACTGGCTGTGGAACCCACTCTTCATTGCTCGGAGTCGTGTCTGGGAGCATGGCGAGACGGGTTTCGTTGTCGATTCCGATGAAGTCGAGTTGACGTTGTCGTCGAACTGCGAACTCGAGGAAGGATCGGAAGTGGTCATCATGGACGGAGCGGTTTTCATCGTTGTAGGGTTTGTTGTTTTGAGATGTGTGGCTTGGGACTGCGTTTGAGCAACAGAAGATTGGTAGCATTGCGACGAAGGGGTTTGGATCGAAGTATTGAAGTGAATTCATGGTTACTGCTAAAGTCTTTCCTTCGATCAGGTCTTTGGTCTGATAAAGATGAGTTGATAAAGATAAGTTGATATTGTTGAGATCGCGGGATTATACGATCCCGGTTGATATAGCCACTTGAATTGCTTCAGTGGGTTATTGGATTGTGCAAACTCTTTCTTAAGCATTCACAGCTGGGTATTGGAGATGAGGATTTCAATCACAATACACAGAAGTCACCGCATTAGGATGTGAATCACGGCCGATATCGCAGCGCGATGATTTCATCAAACTGTTTGATATAACAGAATTCTCCGCTATTTCTTCAGCTACGTAGGTTTGTAGTTTTCATTAGATAAAGAGCTTCCTCTGTAGACCCCTTCATAGACTCGGATGGTTCATTTTGACTTTCAACCTCTTAAGGTATCAGATCACACGCAGTGCATGTAACCCACTACCCTGGGATTGATTCTGATATGATATAGTGCTCATTTCTTCCAAGTTGTTATCATTGTTTCCAAGTTTGAAAAAAACACATTTCTTTTGCACAGTTGGATTGAAGGCGCGAGAAAATTTCATTGTCAAGTCGTCCCTCTATCTATTGACATTCCCACCTCAAGCACCACACATATCGAGGTCATGACAAACCCCAAGAGCGCCTGGCAGATAGTCCAATCTGCAAATCTCACCTTTTTTCTTTTCTATTCACCCTCCCCCGTCCATTCTCCGTCCATTCACTCTATTCTCTTCGTCATCATATTTTCCCATCCCCTTCCCATAATCCCCTCCCTCAAAAAACCCAAAGCAAACCAAAAAAACCCCCAAAATCAAAAACAGCAAAACTCCAGGCCCCCTGTGAACGGAGTTTGTGGTCTGTGGGTCATGTGGCGTGGTTATGGGTTTGGAATGAGATAGGATGAGTGAATTTTGTGGGAAGGAGGGGACTTCTATATTTTCTTCTTGTTGACTTTTGTTGCGCTACGTATACACGCCAACTTTGTCTTATCATTTGAGCACGATGGAAGCCCTTGGTGTTGCTGCTGGTATCGCGGGCTGCCTTAGCCTTGTAGGGCATGCACTTGATGGGACCAAAAAGCTGAACCACTTCGCGCTAGATATGAAAGCCGCGCCAGAAGTCATACGGGATTACCTTATGGACTTTTAATCATGTTAAAGAGCCCTCTTGAACTTCTAGTAATTGCTTGCGAAACAACGAGAGTTAGTAGCTCGTATTTATGTAGATAGATACTCTACTAAAATCAACGGTTATACTTCTTCTAAGTTTACATTCGTCTAGCTATATGAATTATTAAAGTACAGGCAGAATAATAGTATACAACTCATATCTTTAGACACTAAAGCTCACCGTGCTTTTGAAAGCGTGGTGTTAAGAACAACATGAGGTCCACGGGTAGGTAGGGATAACGCGTACAAAGCTCGGACCACCAATTAAGCGAGAGGGAAAGGGGTCGATTTAACTGCTCCCGAAAATAATTGGAATCAAGTTTCCAATACCAAGCAGCACTACTCCTCTACACGAGCCCTTGCCTCCGCGACCACTTTTTGCCAGTCTGTGTATCTCATATATAGAGTGAGTATGCCAGCAACTATCCCAAGTCCACTCAGCGGTCCAATCCAGAGACCAAATACACCTATATGCAGTGGTCCAAAGGCCAGAAATAGCGAGAGTGGCACTGCCCATATATAGTAAACACCAAGATTGATCCATCCTCCGATTCTTTGCCTTCCCATGCCTCGGAGCAAGCCACTTGAAAGAATTGCAAAAGCATCAAACATCTGATTTGCTGCCACGAGGGGAAGTACGCTGACGATGATATCCCGAACGGTGGGGTCTTCGGTGAAAAGTTTGGCGATGGTGCGTCGTAGAAGTGTCAACATAGTGAGGTCAAACAAGCCAATTCCAACGAATACGATGTAATATATCCTCCAAACCTTTCTTGCTGCTGTCAAGGCGCCATGTCCGAAAAGATTCCCGAAGCGTGTGGAAGCCGCCACAGAGGTGGGCATGGGAATATGGTATGTTGTGATGGCTACCGAGAACAGAACAGACTGTGCGGCGAGAGCTTCGTTGCCCATATAACTTGATGCGAAAGTGAGGATTTCAAAAGCAAGCCATTCCGATAAGACCATGAATATTCCCGGAACACTAAGCCTGATTATTTCGCCCCAATTCTGGAGAACCTTGGCCAAAGAAAATCTTGGCCAGCATTCTAGCATGGGACGAGCAAATAAGTTAATATAGAGTAGCAGTAGAATTGGTTGAAGGGTGTTAGACAGGGCCACCGCTAGGCCTGCACCTCTGAATCCGAGGCCGAACCGAAACACAAACAGCCAATTCCATAGGATATTGAGAGGAGCACAAACCATCACAACCATCAAGCAAGCAGTGAAATTCCCTTGTGCTTGCATGAAACGTTTTCCAGCTTCAAACATGGCAAAGCCAGGGGCTCCCAGGAGGTATAGCCTTAAGTAAGAGCCGGCCAACTTCGCAAGGTTTGCGTCAGGTACTAGTAGCTCGAGTATCCATGGCGATGATAACCAGAGTGCGCCCTATTTTGAGAAGTATTTAAGTCAGCTCAATTGTTTTAGAAAGATTCGAGAGTCAAAAAGAATTTTGTGAGAAGGATGAATCATTATTCGAATACACCCAGGCCAACAGAAACCATTGCGTCGACGACCACGGAAGAATTGAGCAATTAATATCCATCCGATGAGTTTTGTATCCCAGAAATCCTGGAAAAACTAAGTAACTTGGCTTTCTAACTCTTGGAAAATTCAGGATCGGGGAAGCGGGGGGGAGTTACAATAGGTATGGTGGCAACTAGCATTAGGAGCCACATCCGCTGAACGTGGCGGCCAACGAGCTTTTTTTTACCAGCACCAAAAGCCTGCGAAGCGAGGGTATCGAGAGACGTAGCTAAGCCTTCATAGACACACAGCCCGGTAATATTTGCCGTCATTGTTGCCAATGATGCTGCTCCCAGTTCACTCGTGCCTAATTTTCCTGCAACATATACCATGACAAGGTTGTAAGAGTATTGTAGAAGATAGGTAAGAACCAGGGGTGCCGAATTCTTCGCCAGTGCTTTAGTTTCAACTTTCCATGTAGTATCGAAATCGTTATTCGTCTCCAAGAGCCTAGTGTCTGTATGTTCGATGGTCTGGTATCCTTTTTGGTGTTTGGATTGGGTGCATTCACTGAGGCCGTCGGGTTGATATTGGTCTCCCAGCAACGTCGTAGTCTCTAAGGGTGCCATTGGAACCTTTTCTCAAGTGTAGAATAGTGTCTGCCAAGGCGCTGAAGGTGAACGGCTCGGCGTGATGGATGTTGACAACCAGAAAGATGCGAAGAGTGGTAGTAAGCTTAAGTTCAAGGTTTCGGCGGTATGCTGAGAGCTGAAATGAAAAGAAAATGGCTCTGCAGCCACAAGCGAACGCCTTTTTCTCGTCGGAGGACAGTTCGGGCTATGCTTTTCGGAGTTGACTTGCCCCAGGAGGTACATGTTGGTATTGCATTTCGCCAGTAATTCCTCGGAATGCCCTGGGTACGATCAGTAGTCGTCACGAAATCTCGGCACTCACTGGTACAAGTGGATGGAAATACATCCTTCCACGTGACGTTATTGTATTCACTGCAACGGGAAGGAACGAAAAGGGTAACAAAAATCTCTTTTTTCTTTTTGTGATTCGATCGAGAGAGAAGGACCATGTATGGAGTCATACACACTGATGTTTGAAGTCATGATTAACAACTTTTTAGATTGGGGGCGCAGATGTTTTATTCAAGTGGCACTGCTTACGGCTGGAATACCGCAGACATGGTAAAGGAAACCATACATTCCTTTTTCTCTGATAATCTTCTGATGATCTCGCACTGTACCCAGTAATGTCACACAAATCATCTTTCCAATCCGTAGAAAGAGTTCTGTGTAATGGGAGTACGTTTGTGATAGGCTAAGACGAAAATTACGCAAGTCGCGAACCTGAAATTGATTTTTCCTTACTAAAAGATATGTATGATAGCGTAATGGAATCCTTCCTCGAAGGTCAAGTTGAAAAGAAACTGTCATTGTCGTAGGAACAACCATTGAGAGAAACCTCACCGCCAACCAAAACAGAAGAAGAATTGCGCTGACTGGGAACGTCCAATGCAGGGTTTGCATCGAAGAAATCAGCAGGCGTGAAATGAAGCTCGTGTTTCTCCACTGGCATAACAGGCCAATCCTCTACACGGGGATTGTGAGTGAAACCAAAAACAGCCCACACTACTAGATCTGTATTCTGGATGTCATCGTTGCGAGCAGCCGCATCGAAGCATCCGCCTCGCTCGACCTCAGCTTGATTTGTGAACTCGCCACCCGCCCAGAATTCGTAATCTTTATGCTTGGTTACCCAGACATGGTGGGTCGCGAATTTGGCCCTTGATGCCGCAAGAGAACTGGGATCAGCCAGAAGCAATTGACTGGGGGATGGAGTAAATTTGTAGGCGACGGGATTTCCAGAAGTTGTGTTTTTAATAGATGGATTGCTTATCTTAATGACTCGATTTGTGAAAGGTGAGGCGTCAATGTGCGTCGATGTTTCCACGGTCGTCGTACGAACTTCATAAGCATTCCCGTGTGGATTCGTGTCAGGATTCATGGGGATTGGGATGGAATCTTGCGTCACCACAGTATTATTGTGCCCGTCTATAGCTGGGTCGATACGAACGGCAAAAATGTGCTGATGATTTTGAGCCAGGATTCCCTTTCCAACAACGTTACCATAATTCGAAAATTTGTTTTCCTCGATGCTGACTGGTGACATGATACCTGTAGGCCTTGTTTCGACGGAGATACTAAGTACTACTTTGTCAGTGATTGTAGAAAGTGCAGAATATGAAGACCTACCCTCCTGCGAGATCAAAATGATAGGCGAAAATATACTCATAGTTGCCAAGGGTGATGATGTACTGGATGATCAACTTCCTGTTCCTCACGACGACAGCTCGGCCAGTTATGAGATTGGTATGCTTCCATAAAATCCCATCATCTTGTTCATGAATACAAACAACATTCTTCGACACATCGGGCTTGCCTTCTGGAGAAACAAGCATTGCATCGATATACCTAACTGCACCAAGACAGTCACACCCAAGGGCAAGGTTGTTTGCAGTACGACCAGCGCCAGCATCTCCAAAATCGAAAGCGTGTTTTCGATGATATGGTGCCCTTGGGTCAGCATACGGTACTGTTAGCTCACTGAAGGAAAGTCGATGGAAGACGCTCCGGCCATCATAGTGTATATCGTGAAGCACCGCACACTCCCTCGGTGTAAATGAAATTCTAAATCGCCATTTTTGCCATTCCACAAGTCCATTGCGTTCAGAAAATGAGGCACCCTCGGGTTGGATGACATTGAGGGGGTTATAATCTTGTCGGATCGGGGCATCTAGTAGCTCGGGGGCATACTCAGCTGCGTTGCAGTGTTCGGTAGGTTTGGCTAGAGATTCTTTACCGGGAAGCAACCCATCCAGTATACCCCCAGTCGGAAGTCTCTCGACCCTAACAACCGTCTTCTTATTTGTATCCATGACAACGCAAATTGGTAAGGGATACGCATAGTGGTTCGCGTCCTCATTCTGCTTGGTCTTGTCTCTTGCAAAGCAGAACAGTTGAGTCAAGCGAGAATCTTGGTCGGTAGCGTCGGGACCACCAAAGGGCCATGGATCGATCGCAATTTCTTCGAATCCTTTTGGGAGTTCCAGTTTCTTCACGGCCTGTTGAAATTCAGGACTCAAAATACATGCATCAATGAATTCTTGAAATTCATCCACCGTGAACGAGTGCCGCTGCTTGTTTCCGAGCTTACGATTGCTAAGCTCTTTACCGCTAGCTAAGTGTATAGTTGACTCCATGTAGTACAGATTTCTGTCCTGGCTGATAACATCATATTGAACACAGGCCAGACGATCTGGTGGCTGAGTCTTGGCTGATAAAGTTCCCGCGTGTTCTTCTTCAAGAAACTTGATGAGTTGAGATTTTGGTGGTTCGATGTTGTAGATATTTCTGAAAATGATGGCTGTTTGGTGTGCTTGAAGAACACTCTCTCTTGCGACATCAATTTCGGCAGCCGAGATCTGCTCCAGAGGATGTTTGAAAGGAAGGTTAAGCATTTTGCTATGATCTGAGCTGTTGTCCCTCGTGAGACTTTCGGATACGACACCTGTGACTGGAAAAGAAGGTGTTAAAATAATAGCGAGGACTGTGAAAGCTTTGTGCGATCATCTGGGTAATCTTACCTTATAGTGACTGACTGTATGAAAGTGTCTAAGAGACTTAAACCTGCCCTATGAAAGATTTTTAAGATCGGGATTTGGGATTCTTACCCTGGCGCCTTATCGTGTGAAGCTTTTGATTGTATCCAAAGCGCAAGAGAAAAGGAAAGAATTAATGTCTGTGGGAGGTAGATCAGAACAGGAACTTCTAGTACTGCTAACGCAAATAATTAACACCATTTTTCGTGCCAAGACATACATCAACACCTGAAACGAAAAGACAGGTGAAGATGGAGGTACGGCATCTCGCTTAGAGCAATACCCTCATGGGTAGAAAGCTGCATCTGTAACGCTAAATGAGTCCCCGCAATTATTATTTATATCTCCCGCTTACCTGTCTGCTCCAAAATACCTTCATGCTTTCTAGGTAGCAAATCACAGCTCTCGTGAACAAGTTGTTGTGTTCCAAACATCACGCATATCGGACGACCAAGCACCACCCGTTCGAAATGAACCTTAGTGAATGCGAAGAATGGCAAAAGGCTCAACGGGGCGAAGGATACAATGGAAATGTCCCTGAGCTTGTCGCAGCTAGGGCTCGATGCACAATCGCCTGCGATGCCTTGAACGACTCGAGAAATTACTCCCGAAGAAACCAAGTCAGCCTCTGGAGAATGTGAGAGTTTTTGACATTGTTCTTCCACATATTCAGCCCCTCTCGCAAGAATGCAAATAACGCAAATAATGCAAAGAGATATATTAGTTTCAGTTCTTGAAAACATCTCGAAGAATTAATTTTGATTTCCTCTCCTCACAACTCCTGTAAAGCGACCAAAAAAAGAAGAATGCTAGGCTAATATGCAAAAATAAATGAACTTTGTCTTGCGTCTTCAGTTTTGGTCTGAAAACATATTGACTTCTGAGTATCTAGGCTCACAATGGATCCCCGACCACTCCCGAATCCTGCTCCAACCCAAGAAGAGGATGATAGACTCTTTGTATTGGAACCTTGGGTAATGGCTCCTGTGCGAGCCGAATACGGGTTCAATATTCGTCTTGGAGAAGGAGCATATGTGAATTGGAACTCAACCTTTTTTGATTGCACTCCGGTGGCGATTGGTGCTCGAACCTTGGTCGGGCCCAATTGTAGTTTCTACGGAGGCTTCCATGCCATCGACCCCGCCGTGAGGGATGGTGATAATGGGCCATTCTTTGAAAAGCCCATTACTATCGGGGATGACTGCTGGTTGGGGGGTAACGTGGTAGTTCTTGCAGGAATATCAATTGGAAAGGGGTCGACAGTAGGCGCCGGAAGTGTAGTAACCAAGGTCTGTATACATGAATTTACCGCACCTGCCTGTAAACAACAGCTGATTTAGATGGCAGAATGTCCCACCATTTCATGTAGTGGCTGGGAATCCGGCCAAAATTCTGAGAAAGATTTCAACTGCAATGGATCCGGAGTCGCTGGCACGGTAAAACAAGAGTGCGAACTCATAACGCAATACCAGAGATATGTGCAATCTGGACACAGCACAACTAAATTTTCATATGCGTTATCGGGACTCTCAGGCACGCGAAAACTAAAGCGGGGAACGATAGTGTAGGGCAGGTGACGTGTCGTGTCTAATCTGGACACAGCGTCTGAGTTTCATTTTCTTATTCCGATTTGAAGTGGCTTCTGTTGTGCTTCAATATTCTCCTGCTTCTTCGCTAGTATGTTGAGCGTGTATGTGTTGCCTTTGGATTCGCCTTTCATCCGGAGAAGGTACATCCGAGAACGGATCTCAATACCAGGCGGTTAGACGCAGCCATACCTGCAGCTAGAAGCTTTCAAATTGACAACCAGAGCCTAACAGTAAGCGAGGTAAAAATAAGCGAGGTGTCATTCTCATCGTCACTTGGTGTGCAGCGACGGCTGTTTGTGTCACATGACCGGTGTTCCAAATGTGTGTATTCAATTTCAGAAGACGAAACCCTCACCGGCATCGATATTGTGTCCTTTGATATGATCTCATCTATCAATTCTATATTGTGCGCTTCAAAGGGAGTGGCGAGCTTGTAAAACATCATCATACATCAAAAATGGCAGATGCCTGTGAATCATCTGGAAAGACCATTCCAACATCAGGTCTAGATCCGGCGGTCCAAAAACTCAAAAGACATATAGAGAGTGAGCCGCAACTTCTAGGTCTCTTCGTTCAAGCATTCCAGGAGATTCCAGACAGTTTCCAGGATAAACCCACCAAAGATGGATTTCCGCGTATTCGCAGCTACCATTCTATGATCGAAGCCATTGACCGGGCCATCAAAGCTGGCCCCTCCTGGATATCGAGTTTAGGGTCCGATTGTGTGATTGGTTGTCCAATGAATGAGGCAATGGTATGTAGAGCCTGACATTTTCCAGAGTAAAACCCACAACTGATTCATTTGAATTTATGTAGATCTGGTTGATGAATACCAGAGCTGGCTCTGATATTTTTCTTCGCGAGGATATCAATCTTCATTTGTCCAATATTCTTGGTGTATGGGCTAAACACCTTTCATCAGCGGCTTCAACCTCCGTGTTAAATGATGGAGAAAACGGATGGCTATCGCAGAACGCACTGGCGGAAATGCTACAGGAGGTCAACAAAGCTTTCAATGCTCCATTCCAAGCATCGGATTTTGAAGAGGTATTTGAGTGCCAGCCATCATTACCATCATACGGCTTCAGGTCGTGGGATGAATTCTTTACGCGTCGTTTCCGACCCAACGCACGACCTATCGAATCCCCGACCGAAGATAATGTTGTGGTTAACCCATGCGAGTCTCAACCTCTTTTGATAACAAGAGATGCGCCTTTTCAATGTCAGTTCTCGCTGAAGGGTACATCGTATTCCTTTGTCAATATGCTTGATAACGATCCCTATGCGGAGAATTTTGCTGGAGGTACGGTCTATCAAGGATGGCTGTCCATTTTCAACTACCATAGGTGGCATACACCTGTATCAGGACGAGTAGCAAGAGTCCTACAGATAAGAGGGACATACTTTGCGGCTGATCCCTTCCAGGGATTTCAGGAAGTTGACCAGTCGAGTGGAACACAATCTCCAGACAGGCAAGCCCCAGACGCATCGCAGAAGCTTTTAAGCTCCATTGCAACACGGACAGTGATTTTGATACAGGCAGACAATGCGAAGATCGGCCTAGTAGGGTTTGTTGCCATTGGAATGTCTGAAATTTCAAGCTGTAAAGCTACCGTTGCTGTTGGAGAGCATCTTTACAAAGGCCAGGAGATGGGCAGCTTTCATTATGGCGGTAGCTCCTTTTGTTTGCTATTTGGGCCTGAAGCTACGATACAGTTCTCACAGGTGGTAACGGACGCTCTGAAGCAACCGGTTGAGATAGGAAGCAGATGTATTGCGGTAAACAGCGAGTTAGCAAGGTTGGAATAATGTAGCGTGGAATGCGTGCGGGGAGATTGAGAAGCCATAAAATTGGCAACATTCATTGAAAGACATTAATTCTTCTTCACCGACTGGTCGAAAATAAAATATTGTGATTCATAGTCCGCTTATACACCTTCTCAACAAAGTGGCTCGAGATTGACTTGTTCGAAGAGACCATCCTTGTTGTCCGAGTCCTACTCTCACAAGGAATCTAATCATGCCAGCACTTTGTGAGAAAGACTTTTTGGTAGATATCATTGAGGTGGGTTCAAAAAAATGGCCACAAACTAGGCGGGTGAAATCAATGATTGTTAAATAGTTGAGGGTAGAAACCTCAAAGAATTGACTCATTTATCACAATTGAACATGCGTTATTGAAGATACTTCCATAGAGCTCTTGGTGTGTACCTTAAGATTGAGTTCTGGCATCGATACAAGCAAGTTCTGAAGAGACCGATAACAATGAAATCCTCTTGTCAATTGACCCGCAAATTCCCTTTACTTATGCTCTATAAAAACTGCTAATCATAGCTCCAGCTTGCAAGTTTCAGTTGGCTGCCGTCCCACGACTTCTTTGACCGATGTATCCTCCAATACATTCGACACCATCATTGAAATAACTTCGTAGGCCAAGTTAGCGGCAGCAAAGGCAGTATCTCCACCTTGGCTGTCATAAGACGGTGCAACCTCGACTATGTCCGCCCCAATCACGTTCAACTTCGACAAGACAGTCATGACTTTCATCAGCTCTCTCGAAGACCAACCTCCCGTCTCCGGAGCGCCAGTCCCCGGCGCAAAAGCGGGATCCAAGACGTCAATATCAATACTGACATATACTGGCACATTAGGGCCAATTGTTGAGTAGATGTTTTCAATGATGGCACCCACACCTAGATCGTCAATCTCCTCGGCCGAGATTCGTTTAAATCCTTGAGAATCATCACTAGTGAAATCATGCAATCCTGAGATACGGCCATGGACTTTTGGAATATTGAAGTCAGTAAAAATCCTTAGGAAATTCAAGGAGTTAAAAAGATGAGTGCTCTAAAGGTCTTGGCTCTAGGATCCAACCCAGGAAGAGTTTTACTAAGAGAAATCATACACATACCTCCGGCATGAACAAGATGGCCTGGGAGCAGCAACCCTTCCTGGATTGCATGCCAGAAAACCGTACCGTGGTTGATTTTTGAAGGTTCCGATTTCCAAAAATGGCGAGGATAAGAGTCTGGTGCTAAGGTGTCGATATGAGCGTCAAAGTGAAGAAGTGCAACAGGCTCGCCCAGAATGTATTTTAGCGCTCGCAGCATTGGGAGAACTATGGAATGATCGCCTCCAAGGAGAACCAAATGGGGCAATTTCCACGGGCTATCCTTTGGAGTCTCATGAGAGAGCAACTCCACAAATCCCTCTTCCATTTGTTGCAATGCAAGTACTGGATCATTGGGTATAACCGGAATATCCCCACAATCCACCACACGTGCCCAAGATTCATAGGGATTGAAATTGAGGCGCGGGTTGAAGCTTCTTCCGGACAAATGGCGCCCTGGTAAACGAGAATTGAAGTCAGCCTATCTCTTCTATCATAATGTTTTGGTGCCTTAGTTCTCGAAAAGAAGCACAACCAGAATAGAAAGAGATGGTCTTATCTAAAATGACCTGCCTGAAGCGTATCGGATAGCCTTTGGGCCTTCACGTGCACCTTTTGGAATTAGCTCAGCGGTCCAGTAGCCAAAGAATAGTGACTCACCAGATCGATAAGTTGTCAAGGAATCGAACGGAACACCAATGATGGCAATGTCAAATTCTTGGGTTCGATTGACAAGGCAGCGGGTATAGGGCAAGTGATTAAAGGTTGATACTCCTGAAAATGCCCACTGATTTGATAATTAGCTTCCTGGGCACTGCCTCTGGGTGGATACCGTTCACGTACATCGTTTCCCCACCGGCGTTCCAGGTCAACCTCTGAAGTGCATCTCACCAAAGATATAAGAAACGGCAAAGCGGTCAGGGCAGCCCCAACAGCCTGCAAATTTCGTATCACTACACACATTATTTTGCAGCTCAATGAGAAAGTCTGAATGCCAGTAATGTCGACCAAGTTTGACCACAGTGTGCAGTTGATTAACTCCGACGCAAATGCATCAACTTCCCTAAGAAATGAAGTGGAATATAGCGAGACCTAACAATAAAGGCTTACTACTTGTAGTATCTTCAACACGGTTATCATATTTGTTTATTCATGTATTTACTTATAACTACTTAACGGTACTGTTTCAGTGTTTCTCAATTGACACGAACTTGTAATCATATCGACGGTGGATTGTACTGCGGGTGATTTGTTCGTGCAGTGCTTTCCATTGTGCATAGTTGAACAAGAATAGATACACAGTGACTAGAAAGCAAGTGGGTATTAGTTTCCACAGCAGAAAGCATATATTGCGTGATTCCTGCATACAACAACAATTTCCACTCAAGTGGTAAAAGTTACGTACTCCTATGAGAGTTTAGAAGCATCCTTGAAAAGCCACATAAAGTTGAGTATGACAGCCACTCTCTCCATGATTTTCGTATGGGGCAGGTCAATTAAATGTCACTCACTTTTATAGTACCACAAGCTTGGTATAAGCTTGATATAAGCTACGTGGTGTACTTTGGCAGTAGCCGCCTGTAACTTATGATTACAAAGTTCCACTGTTCTGTTATGATTTTCGTGGTTACCAACCATTTCATAACACAACATAAAGGTCACTGTACAACCGACTCTACAAACTGCAACTTGCTTTTGATGCAAGAGCGAACGACAAAGGTCTTCGTGATTCTAGGACAACCGGCATAGCTACGTGCAGCGGGCAGAACGAGGTAACATCACCACAAAATGGTCGGTTAGAAAAAGGTGCAGAGCAGAGTAAGTGAGGGAAAATGGAAACTCCAGTCTGTAATAATACCCAAACGGAAGCAGCATGTAGAGATAGAGAGTACGACAAGGTGTAGTATTAAACCATTGAAAATTAGACTATGAATCAACAAATATTTATCCAAAGCCGCTTGCTGAGTGCTAGGTCCACAAAGAAAAGGCTTTCAGGTACGCATAAACTTAGATCTTCCAATCACCTGATGATGCCGATTCTCTTGATCTTGAGCTGTACCATTCTGTTCACATTCTGTATTACCATCCATAATTTGTCGTTTTCCCTTTCTCGTTGGTGAAGAGATGGCCGGGATTGAGATGAAATTCACGTCAATGAGATATTGTACGCACCGTCGAACTGCAGCTTCGACCTCGAGTACTGATTGTTGATCATGTTGGTACTGATTGCTTTCTCTCGGATGGGGAGAGGGGCTGCCAAGTGTAGGACCTAGAAATTGTTGAACGCCCCATAGTGGGTGGGCTTCCGTCTCCAGTTCCATGTCTTGATGTGCAAGCTTGATCCACAGGCTCCAGTCCTTAGGCTTGAGATCGATAGAGGTCTGTGCCTGAACGGCGGCCCAGAAGCGAGAAACTGGGAGTCCACGGTCTATATCTTCAAAGAGGATAGAGTTTGCATTGGTGGATGTTGAAGCATCAGACTCCATGTAAGAGTTGGTGCTATCGTTGCTCTTATTGCTATCACCATTGGGACTAGAATTTGATACTCCTGGTGAAAATTGACTCAAGGTAGCTATCCGGGCCTTATGAACGATGACGCTCGCTACGTACGTCACCTCTGCTAAATCAAGCCAGGAATCAGGAGGATCCAATGGATAGGACTGCATGCGGACAGCACCAGCAACAACTTTCCACAAAAAGTCGTCCACATTGGAGATTCCCGTGAGATTATCCCCAATAATATAGCCAGGCTTAATAACAGTAAAATTCTTGTCAGAGTGGCTTTGGCCGCTGGATCGCTTCCGGGGAGTGTCAGCTCTGGCTCGTTCAAGATAAAGCTGCCCCGCTGCTAGTGTCAATTGCTCGGATATGTATTTCGTCTGGCTGTATCCATCTGCATCGTTGAGCATCTTTCTATGTCCCCACACCGGCTGGTTTTTTTCCCTTTTCACACCACCCGAAACGTAGATGAGCTGTCGAAGATGTTCTGATTGGAGACATGTTCGGAGTATCTGAAATGTCGATTTGACGTTGACCGCCTCAAGCGAATGATAATCAGTACCCCAGCTGACGACTGCTCCGTTGTGAATAATTATATCAAACTGAGAAATCCGAGACCATCTTTCCTCGCTCAGTCCCAGACAAGGTTTCGCTAAATCACCAATCCATGTGTCAATATGCCGAGATGCCGAGTTAGTCCACCACCCAGAGATGCGAGCGATCTTTTCTATTCGTTGTTTGGCACGCTGAACACCTTCGCCGCGTACAATGACGGTAATATTGCCAATGTGGCATGTGTTGATGAGCTGGTTAAGAATTTGAGTACCGAGATATCCTGTTGCTCCGGTCAACAGAACTTGTAGTGGTGCGACCAGGGGCATCTTTGTTGAAGATCGAACTGAACAAGAGTCTTTTAAAGCTGCCGTCCATTTCTCAAGCTCTGTGGCCATATCAACGTGTTCTTCGTCCCCAGCCTTGCCGCTAACCAGATTCGCAAGGTGCTGGATAGTCGTTTCTTTGCGAGTCAACGTCGGGACTTTGGTCGACAAATCAAACTCTCTTTTTAGAACTTTTGCAAGAGTTGTTGCTTTGAGAGAATCACCTCCATAATGCGAGAAACTCGCATCAGTGCTGATCAAACTTTTGTCAATCCCAAGGATACTTGCCCAAAGTCCAAGAAGGGCTTGCTCTGTTTCGTCGATTGGCTTGACTAAAGGCTCAGAAGATACCCGGCATGCCATTAAATCTTCAAGGGAGATATTTTGTGTAAGCCTCCGTAGTAATCCTCGATCGATTTTACCTGATGGTGTCATAGGAAGCGACTGAAGCTGGAAGTACACAGACGGTACCATGTAAGCTGGTAAGATTTGTCGAATTCTACTGTCAACTTCGGTCCGTAACTCCTTGAATGATTGATCGGCTACACAAATAATGGGCGTCGACTTTGTGATCCTCTCAGATTCGTCTTTGGTAGTATTTCCAATGAAAATGAAAGCTACCAACGTGAGGTTTTCATCGCCCTCTGATTGTATCGTGTGTACCGCAACCTCCACGTTATGTGTGCCACTATCTCTAGAAAAATCCAGCCTTGAGTCCAATATCTTCCAAATCTCTCGCTCAATCTCGCCGAGTTCAACACGCTGTCCCCGAATCTTGACCATGGTGTCTTTTCGAGATATATGCATCAGTGAACCGTCAGAGTTCAATCGGACGAGATCACCCGTTTTGTAGAGTGTTCCACTGCGACCAATAATATCAGGGCACCCTTGAGTCAACCATCCTGGATCTGTGATCAATGCAGCCTTGGTTAAGTCGGGGGATTTCAAGTATCCTCGAGTCTGCATAGGCCCCTCGACAAGAAGTTCACCTATTTCACCTATCGCACAGAGAATTTCATGGTCGTCAGGCTTTACAACCCAGCATACCCCTGGATTCCCAGGTCCAATTTGAGAGTATCTCCAAGAGTCCTTTGTCAACATCTGTACTGAAACCAAGGGGACTTCAGAGGCGCCATACCAGCTGAAAACTCTGTAAGTATCGAGAAATTTGCAGATTCGGCCTGTGATTGTCTCGCCCGTAAACACAATGTGAGTGATGGATATAATTGCATCATTCAGCAGAGCTAAAGCTGCAGAGGGAGTAATGCACAACCAGTTGGCCCGAAAAGAGTTGATGGCCGATATAGTGTTGTTCAATCTTTCTGATTCTGAAGGTATGCAAAGGCAACCACCAGCCACCAATGTCATCAAAGTCTCATGCAAACTGATGTCGAAAGAGTATGAAGCAAATTGAAACACACGAGAGGCTTGGCCTAGTTCAAATAACTTTGAACCATAGACTGCGGTTGTTGAGAGGCATTCCTGATCTAGTATAACACCTTTGGGTGAACCAGTGCTGCCAGATGTAAACACAATGGCGGCAACTTGATCCCTCCTGGCTGATGAGAAGGTGTTAGTGCCAGCCTGATTGGAAGAATCCAGTCGTGTGGTACTAACCGGTTCGGCCAGGCAGTCCCTCTTTTTTTCGAACCGAAGCTTGTCAACTAATAGTGGCCTAACGGTTGATACCAAGCTGGGATAGGAATCAGATGTTGTCAGAACCAGGGGAGAATCCAATGATTCAATGATTCCACGTAGTCTTTCTTGAGGTATATTCCAGTCCAATAAAGCAATGCCATAACCGGCTTTCAAGACTCCCAGAGTGGTCACTGGCATCCACTTCGATTTCTTCATCCATAAAGGCAACACCTTTCCAGGCAGAATCCCCAGCTGATTCATGTACTCTGAGATTTGAGATGACGTAAAAAGGAGCTGTGCATAATCTAAATCTCCATCCCAAGCACATATTGCTGGCTCAAGGGGTTGTTTGCGAGCTGTTTCGGTAATGAGATCCTGCACGCAAGTAAAGGTGGTTCTTGTTGATGTGGAATTCCAAGACCAAATCTGCTTTAGATCTTCCTCTGGGATGAGAGACATCGAGTATTGGTAAAGTAATAACAGTGAACGCGAACAGATGTTGGATTCAGATCTCAGACGCTATTGCGATAAATCTTCACTAACAACTTTCTACTCTAAGACCTCGAAACGTTGGGGCTAGTTTAGTCTGCATACAAAAACGACTGATGATACTTAAGCGTACACCCACGATAATTCGAGTCGACCTGCAGATGTTAATGTACACATGTGAACTTTCGATATGCTGTATCGATGCCGGTCTTCAATGAATATCGCTCGCTGGACAAGCTTGTGAGGTCGCTTCCGAGAGTAGAGTTACCTGTCGTGTAGATATTTCGTGAGAAGTTGTACAACAATAATACGGCTTTAAGCAGTATTACCTCTGAGCGGAAAGCTTAGTAGTTATTCCGCGACTAACGATATAGTAGCCGATCATATAGCTATCCTATCAAAAAATACCAATACATCCCTAAGCGGTATCCAACGGGTATCTTCGTATTACGAACATACACTAACGTAATATGCGAAAACAAGTTTGTAATACTGCTCGGAAGAAATTAGTAAATGGGCCGTGAACATGGCCGATGTCGAAGATACATGCAGTCAAATGTACGAGAACCTAGACGTGGCTGGATGTGCAAATGACCCGTTACATGCATTTTGTTTCAAATTGATTGTATGCCAGTACGGTACGACTATGATGTATTCTCTATGCTTTTGCTTCTTACCTTCGGCCCGCAATGCCGGACTTCGGTGCCAAAAGATTACTTTGCTTTTGTCCAAAAACGTAACCAAGCGAGATGATTCCTAACATTCACTAAACGGGCACCGAGAAAGATTGGTTTTGCAGTTCATGTTTACAGAAACGACTCTTTGGTTACCAAAACGACCGAAAACCACCCCGATTAGCATCATCCAAAATGAATCTTACAGGAGTTTCTGATGGTCTCAACAACCCCCACTGCGATGTGATTGATGTCGATAAGGTACGATCCTATTTTCCAGCGCTGGCTGGGGAGACCACTCCTCTCAACAATGCAGCCGGCACGCTGGTGTTGAAAGATGCGATAGAAAGGTTTGATTTCCATCGTCTCAATCAAAAATATACATTTCTGTATATTGATAGAAGTCTGGCTAAGCGAGACCTAGTGCGAGTGACTTAATGTACTCTATGCCAATCGACCATGGCGATGGCGATCCAAGGTCTCTTGCCGCAATCTCTTCTTACGAGAAGAATTGGAACCAGGTAAAAAAACAAAAGAGACTCTCAGAAATGATGTTGACCGAAGTCAGTGTGCTCAATTTATCAACGCATCACCAGACGAAATCAGTGAGTCTAGTTCGCATTTCGTCATTTGAAGAGAAGAATTATGCCCGTATCTGACTATCTCCCTAGCCTTTGGTCAATCGACAACTACGCTATTTCGTTTATTGGGTCATTCCTTACGCCCACTTCTGAACAATGACTGTGAGATGGTTTGCTCCACGCTCTGCCACGAAGCATCAGCAAGCGCCTGGGTTCACCTGGCCAAAGATTTGGGAATTACGATCAAGTGGTGGAGTCCGGATTTGAACCATGGCGACAGTCCCTCTCTTTCCCTCGAGACACTTGAGCCACTATTATCTCCTAAGACTCGCATAGTGACCTGCAATCATGTCTCTAACGTCGTGGGGACCATTCACGACGTGAGGCGGGTAGCGGCTCGAGTGCATACCATTCATGGCTGCATGTTAATAGTCGATGGGGTCGCTTGTCAGTATTGAAAAACAAATTCCTCCCCTCCAAACCTTTTTGATTGGCAATTACTGACTCCCCTTTCTTCTAGTGGCACCTCATCGACCGGTAGATGTTAAAAGTTTGGATGTAGACTTCTACTGTTTCAGCTGGTACAAGATCTTTGGCCCGCACATGGCACAGCTCTATGCCAGTCGAAGGGCTCAAAATCGGTATATGACCAGCATAAACCACTTCTTCTTCGACCCGTTCCCACTCGATAGGAAGCTTCGCCTGGGTGCAACGACATACGAGCTCGAGGAAATGTGTTCTCCTATCGTGCGCTACCTCCAAGGGGCTGTTGGATGGGACGTCATCGTCGAACAAGAGACACTCCTCACGACTATTCTTCTTGATTACCTCCTCAGCAGGCCCGACGTCTATCGCGTTTTCGGCGAACACACTTCCGACCCGAGCCGACGCGTTTCCATTGTCATATTCGAGGTCTTGGGCCAGAAATCCAGCGAAATCGTCATGCAGGTTCATGTGCGGAACCGTTTTCGAATTACTTGGGGGGATTGTTGGGCTCCACGACCAACGTGGGATGTGCTGAAACCCAAGAGTGACGGAATCATTCGTGTCAGTTTTGTGCACTATAATACGGTCAGTGATGTCAAGAGATTGTGCGAGGAGTTGGAGGATATTGTGTCTTGTTCAAGGGATCTTAAGTTAGAGCTGTAGTAACCTAAGAGGAACTTTGGCTTCATAAGCACAACGCTAAACCGCCTTCTAGCGCTCACATTTAGCTTTAGTACAGTTAGCATAACAGAGGCTAGATGTGACAGACGTGCTTCAGGTAGAACTCAGAACAATTAACACTCTATTCTTAGGACAAAAGACGAGGAAAGAAGGAGAGCTCAAGAGAGCTGGGAACTAAATACAGGTCGTGCGCGCTAGCGCCTCGCTAAGCGAGCATGTGACATCCAGCCCTCGTGACCATAACCGTCACATCACCCCCCCCTTTAAAAAGAGCTCGCCCCGAGCGTTGAAAATCTGAACTAATTGTGAAAAATACCCTTTTGCCAGGCATCTGGATGGTCAGGATCGTCCGAATCTACCTCCGCGCTATCGTAAGCATTGTCGTTCATAGCTGCTATTACTACTCTGCCTGGTCTTGCAATCTGCTTTCGTACTGGCTTTGGGAATGCCTCCCCAGCTGGTAGATCCCCCAAATCTATGGCTGATTTCCTTCCTTGTGGTCCTGGTGAGAAAGGACGGAGTATGCAATCGTTGACCCAGTGTTCCAAGGAGCCACATCGTACACACCTGCCTTCAGCTCTATATTGATCTCTACGCTCAGGGGAAATAGAGCGAGCGCGTGGAGGAGAGGATGGGTCGATGGAATTGATGCTAAAAGCATTTATGTCCATTGGTTCGCTGTGGTGGTTGCCAGAGGAGTAGGACTGTGTAGGTTGTGTAGACGAAGAGAAGCGGCCTGCTAATTGTTGTACGACGCGTATGAATGTAGTATAATCGCGAGGTAGGTTGAGTTGTTGAGAAAGTCGTCCGCGAAGAGTAGAATTAAGGCCATTCCTAAAGGTGGAAATTTTGTTGACATCTGGCCAGTCCTGACCTCTTGCTTCGTAAAGGACACGCTCAAACTTGGCGATATATGTAGGGACTGAGTCAGCACCTTGCTTGAGGGCAAATAGCTTGTCTTCCGCCTCCTGTACCTTGTTTGGATTGTCGTACACGCGCGCGAGCTGTTCGAGGATTGTTTGGTAGTCCCAGCTTTGGGTGTCTTCTGCTTGAGAGAGCTGTGGAAGGACCATGGCTTGGACGTGGGAGTCAAGGTTGAGGTAGACGTAGTAGAACTGCGCAATAGCGTCTCCAATAGCTGTACCGTCGACTCGTAGCTTTGCTTTGATTGAGGGAAGCCAGGTGTCGAATTTATGAGCCTGGCCAGTGAATTTGTCAGGGTCTGGGAGGGAAGGTTTAGGCTTTGCGGATGTTCTTGACCGGAGTAAGTGAATCTCGTCGCGCTGTCGCTGGACTTCAGCTTGCAACTCAGCGATGGCGGACTGAACTTGAAGGGCATCCATTGTAGAGAAGTCGAAAAAAGAAGAGGTTTCGTCGTGTTGTAAAGTGTAGGGTTCTTGCGCACAAGAAAGTGGTAGAAATCGTGAGAATTGAGACGTAAGATCGTGGACCTGAACTTGGACGTGAACGTGAACTTAGACCTGGGATACTTAGCCTCAACTAAGGGTCTTTTGTAATGTGACAGACGTGCTTCAGGTAGAACTCAGAACAATTAACACTCTATTCTTAGGACAAAAGACGAGGAAAGAAGGAGAGCTCGAGAGAGCTGGGAACTAAATACAGGTCGTGCGCGCTAGCGCCTCGCTAAGCGAGCATGTGACATCCAGCCCTCGTGACCATAACCGTCACACTAGATAGCTATTATCATTTTTAGTTTTATCATTATTATTTTTATTCCCTTTTATGCGCTCTATTAGTCTAAGGCTTTATATATAGTATAATGTAGCTTTTTAAAGTAAGTTTTTGTTGTCAGGAGGGTGTATCACGTGACTCATATGCCTGGACCTCCTGAGACTTTCCAACGCATGGTAGCTGGTTCTCTGTTGCTATCGTGTTCCATGTTATTCAGAAAGAGAGACGGAGCTAATGTATAAGACTCTAGCTCTTGCCACATGTAGTTGGATGGTTATGCATTTGAATCAACTCTTTTTACCCTGTCGCTTTTGGCATCCCCCACACCCATTAATATATTACACTATACATTGAACATTCCAGAATATGAAATTAGAAAAGAGTGAGGAGGAATCCGAAGGTATTTAACCTTAACCTTGACAGGTTTGGTAATGATATTATGTTGGATTAAATGGATGTTAAGCAATATTAGTCATGGAGAATTGGTTGATTTGTGTAGGTTGGCTAGCCAGGTGTATATGTAAGAAATGAATGCTGGCCATAAGTAGTACCACTGTTCTTATTTAATTCGAAATCAAACGGTTATAGTAGCAGCGTTAGTAGTGGAGTTGGTAGGCTAAAAGGCTAAAACGAGAGTATGTGAAAGAATGTCGTGCAATCTTTCGAGGATTATAACTCTGCTACCAGAGGATAGGTTATCCTAGATAGAGAATAGGGTGTTTGTAATCATTCCCGCTATGGTCTCATCTCAACAAACTATTGATTCTCTGACCAAATATTACTTTGAAAATGCTGTGAGCAGATAGCTAGTAGTATCTGAAGAGACGGAAGACACCATGCTCATATCATGCTCCCCATGTTGACATGAATAGCTTTCACTTGACTGTACGCTTCCAAGCCTGCCTCCCCCAGTTCTCGTCCAATACCGCTCTGCTTGACTCCTCCAAATGGAACCCGGAAGTCACAATCCTGGCTGCTGTTAATCCAAACCATACCGGCTTCAATCTCCTCTGCGATACGGTGTGCTCTTTGAAGGTCGTTAGTGAAAACACTGGCCCCGAGCCCGTATGTGGTGTTATTTGCCCTTGAGATAGCCTCGGATTCGTCGTCAAAGATGGAGAGGACGGCAAATGGTCCGAAAATTTCTTCCCGGTAGATTCTCATAGAGTCTTGGACGTCAGTGAAAACGGTTGGCTGGATGTAGTACCCTTTGCCGTGGATCGGACATGGCTGACCACCTATAAGTAACGTCGCCCCTTCTTCCTTACCAATCTGTATGTATGATAACACTCGTTCGAATTGTACTTTCGATACCTGTGGCCCTTGATATGCGGATTCCTGCCATTGGTCCCCGATGACAGATCTTGTATCAATCGTTTCGCGGAATTTAGGCACGAAAGACTTGTAAATCTCCCTTTGAATCAGGATTCGGCTCGTTGCAGTGCAAACCTGTCCGGAGTTGGACATAATTCCAAGATGTGCCCATCTCACCGCTTGCTCAAGGTTGGCATCGGCAAACACTAAAAGAGGTGATTTGCCTCCGGTCTCGAGGGTGATGTTTTTCAGGGTGCGCGATGCCAGGGACATAATCGATTGAGCTGTCGCTGTAGACCCGGTGAAGGCAACTTTATCCACCAAAGGGTGCTGCACTAGAGCTGAACCAGCTTCTGGTCCGAAGCCGTTAATGAAGTTCACCACACCTGGAGGGAAACCAGCCTTTTTAACGAGTTGCGCCAACACTAGAATGCTCAAAGGCGTCTGCTCGGCAGCCTTCAAAACAACAGTATTACCACAAGCCAGCGCTGGAGCAAGTTTCCAAGAGGCCATGAGCAAGGGATAGTTCCATGGGATGACTTGAGCAACGACACCAATCGGTTGACGGATCGTATAGGCAAATTTCTGCCCCGGTGTCGTACTTATTGTTTGACCAAATATCTTATCAGCCCAACCAGAAAAATAACGGATGGTATTGCTGGCATCGGGTATATCCTCTGCTAGTGCCGCCGAGTAAGGCATGCCTATACCGAGTCAGTAAATCAAGACTTGGAAAACGTGATTATGGTGGTAATATCGAACTGACCGTTATTCCAAGCATCAATTGACGCCAGGAGTTCTTGATTCTCCTCGATGAGATCTGCCAGCTTAGACATCAACTTGCCTCGCTCTGTGCCTGGTAATAGTTTCCATGACGGATGTTGCAAAGCCCTTTTGGCAGACTGCACAGCTTTATCTACATCTTCAGCCCCAGCAGCTTGGACGCTGGCGATCGTTTCCTCCGTTCTGATTCTGAAATTAATTTTTTTATTCCTCCCTTTGGTGATATATACGCACGCTGGGTCAATAGCCGTAATTTGGCGACCAGAAGACGATGCGACGATTTCATTGTTGATGAACAGTCCAAGTGGTTGTTCATAAGTGTGGCCATTTGGAGTCTTGAGGCGTTGGAAGAGAAGCTTACTCGTGCGATCCATTTTTCTGGATTGGGTCGAACTTTTACTGTGTAGTAGTCAGAAAAGGGCTCTGGAACCTTTCTTTTACAGAACTCCTGTAATGATAAATCTCTGAGGGGTTTACCTTCAAGAACTGTCAAGCGGGTCTTTGAAACCTGGCAGCATGCACTTCACAATGAGTACATGATTAGTCGCACCAATTTTTAGGCTTGCTTCAAACTTCGCTTGTTACAATACAGCATTACTTTGTGCAAGTAACTATATTTCTTCTGAGCCGTATGACAAACTTGTTTTCGTATGTCACTCATGTGCATATTCATTACGCAACGATAACTGTTGAGCAACTGTTGAGCACCGCTTGGAGCTGCATAAAGCGACTGCATTAGTAGTGAATAACAAGATAGACATATGATTGTTTATGTATAAGGTTTTGTTTTCTCGTTAATTTTTAGATGGTCATACATAGCTACTAGGTTTCTGTGCTCGGAGGTAACACTGCTTTAGAGCTGTATTTTATTGTACAACTTCTTCATATGTAACGAATGTATGGCATGTAATTGTGTAAGATATCATCTAATTACTGGTTCTTGTTTCTTTGTCGGAAAGCTACTAAACTTCTCTGCGCTGCTCCATGTACGCATCTTAGTAGCTAGTTTTCTGTCTTTACTTCATGTGAGGCATTTAGCCGCTAAGGCAAAATCAATCACTGCTTAACTCAAGTCGATATAGCCACTGATGATGTACTTTACTCTGATTTCCTCGGTCCTCGTCACCGCCGCAGCATACCAGACGATTAAGCGACTTTTAATCAGTCCTCTCCGCAACATACCTGGTCCAAAGCTCTATGCTTTGACAAAGTGGCGGTTGGCATTGGACGAATGGCAAGGAAAACGAACGAGAACAATACATCAACTACACCAATTGTATGGCCCTGTCATACGGATTGGTCCAAACGAAGTTCATTTCAACAGCCTCACGGCAATGCGACTGATTTACGGACCTGGGGCTGCTTTCGAATTGACAGAGTTTTATCGGCTTTTCGAGGCATATGGGAAGCAGAATCTGTTCAGTTTTGCATCTTCGAGACAGCACGCAGACAGGCGGAGGCTACTTGCCCATGCTTACTCGAAGACCTCGGTGTTGAAGAACCCATTTGGGGAAGTTGTGGAGGGAAAGGTAAGACAATATCTCCGCTACGTTGATGGTCAAGATAGCAAGGGAATCGAGCTTTTCACCAGTCTACACTATTTCGCCCTTGATACGGTCTCCCATGTTTTATACGGAGCTAGGTTCGGGAGTACATCAGCTATGGCTGGCGATGATTCCGATCGAGCGCTCTTGGGTGATATTTTTGATCCTTCTCGTAGGAAACTGATTTGGTTCCGATTGCATCTTGAACTCCTTACAGAATGGATGTACACTCAGACTGGGATATTGGAAAAGTTAATTCGACCGTTTCTGCCAATGAAGAAGCCTGTAAGTATATAGACAAATAGCCTAAATTCCTAATGCATAGCTTACTATGAAAGGTTACCTACTCAGGAGTCAGGCAGCACGCATTGCAATCATGGAAAGACTTCAGTTTGGCTGCGTCCACAATGGAGGATACCACGGAAGACGGAGCAATCATATCCGTTATGTTCAGATACCATATTAGCCAAAAGGACGGCTACCTTCAAGATCTCGAAATAGCTTCGGAATGCGCTGATCATCTACTTGGGGGTGTGGATACTACAGCAAATACGCTGATGTTTCTCCTTTGGGCTCTTTCGCTGCCGGTAAATAGAAAGTATCAAATGAAACTCATCGAGGAAGTTACCAAGCTTCCAGGAGAGGTTTTCCACGATGGCGTTCCACCCGTTGCTCTTGCTGATAAAATGGTTTATGTCAATGCGGTGATAAAAGAGGCTCTGCGAATATACACCCCCAATCCAGCGACGCAACCTCGATCATCCCCGTTAAACTCGACTATCGACGATTATGTGATTCCTGCACGCACAGTTGTTGGCATGTCAGCGTACTCATTGCATCGAAACGAGCAAGTTTTTGAAGAACCTCTCAAATTCGACCCAGATCGATGGCTCTCCCCAAAACCCACTGTGGTTGAAATGAACAAATGGTTCTGGGCCTTTTCAAGTGGCGCCAGAACTTGCACTGGCAAAAATCTTGTCATGACCGAAATGACAACGCTTGTTGCTGCTATCTACCGAGAATACAGTACCTCCATCGTGCCCGGCTTCGAGGATTCAACACCAGTGGTCACTTCCAGATTCGAACTTTTCCATGATGAGACAATGTCCTGTATGGAAAAGGTTGGGATGATGCCTAAACCATAGCTGGTACACTTGCTAACATGAAATCTAGGAGCACGAATGTTGGGTCAACTTCACCAAACATGCCTTTTAGGTAAGATGAAGTGTCATAATTTTACTACGCGCCAAGATAGATAAAATCTCAAATTACGCCCTCCCCTACCACGCGGGTCTCGGACTTTGTCTCTGTTTCTTCATTTTAAATGACTTGTTGTCAGAATTGGAGGACAGATATGTGCTTGATAAGCTGTCTCTTCGTTATTCCCTGCTTCGTCCTTGATACTTTAAGACTTTCAATCATCGTGAATTGTAATAGAATCACCAATCCATCAGTTTCATACTCGTAATCTTGATAGTCGTCCTCTTGGTACCAATCATAATTCACATGTCTCTCGCAATACCGTGCCCTTTCCTTCTTCGCTTTCTGCAGCCAAGCAAGCCCATACATACCACGGCTTGTCAGGCAATCATGGGCTTTGAATTCCTTGATCACAATGCGCATGTATATCAACGCGCGTACCCAAAGTAAAGGAATAATAAAGAGCTTAATGTTATATTTATTCTACTTAGAAACATCTTTCTAAATACTACTATTATTAATTATTATCGCTAAAAGGTATATAAGGTGATAATACTATTATACACTACCGCTTACTACTAAGAAAGTAGGTTATCTAACTCTAGATACTCTATACTTATTTAGGGGCTACTCGGCTAGATATAAGTAGGCGAACTAACTATCTAGAGTACTACTAGGGTACCTAGGCGCGCTGTAACGAATACTCAAACTGGCTAACTAAACTTGGCTGGGTGTTCGCTGGTTGGTATGCTATGATAAGAAGAAGACTATCGGGTTGTTCACTTGGAAGTGAACTCGTTACTTGTATCAAAGATGTCAAACTAATATGATAAGATTGATAACTAAGTTGAGCACGAAGCTCCTATCTAATGGCAGACGTGCCAGTCTTATATAGAACCTTCGTTCTCTCTACATCGCCTACATCACCTGTCGATGTAGTCGACCTCCTATCGCTAACATCGACTGTCGATACAGGCGATGCGATTGATCACGTGACTACATACACGAGAAATCCTTGGATCGCTTAGCTAGTCTAAGCATCCCTATTTGCTATAAGAAACCTGGATGTGCCTGTCGAGGGTTGCGCCTCTTTATTATGACAAGTATCACGTGAGAACGTGATTCGTGACACGCGCTACGGGGACTTACGCCGTTGTATTCCGTAATACTTAATAGCCTAGCGAATTAAGTTAAATGGCTATTTCAAATACTTAAGTTAAGTTAAGTAGGTACTAGTAGTACTATAGTACTAGTCCCTCTCCCCTAAAAGAAAGGTTATTTTATATAAAGTAGGTACACGTTATAGTTCCTAGGGGAGGTAGTATAAACTTTAAATTTTCACTAATAAAACTATATATAATTAAGTTTTTTTTCGTAGGCTAACTATTAACTCATATTATTAATACTGTTATTAGCTTGATTTTAATTAGTTAGAATAAACTTAACTACGAGTAGAGACTATAAAATATACCTACTTTCTACGAAATAACCGTTCTTTTAGAGGAAGGGATGAAGGGGGTATAGTACTCAGCCTAATTACTTGATTTTCGTTCGCTAATTACTTAAATAGTTAAAATAATTAAAAGTCTAAGCGAAATCACGCTATTAGGAAATAATTATCTACTACTTCTCTTACCCACTTGGAGGTAACAATCCCCTAAATTGCTCACCGCTGATTTTGAGTGTCACTAACTGTTGGTTTAACTTTACATTAATAAAAGGGTGATGCAAAAGACCTATATTACTATGGTAATAACTAAGTCTCAGGTTGCATTGTCAATGCAAGTGTAGCTAGCTAAGTGCCTACGTACTTATAAATGCCTTAGTACGCTAGCTGAGCACGCTAGTCTCGAAGGAGCAACTACGCTCGGATCTAGCTAATAATCATTCACTATTATGAACCGACACTACCTTATATTATATATTACAATCGTTTCGCTTTAGGGAAAACAGAAGAAAAGGAAAAAAAACTTTTATCGAGCCACAGCCCTGGAAGAACAAAACTCAAGAAGATAGAAAGAACAAGCCATGTATCAGCTTACGCTCGCAGTATACTTTGTGCAAAGAAGTAATACGAGGTGAGAATCATTAAAAACTTTGCATCCTTTGTTCTTCGTTGCAGCTAATTAGTCTCTCAGAAAATCTTCTGTAGCCCTTCGATCCATCAGCTCTGCTATATTACTACTGTGTCTCCTTTATCTCTGAACTTACATTCCCATGATACCCATCCGTCTTATCTTGTCCCGTCGAAATTTCCGTCGGCCGTTCAGCAGCAAGATGAGTAGAAGGTTTCGGACAAACCTCCCCTCGTTCTCTGTCTCTAGCTTGGATAATGGTCTCAGTTACTACATAAATCCCCTCTCTCGACACTCTATTGTACTTGTCCGAGGTCTGCGAGGCCTGCGAGGACTGCGAAGTCTCCTCTGCGGTCTTTTCGGGCTTCACGATAAGTTCCTGGCTACCGGTCATCGTCGTACCGGTCACCATGGTAGCTCCCATAGTCGTCAATGGATGCATCGATCTTCCACCGCTAAACTTCTTTCGGTTAGGGTCAAGACTACCGCCAGGCGTGGCGTGGAATTCGCCTGCATGGTCCGCTCTGGAATTGGCTCCTTGTGAGCGGGTGAGAGAGCGGAAGGTGACACTTTCGGTGATGCGTCGTATGGTTCGACGGACGAACGGGTAGATCATGGGGATATTGCCTATTATCACTGCGACGAAGGTTTCTCGGACTGCCCACGATCCTGCTTGTTGTGCGCCTCCTACGGGGTCGCGAAGAATTAGGATGCAGCGTAATATACCGGCCGTCATCACGAAAATACCTCCACTGAACATGCCGATGAGGAGGGTCTTGCGGCGAAATGGGATATTGGCACGCCACATCATCTGCAGGAATTAGCATTGCAATTCTCGGAGAGTGTAAAGGAGAGGCTTACAGGCAGTGGGATTGACATTAAATATAAATCCGTGAAAACATTGAGAACCACGGTCACATACAAATCGACGTGAGAGATTGCCGGTTGACAATGATCTGGCAGAAGACGTTAAGCAAAAGGGCAATGTGCGTGGACAATCTTCACCACTTACTGCCAGGGTCTGGATTGATCTGCCAGTTTTTCTTGAAAGGGTGACACCCAAACAAGATGGACATCTCCACGGCGAGGTAAGTAACAAAAAGAATCACATATCCTAATCGAACTCTCAGCTTCATATCATCCACTCCCTCCCTAGAATAGCACATAGTCTGTTAGCGAGCTGCAAGTATAACCACCAAAGGTTTGTAAGAAGTTGGCAGAGTAGCTTACGTTAAACGTTCATAGAACACACACATACAGAACTTCAACAGCCACAACAGCAAGGTATAGAGCGACCATCCTATCAGTTGGATTTTGGAGCCTTTAACTCGAATGATCCATTCAGGCGAGTTCACAACGAGTGAAGCTCTTTCCTCGTCTGTCATACCATTATTGGCAAGACCGTGTGATATGGCACCAACCGACCATGCTGCAACGGTCTCCAAGGCGTAAACAGCCTATCATTACGATGTTAGAGCATATCTCCAGAATGCAGCTTCTGGTATCAGGGGAACTAGAACTATCGTTACTTACCCCAGCAAGCAGCATAATATAGTCATCAGGCTTGAAGCCGCGGAGTGAAACAGACGAATAGCGAGCATAGCTTCGGAGCCCAATGGTAACAAGACCAAGACTCAAAAGAGTAAAGGCCTCGGTGACGAAGTCGCTCATGAGTAAGTGAGATGGAGGTTCGCCAACCGTATAACGATTTGTGTAGACGTAAAATCCTCAACGGAGAAGTGCGATACTTTAGACTCGGGAAGGCTGCTCTGTTATACAAGATGGCGAATTGATGTCAAGAACCTAGCTGGCCCCAGAGGTTCAGGGGCGTCAAAAGCGTAACATGGATGGAGTGAAAGGCAGAAGTACTTCGAAGTAACATCACGTTTTCGTTTTCGGTAAGGATAAGTCATCAATTATGCAAAGTGCCAGAAGCAAAAACAAAAAAGCGTCGTCCACGGTCCAAGGGTTTGGGATAAGGGGACGAGAAAGAGATCAGCACTCCCAGCTTCTTTAGTAACAGCTGTAGTGGTATCGTGCGCTTACTGCACCATGCAAACCCGTTTTACAACCCAGATCCCTCGACCGTTACGACTTCTGCGGGTCAATGAGCGATCACTGGCTAGCCGAGACTCGACCGATGGAAGCACTAGCAAAAGAAAATACCAGAGCTGGACCAATACCTAAGGAATGATAGAGATTGAAAGGTGTGGTGCCTGATTACAGAGTTTGGCGCCAGCACGTCCTTCGCTTTGTTCTCCTGGCATGTGTCGACAATCAAACTGCATTTTCAGAAAACTCAAGTGTGGAAGTGATGTGAGGAGATACCGTGGCTTTGAGTTTCTGACCGGCATCTTCTCTTGCGGGGTCTTCCACCTGCCAGGGGAGAGTAAAGAGAAAAACGGGAACTACCGAAATAGGAAGGAGATGAAGGTTTCAAGTCTGGAGAGGAAGGGGGAAATCCCGTTTTGGCCAATGATATCCCACCGTTTGATTGATTCTGATGAAATTAAGGTTTAGACTTATATTCGGCCCTAGTTATTGAGGCAGCATCCCCGAATTTGTACCCGACAGACTGGTCACAACGAACGGACGTCATCCAGCCCAATGCCTCCAGTTGTTGACGGACCTCGAAAGCGGGATCCTGTTACAGGAGACCCTCGATACAAGGATACGGTGGGGGTCAGAATACTTTAGAGATATAGCCGAGATTATTCCTATATCGAGTGTCTTGGCATAGGGTACGACAAGACTATATATTCAAGTACGGAGTATGAGAAATATATAATCTAGTGCCTAGTGATACTGTTCTATAATTAGTCCTGTGCGTACAATACCGGTACCAATTTTTGTATACTAAGTATTATTTTTATACTTCAAAAGATTTAGGAGTTTCCGTAGGATCTGTTAACATTCCTAGTCAGGCTAGCTTCTAAGAATCAAAGCAAGGATATTTATAGTATGAAAGAGAATTTGGGACCTCAAAAACTAAGAATATACCTCAGAAGTACGAACTATATCGAGGTCGCGCTTAAAACTCTACCCAAAAACTGGGGACTAGAATTTACTTCGAAGTAAGTAGATTTTCTGTAGCTTTCCTTGGCGAAACATAATTGGATATCAAAGAGAATTTTTATACTTCGAAGTAGTTAACAAAGTATGTTTTGGTTGAGGGGAACTGCAGTGGGTGAACTGAACCTGGAACAGGGGAGTGGTTATACGTACTATTAAGCAAATTCTGAACGTCCTTCGGGACAAGTTGGGCCAATGGTTATCAATACAAGAAGTTATCCACATATTTCTTTACTGCGTGCACCTCGCTTTGTTGACGCAGACGGTTGGCACGGTCGTCAGATATAGAGAAAGTCAGATTTGGGATCTATTTGAGGCAATTGATCCTGACGGCGGGCCTAGGCGAAGCTGTTACTTTGTGCGACTCAACATGCGTATAGCGAGGATGGTGATTGATGGGAAAAGCCAACCCTCACATTGTTGTGGCAGAACCTCCCAGGTATTTTTCACATACTGCGTATACATCCTGACCTTGACCTTGCCCTTGACCTACCTACCTATAATATGAATGTAATTGAAGCCATAGCGTAACAATGGCATCAGTTCTGCGTATTATTGATGTGTTGTGTCGATATCTTCTCTTCGAACACTTGAGAAGAAGAATGATCAGAATTTTTCGATGGCAAACAGAATTTACATATCGGCACTAGGGTGGATGGTCCAGGATGTTGATATTTTCAGACCAGGTCATGGATTCATCCTCCCAAAATGGGCCGATCCCGCCGCCGCCAAGAACTTTCGATATTTCGGAGACGCTCCCCACTGTGTCCCTGAAAATGCGGATTAAGCGGGACTCACAGACGTGGGTAAGGATCTGCCCTCAAGGCTGGAGCTTAGCGTTTGTGTTGTCAAAGTCATTATCCCATCTCGTCGATTGCCATTTTCTGGAAATCCCCCAATATCCTACTCCTCCTTGCCCCAATCCTCTTTTTTTCTCTCTTTCAACGTCGACTATCATATGCGACCTAATCGGAAATGGACTCCACAGAAACTGCTGATGTAGTCGTTGTAGGTGCTGGTGAGTTATTCCCACTCTCGCGGTGTTTTCTCTCGTTTGGAGTTATTGTGGTTGTTGCTTTCTGTACGCCCACACTTCTTATCATTTGAGAGTGTTTTCGAGTAATTGTTCAAGCGAGCCTAAAGTAATACTGGAATGAATTGCTTCAAATGGAATACAGTCATCCTGCAATATGTTGCACAAGTTGTCGAAGAGGTGTGTGGGATCATCCGGCGTTGTCTTTCCAAAAACTATGCGAAATAGTCTTGAACAATTAGAAGCATTTTTGAGAAAGCTTGGGAGGATTGACTGACTCGTTTCAATTCTTTTAAACCTTGTCGAGTAAGGCCTATAATTATTCGAGAACGTTTCGTATAACGGGAAGAAAATGTGTCCCCAAATAGTGACCGCTTCTGCTAAGACTTGGTCATTACTCCATATACACCTCAAAGAAGATACTGTGCTTCTAACACGACAAAATAAGTTGCTACAACTTCGTGGTTTAATGGAGGCTCACAACATTCCATCACCTTAAACATCTCAGATAATGGAGATAGTTGTTTGAAGCTTTCCTGTACAACATCGAGAGCAAGGACATAAGTTAAGACCTGAAGCTAACCAATTCATCAATAGGATGGGTTGGCCTTGTCGCTGCCAAAACGTACCTCGAAGTGCATCCTGAGTCCCAAGTCATTCTCCTTGAGGCTGAGTCCTCAGTCGGCGGGGTATGGGCCAGCCATCGTCTTTACCCTGGCCTAAAAAGCAATAACATGCTCGGGACCTATGAGTATGGTGACTTTCCAATGGACGAAGCAACCTGGGGCGTTAAACCTGGCCAACACATCCCCGGAAATGTGATCCACGAGTATTTGACAGCATATGCCAAGAAATTCGGGGTGTTTGAAAGGACTCGCTTCAATACAACGGTCGAGAGTGTTAGGCGAGGGGACAAGGGAGGGTGGCTATTGGAGACAAATAAACAAAAGTTGATATTTGCAAAGAAGTTGGTCGTTGCTACTGGCATGACATCTCAGGCTTTTATGCCAACTTTCGAGGGACAGGACTCTTTTGAGGTACCATTGTTCCACAGCAAGGACTTCTTACAACACAAGGGAACACTCAAAACAGCCAAAAAGGTGACGATTTTTGGGGGGACTAAGTCGGCTTGGGATGCTGTTTATGCTTACGCCTCTGAAGGTGTTCTAGTTGACTGGGTAATTCGAGGTCAGTCTGATGACGGAACTGCTAAAATACCCATTCTAATGAAATCCAACAGAATCTGGTCATGGACCAGTCTGGATGGCACCGCCCTATGTAACGCCACTCAAAAAATGGCTCGAAAAGCTTGTTCATACTCGATTTCTCACCTGGTTATCACCTTGTATATGGGGAGACTCCGACGGATATGGCAAGATTAGAGGATGGTCACACGGTACAGCTTTCGGACGCGCGTTGGTTGACCGCTTCTGGGCCATTCTGGGTGGTGATGTGTTGGCTTTGAACAAATATGATAGCCACCCTGAAACCGCCAAGTTGAAGCCGTGGATACCAGCCTTTTGGGTTGGTGCCGGATTGAGCATTCTCAATTACGATACCGACTTCTTTGAAGTGGTGAAAAGCGGCAAGGTGAAAGTCCAGATCGCTGATGTTTCCAGGCTATCCAAAGGACAGGTTCACCTATCTTCCGGTGAGACCCTCGAGACAGATGCACTTCTATGTTCCACAGGTTGGAAGCACAGCGCACCTATGAACTTCCAACCTGAAGGTCTCGAAGCAGAGCTTGGCCTTCCACACCTAGAGGACGTAACCCAAAGCGAGGCAACACTGACGGCGAAAGCTGACGCTGAAATCTTTACACGATTTCCACGATTGATTGATCAACCCAAGCAAAACGAGAAGCTTCAGCCTCTCACAAACAGCAACACGAGCCTGACACCGCCAGATCTGTATCGCTTTATGGTTCCTACGAAGCCTGGATTCTTGGAGACGCATGATATTGCCTTTGCTGGAAGTTTGATGACTATCGCAACATCGACGATCGCGCAAGTACAAGCGTTATGGATTACAGCATACTTTGATGGAAAGCTCGCTTGCACCCAGGACGTCGATGACCAGGCTTCCGCATTGCAATACTCTGCAACCCTCCACAACCGGTTTGGCAAGTGGCGATACCCGGGTGGGTGGGGTGGCAAGATTCCAGATTTTGTATTTGATGCATTGCCATATATCGATATGCTGTTGAAGGACTTGGGGATCAACTCGAGAAGAAAGACAAGTGCATTCAAGGAAATCACGCAACCGTACGGGCCGGAGGATTATGTGGGTATCGTTGGGGAGTGGAAGAAAGCAAACTGAACGAGGCCGTTACATAGTTACTAAACTGTAAGATAGCATATTTATTTGATGAGCGAAAATGCGTTGCGTTGCGATGATGTTGAGATAAGACATTGTGGAGTTGATGTGGTGAGACATATGAACCCCCATACTGGTGCCATGGCCAGCAAGCCAGTTTAAGCTTACTGTACCCGTCTGCCAAGAAGCTGGAGTGGTTGCGCTGCCTATGTGGACCTAGGCAGTACCTCCGTACAAGACTCGGTACTCAGTGTTGGAATACACATCCTTGGCTTCACGCCCTTGAGCTTTTGTCCCTAAACAGCTCATCTTTTTCCCTTACGCCATACATTGGAAACCCCAATTTTCACTCAAGTACCACATAACGTTTGGGTATTACATAACGTTCATATGAAAAGAAACAACCTAACTCGAAAAGGAGATTGACAACTCACATCAAATAAGCCGACAAGTGGAACGATGGATCTCTCCCCTGGGAACTTATACATCGCTTTGAGCGCACGAAATATTGAAGGCTCATACGTCAGTTTTCCATTCGAGCAGACATCTTCTCTTCCCAAAAATACTAAAACTTACAAGCACTGGGGACTGATCCAACCGACATCTCGCCCATCAACGTCTGGCATTTATCACCATGCAACCATTTCGTCTGCCACAAATGGAAAATGGCTGGCCCAAACCATAGCCCAACCACTTCCCATGACCGAACGAGCGTTGATTCTGATTTGGCGTGTTGGACCAATTTCCGCCACCCAAGAAAGATTTGAGGAGATTATGGCTAGCATTCCCGCAGATGGAGAACCCTCAGCAAGAACGGGAAAGGACTTCAACTGCCGAACTTGGATGTTTGACGTTTTGGCCAAACTTGAGGTGGAGGGAGGCCTCAAGTTGGGCGTTGAAATCGGTATATATTCCCTAAAGTATATATAATCGGAGAACTAATTGGATATAGATGAGATAGAGAAAAAGGCAATTGAACATGCGCATAGCGTCGAGAATGATGTGGTTGCCGGGAAAAGAGGTCCACTGGTCATGAACGATGATATCCGAGCGTAAAAAGGGATTCCTGACTGAGAAGAAGACATCGTATCAAAGTAGCAATATGAAACATATCATAAATCAAGATCAAGGAAACGAAACCTTCAAACATAATGAAAATGCAGCTTGATCTCCCGATCCCCGTTTTGAACAAGATCGTAGATAGACTCGAATATGATTCTGCCAATTCATTGCTGAATTTGGCAAACGACTTTGCCTCTCAACATCTCGGGGACACTGATAGTATTGGACGTGGAAGAAGCAGTCCTCTTAGTTGTAGATAAGAGGGGAAATTTTTCATCTTGTTCGTTGGAAGTAGCTAGAGTAGCGCGTGGCGTCCTTGAGATTTATAGCAAACGTGGGCACTGGCTCGACTGGGTAGAGGCTTAAGCTTCGCTCGCTCCGGACTATCAGGTACAGTAGTGGCATGTCGGCACGACTCTCCGCGCCGTAGCGGCTTCGGCGCCATACCGGCTCCGCTGCCGTCCTTCAAACTGCGAAAACCTCCCCGCCCAAATTATTTCTGGATTACGCCAACTAAATACCGTCAAACCTCAACCTCCATAGCACTCCACCACAACATGCGTCCTCTCACCGAGACCGAGACGCAAACTCTCTTTGCAAAGCTTGCAAACTATACTGGAACATCCCTCAAGAATCTCATCGCGCCATTAGACAATGGACCAAATGCCGACCGATATGTCTTTCGAATTCAGCAATCCAGATGCTATTACGTGCGCCTCTCCCTCGCAAACCTCGCAACCTCAGTCGCCAAAGACAAATTGTTATCGTTAGGGACATGTCTAGGCACGTTCATCAATCTCCCAAAAAACTTTATCAAATTCTAATGTCGCAATAGGAAAGTTTACCAAGACTGGAAAATTCCGTCTTCACATTACCGCTCTTCCAATTCTCGCCGAGCACGCGCGATACAAGGTCTGGGTCAAGGCGAATGGTGAAATGCCGTTCTTATATGGGGGCCATATCGTGAAGGCACATGTTGGGAGATGGTCAGATGATTGTCCTGAGCATCAGGGTGTGGTGGTGTATAGCATGAACGACACGCCGTTGGGATTTGGAGTTACAGCCAGAAGTACACAAGAGGCGAGAAGGTTGGATCCCACTGGAATTACGTGCTTCCGACAGGCGGATTGCGGAGAGTATTTGAGAGACGAGGACAGTCTTTTTGCAACGAGCTGAGTGGGAAATTGCTGGACCGGTATTTGCATTGATGGAGTTGTGGGAGTCTTGTGGCGTATTTCTGGTAAATGGAACCTCGATTATATTTCCGAAACTATTTGCCGAAAGCGAATGGATACTTGTTCTAGCAAAATAATTCCCTCATATGGTACATTTATCCTGGTTAAAGCTGGTAATGATAGTCTGAATTGGACTGTATTCAGGCCCTCGGCTTGCTAGCGATGGAAATAATTGAACCCGCTGTTCTGCGACTGCTAGAAACAGCTCTTCCCGTCTAGATACAAACCTAGTTAGGACTGTATGATTCAGCCATAAAGTTATACGCAATGCTACGAAACCATTGGACAATTTTGATTAACAATATAGCTAGCTACTCGTCTTTAAAAGATTGACACTTTCCATTGCAAGCAAAACTTACATTTTCAAACCTGCCAATGCCTACCCTGTAAAAACGATAAGCTGATATTCGCGATTTCTTCGGCAGGGAAAACAATGGAGCGTGCGCTGACATTTTTTTGGAGCTACACACTCCCGACACTGCGACGATACACTACATACAAGCAGTTCAACCAACTCCCCCGATTACTTAAATTCGACTTGGTCTTATCCAACATGCGAATATAGGAATCGAGAATCAAATATGCTGCGACCGAAGAATACCACCTGTTTGTTTTGCTCCTTCAAGACATCACGGCAGCACACTATCTCTCGACAATGGACGACCCAGCAGACCGCGAATGTGAGCACTCAATATGCCAGCCGACCTGGTCGCATGAGCCTAGCAAAGGCACGAGCCGTTAATACTCCTGAACTGAGAGCAGGTGAGGCAGGACGACCGGGGAGGAGGAAACAAGACGGTCCTTTTGGTGGAATGAATTTGAGGGAGGCGAAGATTCGTGGATTACCAGAGCGTTCAGATGCACTAAAGGAATGGTCAAAAGACTGGAGAGAAAGGGGATCTCGGTCGGGTAGCAGGCATTCGAAGGACGATCCACGAGCTGGAGGCTTTAAAGCATTGAAGATGCAAAGGGCGTTGGCACCGGTGTCGTACAACTCTCGAATGAGAGTCAAAGAGACTATGCGCCAAATCGAGACCTTTGATCATTTTCCCTTGCTGGAAACTGTCAAGGCTTCGATATCAACACAAGCACTACCTGGGATGGAGAATATCAGCCCCACGCCAGTACAGAGAATTGCAATTCCAGCATTATTAGGGAGTGAATCTACGGTTAGAAGGAGTAAAGCAAAAGATATCGAGAAGAAAGAATTTCTGCTCGCGGCCGAGACAGGTTCTGGGAAAACACTGGCATATCTTGTACCCGTTATCAATGCCGTTAAATTGGCAGAAGCTCAAGATCCTAATATCCAAGCATACAATGCGGCAGTGGAAGAGGAACGGACAAGGGGAAAAAAGGGACCCTCCTCAGCGCCTTCCATGGCAGATATGCCACATCCTACAATGGCACGACCTCGAGCAATAATACTCGTACCGACTTCCGAATTGGTGGCCCAAGTGGGTAAGGTGATCAAAGCTTTCTCTCATACGGTGAAATACCGTTCAGCTATGATATCGTCTGCTCTCAGTGGCACAGTTATACGAAATCGTCTGTTTACGCCAAAAGGAATTGATATCTTGGTGGCTACCCCCCATCTATTATCTGCAGTTGCTGATTCAGACCCGAATATTCTGTCCAGAGTCACGCATTTGGTTGTGGATGAAGCCGATTCTTTACTTGATCGCGGATTTTCTCCATTGACATCAGCTATCATCGATCGAGCAAGTCCATCTTTGAAGCAACTCATACTGTGTTCGGCCACCATTCCACGAAGCATGGATAATTATCTACGAATAAGATTCCCAGATATCCGGCGCCTAGTTACACCAAATCTTCATGCTATCCCTCGTCGTGTACAGCTCGGTGTTATTGACATTGAACGTGATCCCTACAGGGGAAACAAAAATCTGGCTTGTGCTGACACAATCTGGGGCATCGGAAAAGCAGCCGCTGATCAAGATAGCCCAGTCAAGGGTCAAATGGACGTCAAGCGCATTCTAGTATTCGTCAATGAACGTGAAACTACTCAAGAAGTCGCCGATTATCTCGTTTCCAAAGGTATCGATGCAATCGCTCTAAGTAGAGATACTCCTGAACAACGACAAGCGGAGATGCTTGCAACATTTACACTCTCGACTCCCTTGACGGTCCCAAAAATAGAGTCTCATCCTGGTTTCCTTTCCGATAACCAACCCAATTACGTGCCGTTCGGAAGTGTTGCACCGCCAGTTAAGAGACGCCTTCCTAACACCAAGGTTCTGGTGACCACGGATTTGGGGTCGAGAGGTATCGATACTCTTGCTGTCAGACATGTCATTCTGTATGATGTTCCACACTCTACAATTGATTTTATTCATAGACTTGGACGAACGGGACGGATGGGAAGGAGAGGGAGGGGTATTGTGTTGGTTGGGAAGAACGATAGAAGGGATGTGGTTGCTGAGGTTAGGGATGGAATGTATAAAGGACAGGCTCTTATTTAGAGTCGATATTACGTGGATATTGAACAGCTGTGTAGGAATCATTGTACTATAATGTAAGTGTATAGCTTTGACCCTCTGCTCTATTGAATGAGCATAATATCACATGTACTTGTATGCCCTTCGTGATATTTCCTCATAGGGCGAGAGCCGAGCATGATCTTCGTTGATTTCATGTTTGCTTTCAATTAAAGAACTCTTCTCGGGTGGGACTTCGGGGCGTGCTTTTGTTTTTCTCGTTCTTGTGGTCTCTAATCAGGCTTCGACTGGTATAGGTTGGAGAAAGAGAACGCGGCTTCGGAGTACAATTGTATGAGGGGTTGAATGACCGGGCAGGGGACGTCGCTAATGTCATTAAAAGTTCATAAGTCTCCAGGCAGTTATTTCCTCGGACTTCTTGCTTTCTTTTTTCTTTCGCGTTGGCAATTACTCTGCACGATGGCGTTCATCGCATGGATTTCTCCTTGGCCTCCAATCTACGGCACGTGGTGGCTTATGTCGCATATCCTGAGCCAATACGAGCTCTGCATGTTCATGCAGAGGTAATGTAGCGTCCATTTGCAATCCATATCGAATATCGCGCAAGCTTCTCGCTTCTTGGTTCCCCGCCTTTCTTGATGGATTACTGTGCAGGTACTATGAAGTTGCAGATCAGATTCTGGGTTTGCTTTGATGTGATTGCTCAATTGTAATCGTGGCTGTAAAGCTATGGTAGGGGGATTTCCTACCTTGCTTGGAGCTTGTATAAAGAGGCGATCTAATTCCTGTATGTTTTGTTTGGTAGATCGGTTGAACACTGTTATTGACTTGCAAACATGAAGCTTTTCTATACGTTATTTGCTCTGGCTGGAACACTAGCAAATGCAGCTTATACAGGCGATATCGTTCAATACTGGTAAGCTAACACCTTTGAAAATTGATTGTTCTCTGTCCTGATGAGTTCAGGGTCGACCAATCAGCCATTCTCGTAAATGGTACCATAATAGGAGGACTGCCATCTCCCCCATCCGGCTGGTTTGAAGCAATGGTTCAAGCCTCCGTCCTCCTCGCAGCTACAGAATCCACCTCTGAATCCCTCTCTTTCCAACAACTAGTAGTCTCCCACGCAGCACACGATGCCCTCCTCTGGACGTTCCACGGAACCCGCCTCTACGCAACCGTGAACGCAAAACTAAAAGCCGCTCTCCCAGCAATCGGCCTCGATCCTGCCTCCTCTTCGGGTGGAAAAGCCATTAAAATCGGTAGAAATGCAGCGCAAACTGCAATTGTAGCAAGAGCCGATGACGGGATTAATAATTTCGTGGATTATACGCAGCAAGCTGCTCTGCCGGGGGTTTATCAAGCTACGCCTGGTGGATCACCGATTCCTGATACGCCTCAGGCACAGTTTATTCGGTTATTTGGGGGTGTGGGAGATGTTAAGAAGTTTCGAGCTCCCTCTCCGCCGAGTGTGAATTCTTCTGGGTATGAAGCTTATTTTGAGTATGTTAAGAGTCAAGGGAGAAGAAATTCGACGGTGAGGAAGGCGTACGATACTGAGACCGCGTATTTTTGGAGGGAAAGTAGTCCGATGTGAGTTTCGTGGATACTGTGATGAAGTTTCCATGTCCTAATGCGTCATTGTAGCCAATGGAATAGACTTGCTCACGCTGTGATCGGCAATTCCCTCGCTACAGATGTCCTAGCCTCCGCAAAATTCTACGCTCAACTCAATTACGCGCTCTCCAACGCAGCAATCGCAAGCTGGGACTCTAAGTAAGTCCCCCTCTCCCACTTTCCAGATCTCACCCTCTCCAGAATCCGGAATTGATAGCTGCAGGTATTTCTACAACAGCTGGAGACCCGTAACCGCCATCCGAAGACCCGGCATCTGGCTCGCGAGCGGAAAAGACGTCTCAGATGCAACCTGGGAACCACTCCTCACCCCAACGCCAAACCATCAAGATTACCTCTCCACCCACGCGACATTCGGGGGTGCAGCAGCGGCGGTCATTCGTGCGTGGAATAAGGGCGATGCGATTAATGTTACGGTTAGCAGCAATGTGACGCTGGACAATGTCGGTGTGATTACGAGACGAGTTACGAACTTGAGTGCTGCTGCCATAGAGAATGGTCAAAGTCGGGTTTTTGGCGGGGTGAGAGAATCTGAATCTGTGGGAGAGTTTGAAGGAGCTTGCTAATGTGATTGTAGATTCATTTTTCTTTTGCGTCCGAGGAGGGGAATTGCATTGGGAATTTGGTTGCGTTGGAGACTTTGAGGAGGTTTGATGAGCATTGGAGGGAGATTTGATACTCTTGTTGATGATGACGATTTTGAGTCGGCGGACGGGTTGATATAATGTGTTTTAAGGTTCTCTAAAGTTAAAGTATCGTGCAATGAGATGTTCAGTGTGACCATGAATGGAAGTTGTATTGTGTGAGATGTGAAGCAAGCTCCATTACACCTCAAATTCTCTCCACATCGTTATTTCAAAGACGCCTCTCAAGTTAATCAGCATAATACTGGGTCTACATTATACTTGAAAACTCTTTAATGACCCAAAAGATGGCATGAACATGCCTTTTCTCATAATTACAATGCCGCCTGGATGGATTCGACATGATTGCCACAGATTGAGGTTGGCACGCAAAATCTGACAATGATTGAGAAATGTTCAATAAGTGCGAGGAAGGTGCGTCTCGGAGATGGGCGGCTCGATGTCCGCGTCAGGTTAGGGTATGTATTGAATACTACTGCGCCGGAGTGATGGGGGAAGGAACAACGCACGATTATGGCAGTGCTGGGTGCGACCGCGTAGATCGAAATTGAAATTGAAGTTCAGATAACCTCAACAATGAGGTAATAGCGGAAGTGAAGCATGCGGGACGAGATAGGCCTATGCACAGGTTCTCTTCCGTCTTGATTCTTTAAAACTGAAGCTGCGGGAATTTCCTGAGAAAGTGCGTCAATTGTAAAATTGCTCTTCTAACATTCTTGCTATTGTCTTAAGGTGGTCGAGTGCCGAGAACTTCTTTTCGTTCCTAACTTCCACCCTATTGTCGATATGGGTATGGCGAGTCCGACAATGGCGGTTTCACTTGAATGCAGTCGGGGTGGTTGGGCTTAACTCGCGTAAAGTTGGACTAGTGGAAGGTAGGCTCGTAGCTATTGTCTCCATTGTACCATCGGTCTGAGCCCTTTTTTTATTGTGCTTTTCAACGAAGCGCTTGAGATTTTCATAGGCTTCAATTAAAATTCCCATTTTGACAATTATGTAGAACTACGTATTGATTTCAAGTGAAGCAAACGCGAGCGACATAGGTCAAGATACTTGATTTTCGGGGAAATAGTATGTTTTCGTAAATTAGCTATCGCAGAATTACAACTTGTTTGATATTCAATTAGTAGAAACGCATTGGTTTATTTTTATTTCCCTGAAAGATTAATATAACAAGAATAATAAAAAGAAAATTTGATACATTCATGCGTGTAACGCTATTTTCTCAATTGTGGACGAAAAAATTGTACTACTACTGTCTATCATTGAATTCGCTTGCAATTGTTGTTCTAAGCGAGTTTCCAACCGCTCTCTAAGTATATCTTCAGACCTTCGCACCTTCTCTTGAACTTTTTTTCCTCTCCTTCTTGTGTCTTTCACAACTTCTTCTTCTCCTTCTTCACTCGTACAAACCAATCCAATGGCCATCAATAAGAGAGTACCACTTGCTGGCAAGTTACCAACGCAACCATGATCGGGCCAGCACCAACTACTACTGCTGAAACGAAGGCTGCTGGGGCGGCGCCAGTAGTAGACCCTTCCGACAAGTCGTCGCCCCAACTTCCTCTCAACATCTGCCCCGACCAGACCTGCCCTTCTCCCCCCTTCGCTGACTGGGCGCTGCGCGCCGCAGAGGGTTTGTACGGGTACCTCAGATACGTTGAGACGACGCACGAGTACGAGGAAATGAAGAGGGAAAGGGGATCTCACGGTATGGAGTACCTCTGGGAGGATGAACTTCATCTGATGGATGATGGGTTCTTTATGGATACTCGGTGGTAGGGTGGGGTAAGTATTTGTCCTTTCCCTTTCATTCCTTTTCAATGCTTTGGATCGAGTTTTGCTTTTGCCCCTTATTAAGCGAGATCTTTTCTTGGTCTTGGCACGCCGCTTGGGTCCTCCGCTCTGGTGGCCCGTGCTGAAGTATGCTGACTGAATTCACTTGCAGGGTCAAACCCCACTTTACCACGCGGTGACCGTGATTTCCTCGCGTCGCACCGAGCCCTCCCAAGTACTCCTACCGCGACAATCCCCTCCCCTCCAAACTCTTTTCCGAACCACATACACATACACCTACACCTACACCCGCATACCGACCGCCATCTCACATCCTCCGAAATCCTCCGAATCCGATCATCTCATGCTATCAAAATGAGACTGCGGCTCACTGTTGAGCGTCATGCTCTCCCGTCAACGAATATCATCTGGCACATCGAAAAAACCTCTGCACCGACGATTCACTTTCTGCTGGAGAAGGTCAATGAAGTTATCCCAATCGAATCGGCGGATCAGTGGGGCCTGGAGGATTATGCTGTTGAGTTGAAGGGTAGCAATGGCGTGAATTTCGAATGTTTGCATTTTCAGGAAGTTTTCAAAGTATTCAAGGAGGATGATGAAGTAATGTATGTGCAAAAATATCAGATCCAGTCCTCGCCATAGCTAAATGTACACTGCAGTATCCGACCACTCCTCACCAGAGACCTCAAAGTCCGAAGGATATCAGGCCGACATCAAATATCAGAAGATGGGAAACGACTCTACGATGGATTGGCATTCGGTCGCCCACTACTCAAAGCTCCTTCTGGTCGACCAGATATCAAAATACCACCCCGTAAGCGTGCCAAACTTATGATCGTCGAAGACGCAGACCACGATGATGATGACCACGAAGAGAATACCGAACGTCAAATGGTTCTTCATGCGGATTTCGAGGGCATCGATTCTGATCCTGACGACAATGAGGACTTCACCCCTACACAAGGCGATGAGGATATGGCAGATGACGATGAAGCAGACGACGAGGACTTGGACGAGGAGTCATCATCGGAATCAGGGGACGACTGCAGCGACGAAGATGATGATTCTATATCAGATGAACTCAAGGGCTTACAGGAGGAAACTGAAGAGGCAAAGCGCAGTCAGCCAAAACAGGAAGAAGCAGAATCCGAGTCTCAATCTGAATCTGAGGACGATATTTCCAATCACGATGGTTCTACCACGGGCAAATCCAAGGATGGCAGGGAAGAGGAAAAAGAGGACATTGTAGATCATCGAGATCCAGACGTTTATGATGAAACTCTTTGGCAGATACCCGATGAGAAAGATCGTGCCAACATTCGTAAGTTGAATGCAACTTTCCCAGAATCTCCAATCGGGGTCTGCGCACATCTTTTCCGTGAAGCTAAAAAAGATATGGAACTTTGTTGGAATGCTTTGTTGTCCAATTTCAAACCTGTTGTATCTAAGAGTGTCTTTACTAAAAGTCTCCAAGAGCAAAATAATATGGCAGTGTCACCAGTCCAATCGAATCCGAAGAAGAGATCTGCTCAAGTTCTTGAAGATGATGATGGTGACAGTGCTAGCGATGGTGAAGAAGAAGAAGAAGAAATTGTTCTCCGGTATGATCAGCAAGGCTTTCCACCTGGCTCAATCTCTACCGGAAAGGACCAAGATAAGAACTCTCCAAGGCGCCCCCTCAAATTTCCTTCAACAGACGAAGTACTCTCAAATGGTCTCACTTCTACTCCATTCATCGATCAAGAATCGGTTCAAGAGAAAATAATGAGCTCCAGCGACACTTCCAGCAGCGGTTTTAGTGGCTCTAGCGACGAAGAGGATCTGGATCACGCTAGCAAGAATGATAAAATGGAGGTCGACGATGATGACACAAGCACAAGCGGGAGTGATTCTTCGGGGAGCGATTCCGATTCCAGCGAAAACTCCGACGCAGAAGAAGAATCAAACGAGTCAGTAGGCCCAAAAAAGCACAGCAAAGCGCATTCAGCCTGCTCCGATGAGTCTACAACATCTGCGTCTGGGAGTGATAGCAGCTCGGACGAATCCAGTGATCCAAGCGATTCCAGTGATTCCAGCGATGATGAAGATGATACCCCAGAGGAGGTCACAAGCAAGTCTACGCCTCCCGTTGTTCCAGGCAAGTCTACGCCTCCCGTTGTTCCAGGCAAGCCTACGCATCAGAATGGTTCAACAAGTCAAGTAGCACCTGGTACAGGTAAATCAAACACCCAGGCACGAAACAATCGCAGGAGAAAGAAAAATGCGTATGATAGATACTTGAAGAAGGGCATACTACCGGCTGGAACTACGTTCGATGAGTTCAGTAAAAGCGATGTCACCGAGAAGATGACACCCGAAGAGGTTGAAGAACGACTGCTGTCTGTGAAATCAAGAGACGAAGTCATCACCAAAAATCAAGCTATTTCAAAATCTGAGGAATTTAACATACAGAAACAGAAATTGCTTGACTCCCTGGCTACCGGTGGTATAGAAGTCAGCATATTATCTTCCGATTCTCCACAAATACCGAAAGCTTCCACGGCGTCTTCTACCGCGTCCGGAACGCATCAACCACCTTTACCATTGCAGAAGCCGACTGTTGCCAGCGCAGAAGCTCTCGATACACGTCCATCGACTGCACCTGAGAGCACAGCAGATGCCCAAGAATCACCCAAAGTCTCACCGGCCTCTATTGACTCATCTCAAATTAAACCAGAGCCAGCACGCCGAGCAAAACTGGATCTTGGCGCTGGACGAAGAATGCTCTTTCAGGCAATGGGATTGAAAAATCCCAAAACTAAGGATGATGAGGATAAGCTACGCAAACATCTCATGAAAGACATCAAGCCTCTCAAGCCTGCAAAGACTTGTGAGGTTCCAATCTCTACATCCCTCGATGATATCGAAAATGAAGATCCAGAGGCATGGAGAGAGAAAATCAACTATCGCGCGGTTGAATGCTGTCAAGAAGATGTTGAGTTGAGCGAGCCACCATTTCCTTTCAAACAAAGATGGGATCCCCAACAACAAAGTTCCTGGTCGCAAGGCGGCAAGCGAAAGAAAAACCAACGAGATGAGCCCCAATATTATCAAGATGCATATACATCCAAGAATCAAAAACGTCGCAAAGGAAAACATAACTATGCCGAAGAGCAAGAGTTTCTTGATGCTACATACGAGCCAAGTTATCAAGAGGATTCGATGATGACCCAGGATTACGATAAGACACAGTTGACAGGCATTGATGACGATGATGAAATCGATCGCCAGCTATTGGATAATATGGAAAGTCAAGCTCCTGATGACTTGATGTCTCTACCAGGAGATATGTCATCGCTTGCGGATCTCCTAGATGGTGATGCGAAACCAGGCATGATAATTGCATTCAAGATCATGGAATGTTCCGCTGCGACCAATTGGAATCCGGAAATAACCCCATACAAAACTGCCGTCGTTATCGAAATTTTGCAGGATGGCTCGCTTGAGGTTGCCCTTGCGATCAGGGATCGAACAAAGCAACAATTTGACGAGACAGGTGCTAGAGTATACGACCCATTCTTGGTAGTGGATGAGGACGTTGGTGACGAAGACGCTGAGGATGACGGGCGGCGGAACTTCAAATACCAGGAACTTATCGAGCCCAAGGTTGTCGATTTTTCTTCAGCTATTGACCAGGAGAAGGAAATTGCGGATGGAATCCCCCAGCAAAAAGACGGCCCTAGTGCTGATGAATCCGACACCCTAAGCCACGAGCGACCAAGCAATGACGAGGAAGTTCCTGAAGCGCAATTATCTCATGTCCCTGAGACGGTCCTGGATTCCGATGCACCGGAGCCCAACGCTGTACAAGAAACCGATGCAAATAACACGGAGGGTGATAACAAGGGACCACTAAGCTCAATCATCGAAAATGAACTTGACACGAGACCAGATATTGTCGAGGAACATGAGCCTGTTATCCCCGAGCCCGAGGATCAGAGCACACCAATTCCAGAGAATGCGAATGAAGAACAAGAACAAACGGGGGAAAGCTTGGTAACTTCAGGGCCACGATTTTCTGAGGAGGCTTCATTATCTATACCGGATGCCCAAGTCATGCCAGTCTTCGAGACTGTCGCTGAAGAACAGGCTGAGATACATACGACTATAACAGGACCAGCTTCTCTTCAAGATGCCGATATCCCAGATGCCCAACCGATGATTTCGGAATCGCAAGACACGCCAACTCACGAATCAACCACGCATACCCAAATGGAAGTAGATAACACTGTCATCTCCGAGGCAGTAGTCTCTGGGCCCACGGAGCATGACACAGTAATACCAACTATCGACACTCAAACTTTAGATGTAGTCTTTACCGATTCAGCGCCGCACGCTCAGATCGACACAGTTCGCATGGATACAGAACCTGAGGTTGCCCCGCCTTCCGATGTTCCAGAGTCTATGCAAACAGAAACTGCAGAATCGAAAATCTTGAATGCACCAAAATCCGACATTCAGATTCTGGAGGCATCCTCCGAGCTCAAGGTTGCGGGCTTAACCATTCCTTCCAACCCAATACCTTTGACCCCCGAGAAACAAATCATCAATGGCCCGGAGGACGTTTCCACGGAAAATAGGCGAACAATCTCACACTTGATTAGCGAGGCAGGATTTAGAGACTCAATTTCATCATCCGTTCTCAGACAGATTAGTCCTGGAAACATTGAAACACCAGATGCAATTGTTTTTGATAGACTCAAAAAGGTCATGTCTGAAACGGAACAGGAACGACCGTACTCTCTTGAATTTCACGGCTTTGGTAGCTCTCCATCAAGACAGCAAGAGCGACCTCAAACACCAATTCAAGAAGAAGATGCGAACTCTCCAAAGCCTGCTCAACATTCGCCTCAGCTTTTTGTTTCGCCACCCTCAAACCCGCCAGTTCTTTCCGCAGATGATGGCAATGATTCCGACTGGGAAAGTGTCGATGACAGCGGGGAACAAGAAGAAGAGGACGATGTCGAAGTTGATACTTCAACGAAGCCGACTCAGGAAAACGTGGTTCAAGAAGCAATGGAAGTTGACGAAGAAATTCCCCGACCCGAGTTTGCAGTGCAAGTACAAGAAAGTCGGCAACAGACCGCTCAGTCTGAGGAATCAGAACAGCTTCCAGACACTATAGAAAACCCGACACCAGTCATTCAACACGAGGAGGCACCAAAGGCGCTGATTCAACCTACAGAAGTACCCCGATCAAATACAGAGACAGAACCATCTGATACTGCAAATCCTGGAGTTGAACCAGCTGGATCTCCCGCCAGAGCCGTGGAACCGCCGTCGCCCGTGAAGGTATCGAAGCCAAAATCTCCATCGCGAACCACCAAGTCTAAGTCTCCGGTCCCAAGAGCTGAACCGAGATCTCCGAGCAGAGGAGTTGGAAAACGCAAGTCATTCACAATGAGACGCATGCCGCAACCAAAAGCCGCTTTGCTTTGGGAAATGATGGAACCCGAAGCGTTGAAAGCCCGCGGCAGAAAAACTCAAAGCCCTGCGCTCGAAGCCTCAGAACTACGAGATAGCGTTGAGAGCTTCAAAGTGGCCAAGGCCGCTACAGTGGAACCAAATGACACAGCTCTGCCTCCAAGAAAAGAGCCTCGTCAAATGTCAGTCTCAAAGAAAGGGCCAACATCTGGACAGAATACGAACACGAAAAGCAGACCGGCTGCTGGTAAAGCACCGATAGATTACGACTCTTCTGACTCCGAGTTTCCTTCGTTGAGACGATTGACTCAAAATCGGCCAAAGCAGGAGAAGATGGAAGTGTGCTCCCAACCACTTCCAGAGAGAGAGAAAATCGCCCCTGTACGAGCAAGACCCATCATCAAGAAAGAGCCTACCCGAGAAGTATCCGATGACTCTGACGAATCAACCACCAAAGCTGCGAAGAAGCAAACCTCTTTCAGTCGTCGCTCCGAAAGCTCAAAACCGCCCAGTCGTGCATCGAAAGCTGGACCCTTCTCATCTCAGCCACAGCGGCAAGTTTCCGTTAGTAGCCATTCGCAGAGTTCCAAGTTTTCTTCTAGTAAACCTCCACCAAAATCCGCGTCTCAATCTCAAGGTTCACAACGTCCGGCATTCTCGAGTTCGCAGCCGCCAAGTCAGATGATTGATCTTACGCTCTCGAGTGATGTCGAGCCTTCTCCTCCTAAGAAGCAGTTCCGGAAGCCTGTGTTGTCTGATGATGATGAGCTCCCGAGAAATGCTGGCAAGTCGTCGATTTTTCGGAAAGGAAGTGGTGGTAGTGGGAATGGGTTGAAGAGTTCTTCACAGAGTCATCTTAATAGGAAGAATGCTGGTAGATGAGGAAAAACGGATGTCATTGGTGGTTTATAGCGGTGATTGCTATACTGGATGAGCAAAAAAGGAAAATGGTGCGCAAGCGTGTGTATTGATATTGTGTCGTGTGTCGGATTTGGGAGAGCTTGGAGTCTGTTTATTATTTGCTTCTTCTTTTTCTTCTTTTTTTCTTTTCTGCAGCTTCTTTGCTTTCGCTGGTACCTAATGGATGTACATGTGCGATTATTACATGAAATGGAAATACATACTGTTGTGCTGGGTCTACTTTCTCTTTTGCTCCACTTCCTGATTTGATCCACTTATAGCTCTGCTGCCTAAATGCTTCATGTCTGCATAAAACTTACACTCTTTATATAAACACCTTAGATAGCTACCTTTTACAATGCAATCAATTCTCCATGACCTTCAGTACCCAATACCCTTTCAACCCAATACATACAATATGAGCATGTGTTTTTGATCGAGTAGATGGAAAATCTATGATACATGCAATGGTTACGTCGGTTACGAGCAAGACTGGTTTCCTAGGTTGACCTACAAAGTGGAGAATTTAATACCTGTCCTTATCTTTACGGTCCAACAATCATCTGAATCATTGCACTTCCATCAATAATTTGATTTTAAATACCACCGGTTTATCGCAAATCTTCAAAGTAAATCTCGCATTGCCTCATAACGTATAAGGGTGTTCATGAAAACTCACACCCAGATATCAAACTCCAACCCCAACCCAAACTCCTAGCCACAAGCAATCCCGGACCAGCCATCTATGTACAAACACCGCAGCTATTAAATCCAAAAATCATATCTCATATCTCATCCATACATCTCATCCTTCCACCATTCTAACTCCTCAGCCCCTCAACTCCCCCCTCAACCCTCGTCACCACCCACCAACCCATCTCCAAACCACCCATCCAGCCCCCATCCCAAATAACACTCCCCTCCCAACCTCTCTCCCCAAAACCCCCGCTATCTCATCACCACCCGGCAAAACAGGTTCGTGCCATCCACACGCACTGCTCGTGCCCCGTGGTATGCACGTGTAGTAGGTGGTGAGGTGCCATTTCTGTTCCAGGGTGGGGATCTGGATGGTGCATGCGGCGTCGAGGAGGAGGGTTGGTGGGGGTGTTGGGGAGGGTGGGTTTGAGAGGGCTGGGGAAGATTGTGTGAGTGAAGTGGAGGGAGTGGATGTGGAGGTTGGTGATGAGATAGTAGGGGATGTTGGGGTTGTGAGGGTAGATGGTGGGAGGGATGAGAGGGTGGTTCTTGGGGTGTTGATGAGGCTTCCGAGGACCAGGACCAGTGCTGGGGTGAAGTGTGAGGATATACCCAGAGAGAGGATGAAGGTCGTGAGTTTCATTTTTGTGAGGTTTCTTGGTTTCTTCTTCCCGAATTCTTTGGTTCTTCTGAGTTTTTCCGAGTTGGTGTCCTTATCTCAAGTCCTTCAATCCTCAACTCGTCGACCCGTCAATCCCCAAGTCCCCAAGGTCTCAATCCGGCTTTTCTCTCTAAATCAACTCTCAAAACCCAAGGATCCCTCAATTGACCAGCAAGATGATAGAGTCGTAAAACCCCTCAATAGCAATCCAGAAGTAAAACGCAAAAAAGCAAGGCTGAGAAATGAAGGGCGAGATAGGTAGATGCGATGAGGTGAGCGAGCTGCTGCTGTAGAATGCCAATAATGCGCCTGCAATGCATGCAATCCCTTGATTGGTCGGATAAACAACCCTTCTCAATGACCCCGCGTACGTTGGCTGCGAGAGCAGGGCAAGGCAAACTTGTACTCGTACTGTACGTAGAAGTTCTACGGTTTGCTTGCTTTTTCGTGATATTGCGTGAATTAAAATGAGATGATGGGAGAGGGAAAGGGAGAGGGAAGACCTGCTTATCTCTCGTCTGAAGTGAAGTTTGTGAAGGACAGAAGAGACAGCTGAGAAGGACGGATAATCATTGTGAGAATAGGAAATGGGGGTTAAGGAGTGGGATTTACGTGTTATACTGTACCAGTTGGGTTCTGTGAAATTCATAGGTTGAGTGAGTCAATGGAAGTTGAAACAAACAAGATGTGTCGTGTTGAAGTGTGGTGTTGTGCTTGCCGTTCGTTGTACTGGACTTTTCAGGGCGATTGTGAAACATCTCTTGGCGTGAGGGGCAGCTTTTATGGTCCATACATCTTCAAGTGGAGGATGGTGGGGAAGCCTAACTTACCTGTGTGGGCCATCTGTGGCGATTGAAACGGGGATTTGAAAATCCCATCAAGGTCAACAGAAATAAGTTAAGAAAAGAGAAAACCTATACTCAGTAGAAAATGTAAGCACGTGACATGGGCTACTCTATTTTGCTCAGTCTGAGCTCAGATTTTGGAACTTGGAAAGCACACTTGCGAGCCCAACGTAAATACTGGCTCATTCGTCCTGGGTTGGTAGAAAGTTAATGTATTATGGGAGTTGCATGACTCCTGTTGACGCCTATTTGGAGGTGTTCCTCCTTCACCAACAAGCCGCCGAGAAAAGAGCCACGATGCAGATAAAGCAATCACCCGCTGCCTAATATGATACAATCGAAATTCTCTCAGTTCTTTGAAATAGAAAATAGCTTGATTGGAATATTGTCATCGTAAAATGGTCCCTCTTGCAATTGGGCCGCAACCAGAGGAAACTCAATTTCTTCGGCTAAGTACTTGTACGCTTTACAAGTCTTTAAAAACACTTCAAAAGTCTCCTGGTTTCGTACCGTGGGAGCGATGATGATTTTGATGCCCGAATACATGTCCATGAGATCCCCTAAGGTGGCAAGAAGGGCTGGAATCCCGCTTGCCTCGTAAGTCAAATCGGCACCAAGAACGACGTCTATCTTCTGACCACCATTCCAAGCTTGTTCTTCTCCACCCAAAGGAGCATGACCCCATTTGAGCTCTTTGCCCTGAATGAGGGACTTTTCTTGGAGGTCATTGAGGTAGATGTTGGTTTGTAAAGTCTCGACTACTTCTTCTGAACCATCCGTAGCAAGGACTTTTGCCGCATTTAGATGCTTTGCGCAGAGGATAGAAAGATACCCAGTGCCAGCACCAAGCTCCAGAATAGACTTTCCATTAACGAGAGACGGATTGTTGATGAGGTAATTACCAAAGTGTAGGGCTGCTTCCCACGTACGACTCCCCGTTGTACCAGATCCCGACAGCAGGTTTCTCGCTTCATGGAGCGTGATTGTGGCTGGACTCTGAGAGGACAAAGATGACAGAGAGTATGTCACATAGGATTTTTGCTGTACCGCAGTAACTTCAGAAGGAATAGACGAGGTGATGAGGACAGAAAATGCATTGTACAGATTATCAGATAACCCCTGAGATTGACATGAAGTCAGAACTGAATTATACTTGCCATGGGCATTAGACAGGAGATTCTGAGAACGTGAATATATATAGATGGGGAGGCATTGAAATCATACTTCTTCGTCCCAGTTTTGGATGCTCGCTTCGATTCTCCTTAAGAGTTCTTTGAGCACGCGAACCTGGTATATCAAGGGTGGTGGGTGTGGAAGTGAGCCTTCTTTGAAGAGTGTGTTGTATATGGTTTCCTGAAATGCTTCATTTCTGAGGTATTGATCATCCGGGTAGTCGAGGTAGAGGTAAAATTGGAGGTACTGACAACAGAAGCGATCGAGATGCTTTTGTGCATCAACTGACAATTGATGCTCCATCGCCAGAGTTTTGGGGAAAGAGAATCATTTGATAAAGGTTGTGGACTGGTGATTGGATTGAGAAGTTCTGGATGTGGTTGTGGTTGTCATCTCGGTCGTATATGTCGCGTCATCGGAGCTGGCAGGAGAAGACTCGGAGAAAAGTCGCACGACCAGGTACGGTAGAGAAGCCCGTGATGCCTCAGGCCGCCATGCAGATATTGGAGCTTGGACCACCTAGGGCTTGCAGCCCTCCGGCGCACAATCCACTGATTGTCCCGCCGGCGCTTAGTCAGACCACCTCGTTAGCGCATCTGGGCGGATAACCTTTGCAACTTTCCACGGCCTCATCCCACGGCAGCGACTCTCGATTTCGAACCTCATCGAGACCCAACCATATCCGGAGGCAGACTTTCGGATCGATCGACATTCCATACCGCAAAAATGGCGGACCGCGAGCAACCCGTAACGTTGCGAACACGCAAATTCATCCGCAATCCTCTCCTCGGCCGAAAGCAGATGGTCGTGTAAGTGTGCCATCTCTCAATTCATCAATTCATCCATCCAGCACGAGAAATCCGACCTCCTGCGATCAGGTCGACCTGTCGACACGCGTACCCAAGCATCTGCGAGGCACTGAAGGCTAATGGCGAAAATAGTGACATCCTTCACCCAAACCGCGCCAACATCTCCAAAGATGAGCTCCGTGAGAAACTCGCCGGAATGTACAAGGCCAGCAAAGATCAAGTCAACGTATTTGGTCTCCAGACACAATTCGGTGGTGGAAAGACGACTGGTTTCGCTCTGGTCTACGATTCGCCTGAGGCCTTGAAGAAATTCGAGCCACACTTCAGACTGGTTCGTGTTGGATTCGCCTCAAAGATCGAGAAGCCAAGCAGACAACAACGTACGTTGACATCTCCCGCGAAGTGCCGCGCAGCAGGTAGTATGCAATTGATGCTAACACATCCACAGGCAAGCAACGCAAGAACAGACAAAAGACTCTCCGCGGAACAGCCAAGGTCAAGGGTGCCAAGAAGAAGAAGGATTCATAGACGGATCGCCTTCTCTTGTGCTGGCTGGAGATGGAGGCATTTGGTGTTGCAGGATGGGCTTTGTCTTTGTATGCATGCATTGGCTCTCCTTAGGTTTTACGAAGGTTCATATTGGAGCATGAAGGCATGAAAATCAATGGGGACATTCGACCTTTACAACAATGACAACTGTTTTCCAAACGTAATGCGATATCCGAGAAAATGTGTGCTGAGAAAAGTGCTTTATCGATAACGGTTTTTGGGTGGCGTTACAATGAGGATTTGAGGGAACCGGGATATTTCGTTTCTTCTCAAGCAACTCTCAAGACAGCAGTCTTTTGATAATGGAATGATATTCTGGAAGGTCTCTCAATATTTTTCAGCCGCTGCCAGTCTCTTTCCCTTCCTTTGCCTTTTGATACCTCCATTCTATACAATTTCGAAGCCGAGATTTGTGTATCTGCTGCACCAATCGCAGGCTTGGTTCTAAATTTGCGGCATGAACTTGGTGAGTGAATGAGATGTCTCTGAATTCAAAGCATCAAATCGTGAAGATGCCACTTAACGACCTGGGCAAAGAGACCACTTCGAGAAACTATCGACAAAGTTGAATGACAAACTTATATTTTATAATTGTAAGATCTGAAACATAAATTAGTATCAAGATACAACTAAGGAGAACTCCAGGATTGCATTCTAACAGACGGTCATATGAGCTTACCTAAATATAAGCGAAGAGCAATCTTTCTCGTGTGAAGCAACACTTCAAGATCTTAGGACTCCAACAATACTCAAGTTGGAAAACATACCAAAGATTAAAAGAAACACTTCAGTTCGTCCAAGTTTCCAAACTCCATTAATGTACCTACCTTGAAACCTTATAGTAAATGATAATGCACTAGCATAAAAGTTCCACGCCCAGAAGTCTTAAGGAACTATTGGAAGGCTTACTGACCTCTTCTCTTTCGAACACAAAAGGTTGGATTGAGATCAACGAATGAATAGCATCAGAACACCGGTCGCTCGAACAAAATTGTACTTTTGTCTATGTAAGAAGTCCCATAGTCCTAAATTAAACAATACCTTCCGTAAAGCAGACTCTCATCTTAACAAACCAACCTAACCTACAAAACCCAATCCATAATCCTTACCCTTTAGAACACCACCCCAGGTTTCCAAAACCACTAGACACCATAACTCCATCCAAATCCATGGTAAATAGAAGAGCAGAAGTAAAAAGAGCAAAAAAATCAAGCCAACCCATTGAACAGAGTGGGACTCGAACCCACGCCCCTTTCGAGACCAGGAAATTGTTGTTAAGGAAACCTTAACCTGGCGCCATAACCAGCTCGGCCATCTGTCCTTTGTATTGTTTTCTTGGTGAAGACGGGGTTGCTTATTTCGATCTGTAGGAAATATTTGTTTGTGGATGTGGATGGATGTTGGATGTGGAGAAGAGTGGATTTTTTGGGGTTAAGGTTTTTTTTACTTGGGATGCCAGGGAAGGAGGGAGGATTTTGTGCAGGGATGTGGAGGCGGGTGGTGGGTCTTTCTGGAAAGGGGTTTGGGTTTTTTTCTCGCTTGTTGATACGGATTTGGCGAGGTTCTTGGGGGATGATTTGGGGGATGGAAAATGGGGTTGGTTTTGGTTTTATTGAGGGAAATAATGTATACTGGACTCCTTGAGAAATAAAAACTCCCATCACACGACCTAATACTTGAGATTGAAAGGGCTCACACAACTCTACCTATCGTAGCAGAACACTTCAATGGGGCCATTGAGGAACTTTTGATGACACTGGAACTCCTGCTGATGTCGAGGCTAAATCAGACGTTGAAGTTTGTATCTACGGAAGAATCACGTCAGCTTTGTAAACATTCGCTATGCTTACTGAAGTCTAAAGAGAAAAGGAAAGACTCACAACAGGGCTTCCACCGTCCTCTATACTAGTAAAACGGGGACCGGGGATAAAACCCGGGACAACGCCAGGTACGAAGGTATCCTCCGGGATTTTCGCTCTCGAAATCGCAGCAGTGACAGTGGGAAGGATTTTGGGATTCCAGGTGTCAGATGGTGGCGGAGATCCCAGAACAGCACTTGGGGATTTGTCTGGTGTGGTTGTTACGGTTATTGTTGCTGTTGCTGTGACTGTCACAGTAAGAGGAGGGGTGTCACATAAACAGCACGCCGGGTTTGGATCTGGTTTTTGAGTTTCGGTTGGTGGACTTTGGGTTGAGGGAACCGAGAGGGACTTTTCATCTGGTTGACTGGATGCTGAACTTGGTGCTGGCGGTTCTTTCCAGGAGTTTGGGGAAGGCAATGACTGCTCAGATGAGGCAGGTTCTTTCCAGGGGCGTAAGGAAGGTAACGGCTTCTCGGATGAGGCAGGTGGTGGGCTTTCCGTGGTAACGGGTTTCTCGGAGGCTAGTGCAGGTACTGGACTTGCTGTAGCAATGAGACTCTCAGATGAAGTAGGTACCGCAGTGGCTGTGGCCACAGGATTTTCAGTAGAGCTAGATAATGAACAACTAGCAGTTGCAGGTCTCTCAGAGGGAGGAATTTCAGTCCAGGATGCTGTGACTGCTGCTGAATTTGAAATTGAGACTGTCCCTGATGATAGAGTGGATCCTATGAGGGTTGAGTTCCATTGCCGCCCTTTGCTACTTGAAGGTAAGAATGGGGTCCCAAAAGAGCTCGACGAGCTTGTTATGGGCTTCTCGGAAGAGGCAGACCATAGACTGCCTGTGGTAGAGGGTCTCTCAGAAGTATAAATTTGGGTCGAGGATGATGTAGCCGCTGCTGAGTTGGAAATTGAGACAGACCCTGATGATAGAGTAGATCCTATGAGTGTTGAGTTCCATTGTCGGTCTTTACTAGTTGATGGCAAGATTGGAGCTCCATATGAGTTTGATGAACTAGTTGCTGAGGAAGTCTCAATAGTGGAGGAGCTCGTAGCAGCAGAGGAGACTGGGGTTTGTTGTACCTCTCGTTGTGCTTTCATTACGAGCTTTCTGTTATTTGGAGATGCTGTGAGAGATGTCGTGAATAGAAGGGTGCTCAAAAGGAATACTGAAAGTGGAGACATGATGACTTCTGGTCAATGATAAACCCAGCTTCGTGGAAGGAAATGAAAGTAAGAAAATGAAAGATAGGGAAGTGAGGAAAGAATGCGTTGAATCAATATATCCTATGAGAGGACAGAAGCATTCTTATTCAAATACAATCACTACTCTCAGATACCAACATCCCCAGAGGACAATTCCCGCGCCGCCTAGCCAACAGAAAAAAGCCTGATAATAGCACGTCAATTGGTCCACACAGCACTGCCATAATGCTAACAACATGACATAATTCTGATATTTTGTGCCTGCCGTTCGTAAGATCTCCCGCTGAAGAATCCTGTGCTCGCCTAGCTAGCCAGGAGCTGCGGTCAGTTGGTTGTGGGGCGCAGCCATACACCAAGCTTCTTGATGTTGGTTTTTGAGATTACTTGGGAAGGAAGGTTATGTGAAGGTCAGTAATGAAGCCATAATTTGCGTTCTGGTAAGAAAGACTCGGCGGGAAATGGTAGAGGATTTGGGAATCAATTTGCGGACTCTAGTATGCACAAGGATTGTACGAGAGGTTTTGGGAGACTTGAAGTCAAAATTTTCAGAGGTTTTGGACTGGATTTAAAGTGACTGCAATTTCATAGAGAAAAGTTGAAAAACAGATCAATTGGAATTACATCGTCTAATAGGAGGAAGAAGCGTCGCAGAACGTCGTAAAATTGCTTTAACCTCCACTACCCCTTCACACAGATTTTGGAAACATGAGTTGAATAATCTACATCTATTCGTTCAGATTCGAATGATACACGTCTAAACTAGCAAATAAGAGGAGGAGCTGAAACCTTATTATTGAGACTTTTTATCATCGATACTCCCACCTCGCTTAACTTTCATTGTCCCATCGCAAGAGAAAAATGGCCAGAGTTACTACTTTAAAACATACAGAGCATAGAGCCCAGAACCAATAAAGCAAAGTCCAGAAGACACTCGTATACTTACATATCCATCATGAAGACAAAATCCTAAGAAGTAATGGTCACCATAAAACCCATCAAACAACCTGACATGAAAAAGTGCGCCCCAACATACTGTACAAGCATTTCACTCCCCATGTTAAAAGTACGTGGCTGAGCCAGTACAGTATCAACACCAACAATCCCACTCAGCGATCACGATACTTGAGAAATTCGATACCAACAAACAAATCCAAGGATGCTCGCCTACGCCTACAAGCATTTATTCAAAACACCAACATCACCATCCGACGTAAAACCACACTACCGGTAAAGACATGTTCTGAGTGACCTTTTCAGGGTATTTATCCTGGGACTACGTTATGACAAAGTGGGAAAACCAAATACCAACAAGGAAGGGCTGCGCACTGGACTGTGAGGTTGGACTGTTGAGACGCGGCTATTTTTGGAATGATTCTAGGAGTGAGTGTATGTTTTTATGTGTGGTGTTGTCATATGGTTTAGGCTGAAGGGTGTCTTTTTATGAGAGAATGGAATAGGGAAAAACATGGAAAAATAGAGCAAGAAAAGGGGAAAAGTCTTTGGACGCAAAACAATGGCAGGGCCAAGTGGTCCGAAAACCCGGTTTAGCTGCAAGTTTACTTTATCAGTCACGAAATAAGTGAAAAGGCCTCGGTCACAACGACACCGAAAGATATACGACAACGCAGTGCATAAGTCAGAAAAGTGATGGATAAGTTTGTGAGCGAGACAAGACCTCGTTGGTTGTAGGGGATATTTGGGACCATGCGGAGGGAAATAAGAGTCGTCCTTATTTGATATACACCGACAATAACATGGCGCCATAGAGGCATCATCTTCTCCCAGTGTAACCATCATCCCGGCCCCTCCGGTCATACCGATCTCTTCCCCGATCCCGGCCGCCACCCATACTTTTCCTCTCGTCTCTTGAATCGTAATTTCTCTTCTCCCTCTGAGGACTACGACTTCTGCTTCTCTCTCGTTTGTCTGATTCGTATTTTCCCTCTCTCTCATGTCTTTTCCGTAACTCATCCTCGTCGTAGACCATTCCATATCTGTCTCTCCGACTTCCGGTGCTGTAATCAGCTGCTTTGTATTGTCGCTTCTTCTCTAATCCACTGACACCACCAAATCCGCCACCACCATGCTTTCGCTTGGTATTGGTCGCTGTGCGCCACGTGTCTGATAACTTGGATACGGATTGCGAGAAGTCGACGTGGATACGGTGGTCGTCGATCAAAACACCTTGCATTTTGAAGTACGCTTGCTCACAAGAAGCTTGATCTTCGTATTCGATAAAAGCATATTGTAGACTGTCACCAGTTCGCTTGTCCCGGATGACTTCACACGAGAAAATTTTGCCAAAACGACTGAATATAAGCTCGAGATCCTCATCTACTAATATTAGCCAAGGCAGTTCCATGAGGCTCGTAAACTCACCAGTCGTGACTGGGTTCAATTTGCACACAAAAAGAACATTTTCTGGAGGTTTCACTTCGGCAAAAGGCAGATCTCCAACCATTTCCAAAGTCAACGCTTGAGCTCTGGCTTCACGCTCCCTTCGCTGCTTCTCGACGGCGTCAATATCATTTTCCTCGTCCAAATTGTCGTCTTCCCCAATGCGTACCGTGGCAAGCTGCGCCTTAGAGGGTACAGGGCTCTCGGGTGGCTCGACCAGACCTAGAGGGTCGTCATAAGGATCATCCAGTACTACTGTGTGCTTGATTCGAACATCTACCAGAGGACGTCCTTTTTCATCGCAGAAAGCATCATTGATTTTCTCTAGCGCATCAAATCCTTCCACCACTTTGCCAAATATTGCCGCCTTTCCATCCAAGAAGTCCAGATCATCCCCCAGCGTTATAATAAACTGACTTCCAGCAACCCTCTCATCTGGGTCCTTCGTTGACGGCACCGTAGCCATGCTGACAGTACCTCGCTCGGCATGCTTCAATTTTGGGTGCATTTCTGCCGTGAACGTCCTTCTCGCCGGGCCATTGACCAACCCCCATATCGAGCTGCCTCCATCACTTTCTTTTGCGTCTGGACCGATAGGATCGCCTGTCTGGAAGGAGAAGTTCTTTTGTACGTTGTAGACGGGGGAGAAATTGTAGTATTTGACTTTGCAGAGCTTGAGGAAGCTATATTATCGCGGCAGTCTTAGTATCTATGTGTTCAGTTATTTCACAGGTAGATAGGGGAGAGGCGGTCACTCACTTCTCACATAACTTGGGCGCATAGTCAACCAAAAGATCGATGACAATGTCGCCCGCGGAGGTTTCGAGGAGCACGCTCATCGTGGTGGGAGATGATCGAGATATGATCGAGATATGATAGGAATATGCACATCCAATTCAATGCGGAGAGTTTGCGAGGCGTCTGTCGGATTGCGATACGTCACACGGGTCGCCTGAGGGAGAAGATTGCAATGCAATTGTTGTTTGTGTAGAGTCCGGATTTGGCCATTTGCATGCCTCCATGCTCACACGGGAGGCTGACGGCTAAAGATCGGCACATAATTAAGCGCAGAGCAGACCCCTAGCCACGCATCCACCACATCCACCGCATCGCCTCTGCCTCGGCTACTTGGCTTGCCGTTCAACTATTCCCCTCAACTGCAAACACCAAATCTGATTTCTGATTGAGTGGACAGAACACCGACAAGATCACATAATGTGAGCTAGCTGCTGTACTTGAAATGCGTATGGAGTCACAACCAATTCTTCATCTGAACTTTCCGCTTCCGATTGCATCAAAAATCACGTGCCAGGGGGGAAACACCAGCAACGACTGAGCTCCACTGCTATGTATAAACCCATATCAACACCACACGTCCCATCCTTGGGCTGATCTCCCGCCGCTGAGCTCAGCGCTGTGTCTGCTCCCAGTCTTTCTCGTTGGAAAACCCCCAAGTCCCCAGGCCCAGGGGTATCAACGACGCCAATTGGGATGAGGAGTGCATCTGGAGGGTCGCGACCATGGCTGGATTTGCGTGGAGCCTCTCCGTGTGGAAGGGTTCCTGAACACAACACTGGCCGGCGCGATCGCCTTTCCTGTTGTCAGACTTCATGGATCGACCGTTCCGTCTGGCTCTGCCTCCTCACAAGAAACCCTCAAGAGAAGATCGTTAGATCTGCTTGTACCTCCTCCCGTGCATTTTTGTATGATGGCAAAGATAGCAAGATGGCCTCTGCTCCCTTCCTCGATATTCCCCTCGTGCTTCACAACGATGCAGAAAGAACGAATACCAGGCCGATGGACGTCTCTCCGTCTTTCCCCCGCCAGTCGTTTGAAGACGTAGCCCGGGTAGACAAGGAAGCCCCTCATTCCTCGGCTACGTGCAGCACACAAGGGGGGCGGAGAGTTTTGGCAGGACTTCCACCCTGTACTCCATCTGCAGCCATCCGTCTGGCCATAGAGTTTCCGTTGCATTGCATTAAATTGCACGCGATCAGGGATCTGTCAGAATCTTAGGATGGGTGATTCGAGAGTCGAAGTTGACCTTTTTCGCATCGGGGAAGACACTTCCGTCATCCCCAGATTGATTTGCAGGTTTCTATTGCATGCATTTCATCCGGGGAAATGCTACAGACATCCTGGTACTCCCTGGAGCGCAAAGGGGCGTCTTAGACGTGAATGGATTTGGTCAATCTGTCAAAATCGTTGGCTCGCTCAATAACCTTCAAACTGCCCCCAAGCTATCACTGCGGTCGGGTGTGGCCGAGAAATACGCCGTGTGAATCAGCATCTGCAGGAGTATCACCAGAGAGATGTGTCCTACCTCTGACAGCATGCCTGCTTTGTGCCTTCGTATTCCTATTCGAATCTCTCTCGCTTCTCTGTCGATTTCCCCTTTCCCCACCACAACTCGAGAGCTTAAAGAGCCCCGGGTGAGACAAGCTACAGCACTGTCAGCTTCCATCATAGAGTGGAGTCTAGATATGTCTTTTGGCACATTGCTTACTATCTAGTACTTGTCCGGCGCTCTTCGGGGTGGTATCATTCGGTTTGCCGAAGGGGTTTAACTCTTCCTAGTGTCCACTCTACTTTCTCCTCACTTCACGTATGCGGTTATCCTGTGTGTGTGTGAGAGTGTGACCAGAGGCTGTGGAAGCTTTTCTCGGCGAAGAAGCTAATCCGCATCTTCTACAACCCTTTTGATATTGGGCACCTTGGGGTATCTCCGTATTCTCAAAAGCGTCATTTCCATAATGGAGAACAAACGTTCGATTGTGACGCATTTTGGTGTCACCATTATAGTTACATACAATTATCTACAATTGCTTGTAACCATTTCAAACGAAGTTTTCGCAGGACTGAATTCTAATCCTTTTGATTGGTTCTCTTATCAACGCCCGCTTCGTCCAAGCATTCTCGTCGAATGGCAGATGATCTGACCCACACACTGTAAGACCGTGACTATATTTTTGCGTATCGGTGTTGCATGGTGGCTTGCCAGAATGGTCTTCGTTAGAGGCAAACAATCCCTGAGAGTGGGAGCTACAGCAGACTTCGACAGGGGAACAAACCTCCCCCCCTGGCTTCGTGATTGCTACCTCTAGCAGCAAAAGAACCAATCTACCGTGGATGGCCCGATCGCTGCAGCCTTTGATGAAGAGTTATGAGCGGTCAGCAAATATTGCATTTTCAAGGGAGAGATCGTTTGGCTTTAATAGATATGGGAAGATTCGGGCATGAGTCCTCGCCTCGCTGGCTCGCCTCATATGCCTTGGAACTCATGCACCCCAATACGTTGCATCATGATGGCTTGTACCATTTCGAGGGGTGCGTTATCCTCAACAAGCAGGGCTGTAGCGAGCGACGTTTCTTCTTCCAGTCGGTGATGCAAAGTCTTACAAACCTACGTTTGCTGATCTGTAGTACCGAAAGCCGTTGAGCTTCAAATCATGGCAGAGCCTCTTGAATTGTTTGCTATGTTACTTCTATTTAGAAACCTGTCAGTATGTCGCCACGAAAGGCCTAACTACTTTCAGCGATGGCTACATGGTGCCGGCACAATTTTCCGTTGCTTTAGGGCAGCTGTCAAACTTGAAAACAGCAAAGAGCCAGTGTGGCATCTGGCAGATGGCTATAACGTTCTGTGATTATCTGATTTAGCAAAGCAATCAGCGCATGGATTTTTCTACGCCGCTTCTCCCTGTGGGAAACCAACAACCTTTGCCTTCTGCGGTAGCGTTTCATCAATCAAGACATGCTCAGGATCCTAGCTCCTCGGTAATCCATACGCAGGGTATGTTTCCAATCCGTCAGTGATCAGCAACCAGCTTGAGAACTAACCCAATTTTCGAGCCAGCGGTCCTCTCTTATTTCCTCTCTGTTTGTTGAGATTAGCGAATCGTCCTAGATGATGGCGAAGAGGTACAAGACCCCCGGCCTCTTGCATAACAGTGAAGTACATTTTTTGTGCAAGAGAAGCATGCATGAAGACTGCACTGACATATTGGGTAAAGGCTTTACAGTAGTAGAAAATTTGATCTGTCACAATGTTTCTCCCAAGGCCTCAGGTAGTCAGTCCAATTGGCAAACATCATGGAGCCCGTAACACTCGTTATAAGTGCTGCCCTCGCCTGACTGCCACCCCTCCCCCGATCGGCATATGCTTTCATTCTTGCTCAACCTCATTTGGTTTCTTGAGTTCACTGTGAACAACATTACGGAGTGATATTTATCCACGCAATTCTGGGTTGGAATCAACCCCTCACGCAATCGAGGACAATTTGGGAGTCTACGAGGAACAGTTTCTGATATTGGCTACCCAACTTTCCTTCAAGACTCTCAAACTCTTCAAGGTAGGTTAGATTTATGTAGTTTCTACTTACTCAGTTCTGACTATAGGCCCAGATGGTGCAAGTACATCGCTCATATTACGATGATGAGGAACCGGGCTTGAGGCGTTACAACAGACACACTGGACACGGGTATGCGATAGGCCACGAACGAGAATTACCACACGGCCCTTACGAAGGACACGCGGGTCGAGATCACCTTTCCGCAGCTCATCACGATAGCCGTGGGGGCAGTCGTGCGCCTGAACCCGACAATACTCGACCCAGGAGTAGAATTCCAGTTGCAGTACGTGCGTCCGCATACTATAAGATGATCTATTTCTATTTCTATTTCTATTTATATGCGACCCAGATGCAGATGCAGATCCGGATCCTCTGTCTATGTTGATAGTTGATAGCTAATGTAACCAATTTCCAGTGCGGCCGTTGCAGAAAGCGCAAGATTCGTTGCAGTGGCGATACCGGCTCTGGCCAGCCTTGCACCAATTGCAAAAACGCAGGCAACGAGCATTGTCAGTTTCTCAGGGTAGGCTGTTCTTTCTACTGCATTTATTCCATGTTCATAAGTGTATCGGATTATACTTTACAATCACTTCGCTTCCCCTGCGCTTTTAAGCTTTGCATCCTCTCACATTTATTGTCTTGCAGGTCTCCTCGCAAGGAATGCAAATGAAGAACGAGAGCGTAGACTTCAGCGCATTCGACACCCACTCACACTCTCGACTCCAACCTCGCGTAGCATCATCTTACGGATCGCACGCGGCCACGTACATCTCGCCATCTGCGCAGGTTCCGGAGGGATACTACGCTGGCAGGGCATCAGTGTCTGGATACCAGTATCCAGCATCGAGATACTACGGACTGGCCACTTTTAATGACTACTCGGAGGATAATGGCATTGATTACGATACTCACAATGCTAGTAACCCCTACCAATTGATGGGCTCTGACCATCATCTCCTATCAACGAGTCTTCCTACGGGCTCCGGAAGAGGATGGCCAACGCAAGCGACCCAACCGACGCAAGTGATCAAACCTGACCCGTCATTGTATTTGGAACACTCCTCCTATACTACGAACGGCCACATACCCTCCCAAGGTGCATACCAACTTCGCCCTCAGATGGCCTCTGATGTGAAGGATACGCCCCTAGCTGGTTCTTCTATCCACTCCATGTCTGTCCCTGATCGTGTGCTTCCAGTTCCGGCCACAACTTCAAGTGCTGCAAGCGTGAATCGCCCCCCGGCAGTAGCAAGTCAAACAAATTCATCTTCATATGCGCGGGCAAATTCGACAGCAACTTCCTCCGTTCCCCCAAGTCAGAACAGTTGGCATCAGTATGATGGACTCATGGCCGCCCAAGTCCTTTCCACGGTCAAGAATCTACCACAGAATGATTCGAATTACATATACACCAGCAGCCCTGAATCCCTGAACTCTTCCCAGGCGACTTTTCATAGTTCCCAAAGTCTATCGAATTCCTCTCAAAATGAACTCTATACCACGAGCTCAGCAGACATGTTCCATGGTAATGAATCCACAGAACCTTCATACGGCCCAAGCAGCAACAGCAGCCAACGTCACAATGCTAACTGTTCCGAGGGCTCCATGTCAAATATCAACAGTAATCTCGTCAACGGCCAACCATACGTCCCTCATTACAGCCAAGCGCCATATCCCATCCCTCCTACGCAGTTCACACAGAACGAGTCTCGTATGCGCACCAAACTCCCTTCTGCTCCTGTTGGGATTTCTGCGTGAGGTCTATGGGTTAATGGTCGATTCCGAAGATTCAGACTTTATTGCACACATACATGCATGCGTTACTTACTTATTTCGCAAGCGTTTTTTTCCTCTATCTTATCGTTAAACTGTCTCATTATTTCTCCTTTTGTCCATTTGGGTTTACAACACACATACTCATTCGTTCATTCATTTATCCCGTCATTGGGTGAGGCGAACAAAAAGGGGTCAAGGTTGGGGGTTGGCTTGGTATGGCGATCTGGAAACATGGTTGGGGGCAACTCAAAAAAATCTTTTCTGGGTTTTGGGGCGCGTCTTTCTTCTTCCTATTTTTTAATTCTATTAAAGGCGGATTTTAGGAGTGACTGATTGGGTGAAAGTGGGTGTATGTTACACGTAAGAGAGTTGAGCAACACGATGGTTGAGGTTGAAAGTGCCTGTTTGATGTGTTTATTAGCTGGCCTTGCTTTCGTCGTAGGCATGGACGATTTCAGGATAGTTCTAATGTTTGGTAGAGGCTGGTGGGTGATGGCTGGCTGGGAGAGGGTTCGCGATGAGAAAGGGAGTTGAGAGAGTATGTTGTTTGATAGGGTCCGCTTCTTTTTTCTTTCTCAATGTGGTGAGGGTGAGCGGTTTTCTGGTTTGATACCCCCATGGATGGGATTCGCTTCTTTTGAATCTCTTGCTTTGCTTTCTCAGGGGTTAGGATTCTGGATGACAGAAGGGCGTGATTGAGGGGCTCTGAAAAAGTCACTTGAGGTATCTTTCATATCTTGGGGGTCAGATTTCTGAACCTCTTTCTTAGGAGAAATAATATTTCCGGACATGCGTTTAGCTAAGGGTAGATTAGAGTGATTGGACTGGGATGAGCTGCTCATCATGAGCAGCTCACTTTTGATATGTAATGTTTTACTCTTAATTGAAGCTTTCATCTGAATTATCTCCTCTTCAGTGGATCAGTGTGATTAGTTGCACTCCATGAACATTCTCCATGGAGGTGTGGAATAGACATTCTGTTTGTTGATGTGACAGGGCAGGTCTAGAAAGGGGTTGCTACTAAGCGAAAATCCAATTCTGGCGGCTGGATCTCAACGGGACTTCTTTGTCAATACCTGATGAACTTGTTTAGACGAACTCCAAATTTTAAGTATGCCTGATTAGAGTACTGACATATCTAATTTGTTGTCTTCTTCAACACAATGCATCTGCTCTGAGCACTGCAGCTTGTTTGCCACCCAGAAATATGGTCCAGGGGGTATGCTAAGCTTTGACGTCCTTCATAATATTGAAGGAGAGGGGTTTCAAAGTGACATCCCTTAAATCCAGCAGGATGATCCCGCTAAATATTTGTTTAGCACATTACATGTTAACTTGCTGCCCTCTAGGAACTTATTAACTCTTTACGTTAGGAAATTCCTAACACCGGCCTAGGGTACAAAACCTTCCCTAACGTACACTTTTCCTAATACTAATTAATAGTAGGCGCAAAACCTTAAATATCTAACTAAAGACGTAGTTTTAATAAAGACTTATACTTGTAAATATTATAATATAAAATATACTTAATTCTCTTACTAAAACTTTAGAGGATATATAACTATCTAGCTATATAATAAGCGAGGCCTAAACCGATTATCCTACCTAACTCTGATTATATAAATAATAAAAGATATCCTTTAAGATATCCCTTTAAATAAAGAAATCCTATTATACTCTAATCTTCTTAATACTAAGAAGTCTCCCTAATAACCTTTATAAGTACCCTTTAAAGTTTCCCCCTTGTTTGTATTTACTATAAAGAATCCTTATCTAATAATAAACTCCTTCTACTTTTATATATAGTATAAAGAATATATATATAAAGAACTCTTACTACTCTTATACCTTCTTTAATAAATCTATATATAAAGAACTACCTCTACTTCTATATATTCTTTAATAAATACTTATATAAAGAACTACCTCTATATCTAGCTATAACCTAACTACCCCCTTTATCCTTTATAATATATTGAGAGCTACTAAGATAAGTAGTAGTTACTATATTATAAACATTACTAAGGGCTACTAGGATAAGAAGTAGTAGTTATAAAAACCTAGTAAGTTTTTAAAGGAGTAAAGTATAGTATTAAAGCTAAGTAGTAAAATTTAAATATATATATAGAGAGTTACTTGATCTAGTAGTAAAAAGCTTTATCCGAATATTAAAGTAAATAGCTATATCTTACTATTAAAATAAGTATTATTATTAAATCTTATATCTACTTTTACTTTAAAAAGAGAAAAGTAACTTAGATACTAAAACTTAATACCTAGTAGTAATAAGATATTAATAAAAGTTTCTATCTTATTTATTCTTTTTAATTTATCTCCTTTTTAGCTTCTATAACTACTACTATTAATCACTAGTTGTTTATTATAGTTTAGAAAGATATAGACTAGATAAATAGTTAATTAGGTACTTTTAAAAAGGCCAAATATTAGACTATTAGCCTTATTTAACTATACTTAATAGTAATATTAGTTATAGTATAGTTATCCTTATATCTTATAGAGGACTTATTATAGTTAGTATCTAAAAATAATAGGTAGATAGAGATAAACTTATTATATAATAACTATTATTTTATATAAATAGCTAAGGTTTATTTTAAGTAAGCTTAGCTCATAGTTTCTTTTTAATTCCTTTTAGATATCTAAATTAATAAGATTTATTACTACTATTACTATTAAAGATTTACTTATTATCAAAAATAACTTAATCCTTTTATTAAGAAACCTAGATTTGAAGTAAAAGAAGCTATACTTATAAGTTAAGTAGATATTAATACTATAAATATCTTTTAAAAAAGTTAAAACGTTTATATTATTTACTTTAAAGTTTCTATTATAAATTATATTTATAAAGTTAGTTATAATATTAGCTCTTAGTTATTTATAATAGAATCTTATATTAATTTTATATATTTAGAAAAAGATTAGTAATATTATATTTTACTAGATACTACAGAACTACGCCTATTCTATTAAATTAGCTATTATATATAAATTGAGGATTAATTATTATTTTAACACATAAGTAACGTTTATTCTATTAAATTAGCTATTATATATAGATTAAAGATTAATACTAATTCTAACTAACTATTCGATATATTCGACCCTTATAATGAGAGTACTCTATTACCTTCTTAATATCTATTATACTATAATATAAAAAGCTTAAGTATAAATAGCCTAGTATAGATATTAGTTTTAAAGGCCTCTCTCTATTAAAACCCTTCATAAAAACCTTTAAGAATCTATAAGTTACTATATTCTCTATAAATATATCTTATTTAACCTCATAATTTTATTAGGCTAGTAATAAAGTAATTAAATAATTTCCCTTTAATAATATATTATTAAAAAAACTATACTCTTAAAACTTAGAACCTCCTACTATAATTACTATTAATATAATCTACCTTAAATATGATCCTTTATAGTAAGCTATATAACTAGTAGCCTTTTTATACTAGATACTTTTTATTAGTAATATTTAGATTATAAATAATTATAACTTTTTAAACTTTAAAACCTACTACTAACTTCTTAGCTAAAGTATTTAAGAAATCTAAAACCTTAATCTAGTATAATATAATAAATCTACTCTAACTAGTAACCATATTAACTTCCTTCTCCTTATTTAAGTCTTATCCTATATAGGCTTTATAGTAATAAATTACTTATAAAAGATAGCCTATAATAAATCTATTTATTTATTTCGCGTCTCTAGTAAGAACTAATAATTATCTAAACCTTTAAATATATTAACCTTTAAAGCCCTATATATTATAAGAAAGCTATATACTTAACGTAGCTCTCTCTTAATATAATTAAATAATACTAGAAGATTAAATATATTATCCTACTTATACTACTAGTTATTATTTATATATATAACTATATAAAAACCTACTATATAAGTTATATATCGTTTATTAAGCCTATAGTATAACTATAACACCTCTATAAAATATAGTTTAACCCCTAGTCTAGATACTATTAAGTAAGAAGGTAGATAGTTACTATATGTTATAATAAGAATAAATATAAAAGATTAATTTAATATTATAATTTTTAAAATACTAATATTAAGATATTATAAGACTTACTATTAAAGAAGCGTATTAAAAACTTATTAAGAAAAGTATATAATAATATAGTAAAGGTTCTAAAGTAAAATTAGTATAGTCAAAAGACTTAAATATAAGTCTTATATAATACTTAAGTATATATAATTATAACTTAGATATAACGTGCATGTATAGCGAACCGGCCAAACAAGCGAACCGGCCAAAATTTTCTACACTCGCGATTGAAATTGTAAGAACTCTACCACAACGCCTCTAATTAAAAAACACTATTCAGAAATTTCTTCCTCAGATACTTCCTCTATAATATTACAGGTGCGCGTATTATGACCAGTCTCTGCGCAGTTGCCACAGCGCCGTGCACGTGATTCTTCCCTCGGCTTCCGACCACTACTTCTCTTTATTTCCTGCATTACCTGCTCACCAACGTCTCTATCATCCTGTAGGTCCTGCGCTTCCTGTTGACTAAGTGATCCTCCTTGCTGTAGGCGTGCTTTTTAGCTCTACGGCGCTTACTTAGTACTTCATTTGCTTGTCGAAGTCTCTGGTTCTCAGCTTTCAATAGTACTATCTGGT